AGTGAACAAAATGGCCGGCATGTTCTTCTTTGACCAATCGTTCCGACCTGTACCTCTTGAGCAGCATTTTATCGGTGTCAAAGGAAAGCCTGGCTCCAAGCAATCTCGTGACAACATTGACTCTGTCGCTTATGAGAAGGTTCGCGATATGATGGAGAGAGGCCATCAAGTCATGGTTTTCGTCCACTCTCGCAAAGATACCGTGATGACTGCCAGGATGCTTATGCAGCTAGCCGCCGAGGAGGGACGAGAGGATTTATTCAGTTGCCATGATCACGAAAACTATTCCAATGCCCTTCGTGACATGAAACATGCGCGTGCGCGTGAACTACGGGACCTATTCGCTAGCGGATTTGGAACGCATCATGCTGGAATGTCTCGAAGCGACCGCAACTTGATGGAGCGAATGTTTTCAGAAGGCCTAATCAAGGTGCTTTGCTGTACTGCCACCTTGGCGTGGGGTGTCAACCTCCCCGCAGCCGCAGTTGTCATCAAAGGTACTCAGCTGTATAACCCACAGGAGGGTAAATTCATTGACCTGAGCATTCTCGACGTTATGCAAATTTTTTGGTCGTGCCGGTCGTCCGCAATTCCAGGACACCGGTATCGGGTTTATCTGTACTACTCATGACAAGTTGACCCACTATCTATCTGCTGTGACTGCGCAGCAGCCCATTGAGTCGCGTTTCTCTAGCCGGCTCGTGGATAATTTGAATGCTGAAATCTCGCTTGGAACAGTCACATCTGTTTCAGAGGCTGTTCAATGGCTTGGCTACTCCTACCTTTATGTGCGCATGAAACGTGAGCCGAGGAACTACGGAATTGAGTTTGCTGAGTTACGCGACGACCCAATGTTGGTCCAAAGGCGGAGGCAGTTGATCATACAAGCAGCAAGGGTGCTACAAAAGAGTCAGATGATCATCTTTAACGATAAGACTGAAGATCTCAAATCCAAGGACGTTGGGCGCATTGCCAGTCAATATTATGTATTGCAAACCAGTGTCGAGATTTTCAACGACATGATGCGTCCTCGATCTGGTGAGGCAGATGTGCTCAAGATGATCAGTATGAGTGGAGAATTCGATAACATTCAATCTAGAGAAAGCGAGTCAAAAGAGCTTCAGCGGCTACGCGAGGAAGTCGCGCAGACTGAAGTTGACGGAGGAAACGACACGCCACACGCGAAGACAAACCTCTTGTTGCAAGCCTATATCTCCCGCGCCAAGATTGAGGACTTTGCTTTAGCCTCCGATACTGGATATGTTGCCCAAAACGCGGCACGTATCTGCCGTGCTCTGTTCATGATCGCGTTAAATCGTCGCTGGGGCTATCAATGCCAGGTTCTGTTGTCTCTTTGCAAGTCCATTGAGAAACAGATATGGCCTTTTGATCATCCATTCCGTCAATTTGACTTGCCCCAGCCGATCCTACGTAACCTTGACGAAAAGCTTCCCACTACTTCCATCGAGTCGATGAAAGAAATGGAGCCCGCGGAAATCGGTCAGCTTGTTCATAATCACCGCATGGGCAACACATTGTCTAAGCTCCTGGACAATTTCCCAACTCTCAGTGTTGAGACCGAGATCGCGCCGCTTAATCGCGACGTGCTTCGTATTCGGCTTTCTATTTTCCCGGAGTTCACATGGAATGACCGTCACCACGGAGCATCCGAATCGTTCTGGGTGTGGGTCGAGAACTCGGAAACATCAGAAATCTATCATCACGAGTACTTCATCCTTAGCCGGAAGAAGCTTTACGCTGATCATGAGCTCAATTTTACCATTCCGCTATCCGATCCCCTTCCCAGCCAAATCTACATTCGTCTGATCTCTGATCGCTGGCTAGGTGCTGAAACCGTTAGCCCGGTTTCTTTCCAGCACCTGATTCGCCCGGACACTGAAAGCGTGTATACCGATCTACTCAATCTTCAGCCACTTCCTATATCGGCTCTCAAGAATCCCATTCTTGAGGAGGTGTATGGGCAACGCTTCCAATTCTTCAACCCTATGCAAACACAGATTTTCCATCTTCTCTACCACACAGCAGCCAACGTTCTCCTTGGTTCTCCAACTGGTAGTGGGAAGACTGTTGCAGCTGAGCTGGCAATGTGGTGGGCTTTCCGTGAGAAACCCGGCTCCAAGGTTGTTTATATTGCGCCAATGAAAGCATTGGTCCGTGAACGAGTTCAAGATTGGCGCAAGCGCCTCACTCGCCAGATGGGGTTGAAGCTTGTTGAGTTGACTGGTGATAATACACCCGACACACGTACCATCCGGGATGCCGACATCATTATTACCACGCCTGAGAAATGGGACGGTATCTCACGTAGTTGGCAAACCCGTGACTACGTCAGGAAGGTGAGCCTCGTCATCATTGACGAGATTCACTTGCTTGGTGGTGATCGAGGTCCTATTTTGGAAATCATTGTTTCCCGAATGAACTATATCGCTTCCCAATCCAAAGGTTCCGTTCGACTGATGGGCATGTCCACCGCCTGTGCCAATGCTTCTGATCTGGCCAACTGGCTTGGGGTCAAAGAAGGTCTGTATAACTTCCGCCATTCAGTTCGCCCGGTTCCCCTCGAGATTTTCATCGATGGGTTCCCTGAACAGCGTGGTTTCTGTCCTTTGATGCAGTCGATGAATCGCCCAACTTTCCTTGCGATCAAGAATCACTCCCCGGACAAGCCAGTCATCGTCTTCGTTGCTTCGCGACGACAAACTCGCCTGACCGCCAAAGATTTAATCAATTACTGCGGTATGGAGGACAATCCTCGTCGATTTGTGCGAATGTCTGAAGATGATCTCGAGTTGAACCTTGCGCGAGTGAAAGATGATGCGCTGAAGGAAGCCCTGAACTTTGGTATTGGTTTGCATCATGCTGGTTTGGTTGAATCTGATCGCCAGCTAGCAGAAGAACTCTTTGCCAACAACAAAATTCAAGTTCTTGTTGCAACCAGCACTCTTGCGTGGGGTGTCAACCTTCCGGCCCATCTTGTGGTGGTCAAAGGCACACAGTTCTTTGACGCTAAGATCGAGGGTTATCGGGACATGGACTTGACTGACGTTCTGCAAATGCTCGGTCGTGCTGGTCGCCCACAATTCGATACCTCCGGTATTGCGCGCATCTTCACCCAAGACTCCAAGAAGGCCTTCTACAAGCACTTCCTTCACACTGGTTTCCCAGTCGAGTCTACCCTGCACAAGGTTCTTGACAACCATCTTGGCGCTGAGGTATCTGCTGGAACTATTGGGACACAACAAGATGCATTGGACTATTTGACATGGACATTCTTCTTCCGTCGATTGCACAAGAACCCCTCATACTATGGCCTCGAGATCTCTGCCGAGGAACAAAATACCATGGCAGCTCAGGCCACAGCTCAAGATTTCATGGTTGAATTGGTTGGGAAGTCACTCAATGACCTCGCAGAATCGTCTTGTGTTCTTGTGGACTCGGCCACCGGAGAGGTCGATTCCACTCCCTTCGGCAAGATCATGAGTTACTACTACCTATCGCACAAGACGATCCGGTTCCTCATGTCCCATGCCAAGCGTGACCCGACTTTCCAGGATGTCTTGAGCTGGATGTGTTCCGCAACCGAATTCGACGAGCTGCCTGTCAGACACAACGAAGACCTGATAAATGCTGAGTTAGCTCAAAATTTGCCGCTTTCTATTGACTGTATGGGCGATGCTCCCCTCTGGGATCCACATACCAAGGCGTTCCTCCTCCTTCAGGCCTATATGTCGCGGATCGATCTTCCCATCACTGATTATGTTGGTGATCAAACATCGGTGCTTGATCAAGGCATTCGTGTCATCCAGGCCTCAATTGATGTCATGGCTGAACTCGGATATCTTCCTGCGTGTCAGATGTTGATGACTCTCCTCCAATGCATCAAGTCAGCGCGCTGGCCTGAAGACCATCCGTTGTCGATTCTGCCAGGGGTTCCGACCGAGAAGCCACCCAGTGGTCTCCCCGGAACTCTTGTGTCGCTCTCGTCACAACCCGGTGGTGCAGTTGCTGCTCTGGTGAAGAAATTAAACCTTCCATTTAATTTTACTCGCATTACATCCCAGCTCCCGCAGCTATTGGTCTCGGTTGCGTCTGTTTCTGCCAAGGGCGTTGCTGTGTCTCTGACGCGGCGTAATCAGCCTACGACCCCCGAATGCAAGGTCTTCGCCCCTCGTTTCCCCAAGCCACAAACCGAGGGCTTCTTCTTGATCGTTTGCAGTGCTTTGCCCAATGGCTCTGATGGTGAACTACTTGGTCTGAAGCGTGTGTCTTGGCCACCGGTATCCAAGCGCTATGGGAATGGCAATGGCAATGACAAAGGCAAGGGCAAGGTCAATTCCGGTGCTAGTTCCAGCCGCGGAGGACCTGCGAACGAGACAAAAGGCGGCCTTTTGACCGTCCGCTCCAATATTAAGTTCCCCGAAGGTATCCTCGCGCAATCTACGAATACCAACACAGCTCGGGTGAATATCAGAGTCATCAGTGACTCATACGTTGGGATGTCGTGGACTGTCTCCAATGTCGAGATTGATTTGGATACTGGCATCGAGGCGCACACTGTGGCAGAGCCCAGCGTTCCTACCAAGGACTAGAAGCATACGCTCAAGCTATTGGCCGAGAAAAGTATAAACACCTTACAAAATGCAGTCTATCCATTTTCCACTTCAGACTGTAACATGGCAATAATCTTAGAATTGTTCTAGAATACAGCGATGATCCTGTAATGGCTTATGGCATACTGTGGGAGAAATCAATCATCTAAATACGCAAGTGTGGCTCAGTAGTCAAGCTAAATCTTCCCTGAGGTCTGGAGTTTCCTTACCATCAAATCAAGGATTTCAACAGGCGCTGTGCTTGGGTACAGCTGAACATGGTATTGTCACATTATCCAGGGTTTCAACGATCGTGGGTTCGCTTAACTCTTGTCTATATGCGTATTCTCCTGTATGTTGTCTGTTGATACTGACCCAGCTCGAAGGAATTCACAAATGAATAGAAAACCACTTCTTCAACGCTTCAAATCTCCCCTCCTCGGTTTCAAATGAATCAATGATCCTAGTCCTACCACCCATATTCAACTTGATAACATTGTTGGCCATCATAAGCTTCCCGGCAATAAAAACATCATCCGTCTTTTCCAACACCTCTTCCTCCAACAAAGGCAATCCCGCCGTCTCCCCATTTCGAATGAACTTAACTACTACGAAATTGCGTTTTTCCACAGCTTCCCAACTCGTAAATCGATTGATCACTTCGAAATCATCCTGAAAGAACTCCAGCTCCGCAAACGCATAGAACGAATTCCATGGCCTGTCCGCACCATTACGATATTGGTAAATCCAAACCTTCTGCTCTTTCCGCGTCTGTTTCGGCATATTGTCGTAAATCAATCGCACTTCCTGGGAGCCCAGATTCTTCGTTATCTGTCCCGAGATCAGCGGTAGAGGGCTCGTTGGCCCGTCTCCGCCGAATGCCGCGTCCAGATGATACTCTACTCCACTAGATAGACGGATGATGTTGACGATGTGTGTCCTTGATTCATTGTTTAGTGGTTTTTATTTTCGTGGTATAGTGCTCACTCTTTATGATCACTGAGTTTGTGCTATTGGAGGATTCTCTTACCATCCTTTGAATTCCCCTTGCGGTATGCCATCTATCCGTAGCCGGTTCCGAACGCCCGTCATGTACACTGAGAATCCTAGGCCGCGGAGGACGTGGTGGAAGAAAATGCTCACTTCCAGGCAGTAGCCTCCTCGGCAAGACGGGGCTGTGTTGTCGCTACCCATAACTTTAGTATATATCTTGTTCGGATGGATCTCTGCTAGTTGCGTAGCAGAATAGTGACATGTCAGGTTGTCGTATGGAAAACGGGTGATTTGACACCGGAAGAGGTCTTTCAGGGCTTCTTCGGTTTTGGGAAACGATTCTGGTGAGTTGATATATTGTGCATATTGGTGTGGTAGAGTGATGTAGCTCAGATACTTTGTTAATTGAGCCGGTGTATAGGCGGATGCCAGCTTTGGGGTTTCCATTTTATGGATTCTCCGGCATTCCGTGGATTGGCGTGTATGCCCTATTTATATTGGAACATTGTTATGTCGCAAACCCGATACAAAAGGTGCATGATAGCCTCATGACTCATACCTCAGACTAAGATAAAAAAAACAAAAAAATAATTGACGGGCTTGTGCTAATTCGTCATTTGGAATACTACTTGAGTAATATTCTACAATGATTGGCCTCGGCATTCTGTTAATGTATACCTAGGTACTTACTATAAAAAGTAAGTACATGCGAAATGTAGTAGCCTAAAAATAAAACGACCATGAATGATATAAGCCAATCAAGGCGTGGATTAAGAGATTGTAAAAATATCAAGGCTATGTGTAGAGAATGAAAGATACGTATGGACAAGGCATGAGAAGTGGCAAAGGGGAATCAGGTATGAAACGAAAATAGCCTAAAAGAAATGTAAAAGAATGGCGCAGTAGAATGTCACAGACATTCTATCCGCAACTCTTGCGAGACACCGGGCCGATGACCCCGGTGAACATCCGTGATTTGCGGTGTCAGAGGTCTTCTGTGCACAACCCGCTCTTCCGGGTCCAAGTGATCGATCCTCATGCCGATGGGGACCAGAACCTGCCTCTTCGCCCGCGAAACAGAGACAGAGCGTGCTATTGAGACCTCAATCTCTGGAACAGGACGTCGAGGCTCGGGTGCAGGCTCCGGTTTAACGGTAGCAACGGTCTCAGCGGGAATGGCGAATGGCATGCGTATGGACTCTGATGGCGATGCGCCAGATCTGGGCCCAGTTGACGCTGATGATGGGGACATGATTCGGTCAATCTTGCTCTGGGTCGGGTTTAATGCTGAAGGGGAGTTTCGAGATGTACTGGCAGAGAGGGTGTCCTTTGCGGGCGGTTGTGGTCGGCCATCAGTTTGAACTTTGAGACGCGGTCTCGCTGAGTCCTTGTTCTTGTGGTGGTTCGATATCGTATTTGGCTGATGTTGTGTGGTCTTGTTTTGAGGTAAAGTAACCTGAGGCTGTTTTTCTATGGCTCGCGGCAGCGAATCCTTCCTCTGTCGTGGATGAGCCCAGGGCTGAACAACTGCTTTTGTTACAGCAGTACTTTGCGATTGGTTGCTCTGCTGTGGCCTAATCTTCTGCGGGGATGGGATTTTTCTTTCTGCCTGAGCAATTTTCTGTAGTTGAGTAGTCTGTGGCTCCGGCTTGATAGCAGGAAGAGGCTTTTCATAGCTACTAGAGGACAGCGGGGTATTGGAATGCTCAGAGAAAAGCCTTGGGACCACGGGTGACTCGAACGATGAGATACTGCCCATATTTGAACCATGATAGAGCTGTGGTGGAGGCATCTTCGATGGGCTTTCCATAAGTAGTGTGTTCGATCTCATCAGTGGGCTCGGTCCACGAGAGAAATTCTGTGTGCCAAGTACCTGGGCCCCTTTCGAAGGCTGTGAAGTTGGGAACAAAGTGAAGCTTGATCGCGCTGGTGACGTTGCCCGCCGTTGGGGCATTGGGGGTGGTGCCGGTGATTTGAGGAACCCCTATATAAGTTACCAGTTAGTTTCATAATGGCATCTTATCAATGAAAGTTCATACATTTGCGTCGGGTACGAGAAGATTGTCCAATGTTTTGGCCCTCCTGGCCAGCAGCGAGGGCTTTTGGTTCTTGTTGACGACATTGCTGAACATAACACTGTACCGCTCCATCTGAATATCCGGGATGTCAACACTCAGTAGGAGGCCCCGATTACTTGGTTCCTCCTCCTTGGGGGCCTTGTTGTTGAGTGAGAAGTTCCGACTTCGCAGGGGAATTTGATCACTTCGACCAGGCATAGGCATCTTCCTGGGATCGATCTCAAGTTTTGGCCACTCCTCTGTCGAGTTCTTTCTCAGTCTTGCTTTGTGGGGTTTCTCTGGTAGTTTGTCTTTGGTGATTTGCGGTTTGAAGGTGCTTTCTTGTGGGGCCTCCGGAGGTGATGTAAACGCATTTTTTGCCTTGAAGAATCCACCAATCTTCTTCCACTTGCTGGGCTTCTCGGCTGAATCTGTTTCTACAAACATAGATGTATCCAATCTGGGCGGCGGTAGAGCCTCGTCTTTGTTTAACATGCCGGGACTGCCCAGCGCAATGCCAATCATGTCTTGCTCGGTTTGGGTACGACCTGATCGGGTAGATCGAATGGCTTCATCTGGTGGCGCTGTTAGACGAAAGTCGAAAGTTGCGCTTTGGCCCGGGGGTGGCTTTCTGAACCAGCCATCTCCCGTAGAGGGCTGACTGAAATCCCACTTTTCGGTCATTGGCCGAACCGGATGATGTGAGGCTTCAAGAGATTGAAGATCATTCCGTGGCAACGCATCGGTGTAGGTCAACACAGGAAAGGAGATGGTTTCCTTAGAATGCGTGCGAGACTGGACTGCTGTCATACCCCCTGCCATCTCAGAGTAAAATATTTAAATCCGGTCGACATGCAATAGAAAAGGGTAAAAAAAAAAAGGAAGCTGAAGATATGTAAGAGAGTATCAACACAACCCGAATTATAAGAAGAAGAGATGCAGCCTTTCCAGAAGACCGGCAACCCAAAGAGAAAGAAAACAGAATAGAAGGGTAACAAAAGGGTAACCTCTAGTATATTAATGAAAGCACGTAGATTGAGTGGAGTCAATCACGGTAAATGAGACGGGCCATATTAATTGCACCTCCATCCTAAATCTGCTATAGGTTCCCCAACCCCTAGCCTGGGGCTGAACGAAACATGAGAAATCAGACCGAAACCTCGCAAGCAAATTCTGATTTGGAATTCGAGGGGCGTTTCAGCGCCAATATCAAGCCCGTGTGCGATGCTTATTTCCCGTGGGACGAATGAGCGCATCGGTTGCGGATTGATTAACTCGCTACCACGTTGAAAGGGGCCAAGCCATGCAGGAGGCGTGTTTCATCCGGTCAAAACTGAGACTGAGGCGTTTTCTACGTTTGACCCTTGAATCAGGGGGCATTTCGCCTCTGAAGTTGAATGTCCACATTGGTGTCATGAATTCTCCGACACTTCGCATTGCCAATGCCACTGTGATGCCAAGCCTGTCTCTAGGCCCAATGGTATGTCTCGGTTTTGCATGTACTCCGTACTCCGTACACAAGGATAAAGGTGAAAGATCATTATCCTCAATAGCGGTCAGATCAGCATCAGGAGCATCAAGAGCATCAGGATCAACCCCTTAGATTCAGGCACCCAGGCACCATGATCGACGGTACAGATGAGCTGACTGGACTGAACTGAAAGCGGGATGTGATATGTATGTCATACATATATATTTTCTCCATGAGATTGAATAACAGATATATCCAAATTTGTTGAAGTTGAGCTATGTAGAGATCGCTCCCACCGCTACTTGGTATAGGAGAATATCGGATATCATTTACTCCTTAGATACTTCCCTACACTCTACACTCTACACACTACACAGATCTCATAACATTTTTCAAAGCTACACAGTTCATAGAAACAAAGTAAATTCCTCTAAAATCGATCAGCTATTAGCTTGAATCCCAAGTTGCAAACGGTGGGATCGTCATATGGCGGGGTCCTCTCCCGACCGCCACAACTTCCCCCACCAACATTCTCTCTTCTCTCTCAGCTCTCCTTTTTTTTTTCTTCTGTATATTCAGGTGTGCGCCACATTTTCCTCTCTTCTTGACCCTCTCTAACCTATTCAGCGTTATTCTCTCTACTTTACATCATGGGCGAGCACTCAGCAATCTGGCAAAGTATGACCCTCATGATTGCAGACTGCAGTTCATCCCTTGCTTCAAGTCAACTAACAGATTTCTCCTTGAAACTATAGGCTATGTCGACTCCAGGTACATAATCCTTCCTCGATCCCTGATATACCTCTCGATCCTACCAAACCATCCCTCCGTGTCTATCCGATGCATGTGCTGACAAGCTTTCTCACAGCCTGATGGGCTCGGGTCAATTCGACAAGGCCGGTATTCTCGCTGCTGACTTCTCTGGTGTTGAGGCTGCCTCGCCTGGCTTCGCGGTAAGCTTGCCTGTTTTTTCTTACTGCCGGGTGGGATCACACATTTGGCCACTGTCGCTAATGTTATTGGTTAAATATAGCTTTCTCAGGAGGAGATCAACTCCCTGATCACCGCTTACACTTCCAGCGATCAGGCTTTTGCCAACGGCTTCTCTGTCTGCGGTGAGAAGTTCGTCACCATCAGGGCTGACGAGCGCAGTGTATACGGCAAGAAGGTAAAGATACCCACTCTCCTTTGACTCATAACAACATCGGGAGTCATTTCAATACATGATATCGGAATATGTGCTAATCGGTTGAGTCTGTAATATAGGGTAAGGAGGGTGTCATTGTTTCCCGTGCCTCCTCTTGCACCATCATCGCCCACCACAACGAGTCCGTCCAGACCCCCAACGCGGCCACCGTTGTCGAGAACCTTGTCGACTACCTCAACAACCCCCGGTAAATCCGAAATTATGCAATGATAACTAAATGATGTGATGAGTTGAGGGGTTTGTGAAGAATAAGAAATAAAGGAGCATTCGACTATTTCTTTTTCGAGCCCAGCGTGATGTTTCGCTTATGCTTCTTTCTGGCTTTTGTGGCTGGATCTCTTTGCCTCGATGGGCCACGTCAATCTGGACATGGTTCCCAATGCACAGTATGAGGATATCAACCAGATTGTATGATGCACAATGTAACTTGTCTATTCTAACATGCATATGAACTGAGCACCAGCCGGTGAATTACCGCTGGAAGATCAATAAGGGTCATTATTAATTACATAAATCTGAAGGGCGTAGATGGATCGTATCATCTCTTGTCACACGTATAGCATAGCAGGCTTGGACATCTCCGAACATGAATGTGCATCTGATATCCCACTGCCATGCACGATCAAGTCCACATATTTGACCAAGACCTCCCCAGGAAACCTCGTCGTTAAGTCCCCTGGTTGTTTATACTCATACAGGAAGCTCGGCATTGCTCCTCCCGCCAGCAAGCACCTCGAGCCCACGCTGAATGTAGGGCCCTACCACAGGGATGTTGCCGGCAAATTGACCGATCGTCACAAGGAAGTCGCCAAACAGGATGAACAAGCCATAGAGTTCTATCAAGAACCCAGTCAAGGGCCAGCGGAGGAGAATGAGGATAATGCCAGCGGCGAAAGCGGCCGTGCCCTTGAGTTTTGCTGGACGCGTGAAGAAGACCATGGTCTTCTGGACACCAATAATAAGGGTCAGTCCAATGAGAAAGAGGACCTAATATTGTCAGTCAAGTGTACTGAATTTGTTTAGACGATACAGCATACATTTCCCATAGCAAGTCTGTCAAATGAGCATTAGCATTCATTCTCCTCCAAAAAGGAATCGCGAAACGGCGGGATAGACATACAATGACCGGTCAAAGAACATCACCACTCCTCCAAATAGGAACAAGCCTCCTAATCAGTAACAGAATTAATTAGTTCTCGGACCACATGATTTGTAGCTTTAGGGACGCCAATCTCGTACCAGCTGAGCAAAAGATCACACCGATCTCTGTTGTATAGATTAGCCTATGCTCGACAATCGCTACACGTGCACTGTCATGACAGTGCACATCACAGCTTAAAGGACGAATGCGACTGACTCTGGTTCTCTGTTAACCACATGCTAGGCATCTTTGTTTATTCCAAATTCGACTGTTGACAATAATGCCCGGGATTGAGGGCTGCGCAAATATTCTTGACGTAGTCTTCTACAATCCACGACACTTTGCGATCTAAGAAACAACTGGTCTGTGGTGATTGTTGAATCGGTAGGGCAAGAGACCAGGTACGGCGGAGACAAAGCGGAGATATTGGTGGCGTTGGTCCAAGTGGGTGACAGCGATCCTAGTATCGAGAGAGTATTCTCATGAGTTGGAAATTCCTCGACAACAGATCAAAAGGCCACAAAGTCCTCAAAGGCACGTAAACAGAAAACAACTCAAAAATCACCATTCTGCCAAGTAATCGACACCAAGTCTAAAATGGTAGGCGGTAAACTCAAAGTTCTTATAGTGCGCGCCGATCATTCCACCTGTCCTCTTCTTCTACAGTTTTCGTCAATTTTGTACGGCAATTGGCAAGGTCATTAATGATGTGATCAAGCCAAGTGCATAAATTTTCTCGACCTCAACCTTCAGTCTAAATCTATTGGGATTTACATATACCGACTGAAGCACAATATTGAGCATAGCTCATACATGGATAGGGCTATCCCCTATTGCAGAATCTTCCTTTCCATGTATTCTGTACATGCCACGCCGCGACGACAGTCTCTTCGGATTCTGTAACTGGTGCCCTGTCCCATGGGGTGTCGGTAATAGTCGAGTGCTTATGCACAAGGCGGAGAATGATTCATTGATCACGAATAAGCCGGAGCGTTTTCTTGAGCCTGTCTCGAAAGGGGCATGGTGGGGTGGAAAGGGCTTGACTGTGTTGGTCGTACATCACGCTGCTCGGCGATTTGTCGTAGTCTCTAGTGGAATTGATTAATAGAGTTCTTGTTATCCAAATTCGTCCTCGTATGACATACCCATTCTTGCATAGTCGTTCGCTCGGGAATTGAATAAAGCGGGCTTTCTTGTCGCTCCTTTACTTCAGAATAGTGTGCGCTCCGCGCGCTTCCAGGTAGTTTTCAGGGACACCCTGAGCCAAGGTCCGGATCACCTTGAAGATCTCCTTGTCGTGATACCGCAGCCGGGTCTTCGGGTCGGTGTACGGTCCATTCAGGCCTGTGATATCGCAATAGTGATGGTGGTAGGCAGGGTTAAACGATGGTGCCGATTCAATGTTCGTGTAAGTGACGGCGGGCCCAGTTGGGAATGTCGACCGGGCGTTTTTCTCCAAGACGAGGGTCGAGAGGTTTTGGGTAGCCTGGGACAGATTTGGTGGAGCCCCTTCCGCGGGGGGTTTGTGTGCCATCGGTGATAGCGCCCGGGGCACCCGGTGTAGTTGTACCTGAATTGGCCTGAGTCGCCAACACTGATGCCTCCTTTCGGGAGGCCTCTGAGATAATCTGCTTGAGGTTCTTGTTGCGCCGCTGGGACGGTTTCCAGTGTGGGTTGCGGAAGGGCTTCGGGACATGGGAAATGTCTAGGGTGTTCAATAGCTGCTGGTGAGCTTCATCGTTGGCAGGATTTGGTGGAGGCATGGTTTTGAATATGGTCTAGGGCACCGGTGTGGTCAATTGCGAGGTCGAGGCGGAGGCAACTCTTGCGGAGCTTGACTGCGTGCGGATAGATGGAAGTGTGAAGACCAGGGTGAGGATGGGAATGATTAAACAAGGTTAGATCCCTCAGTGGCAGAGCTTTGTTATATCATATAAACGATTTCAGAGTGGGCAACGGACAAGGTCAGGGTCGAACGTAGAAACAATGAAGCAATGCAACTATCCCCGGCCTGTGAAGTCTGTATAGCCGCACGTGATCACAGCCCAATCAAGTCCAAATAAACACTCTCACATCCAACACCAACACAACCCTACTCATTATTCAGTCATGGCAAGTGGTTTCTCCTCCATGCATTAGCTTTGGCATGCCTTCGAAATTCTCATATGCTAATATCTCCTTAGGAAAGCCCACATGAGCATCAGCAGACAGTGCTGCTCTCTCGCATCATCACCAATGTTGTATGTTATAATTGAATAACATCTGTAGGATAACCTTTGCTCATTTTCTACAGGAGAAACTTAATGAAGCCATTATGGTCATGAACAAAGGCCTCCAGGTAGGTTTGAGCCTCTTTCATTGACATGGTCCTGGTATTGACTCTCGATCGCAGGAAGTCAATATCCAGAACATGAATGTTGAACTTGTGGCGCAGATGTTCAAGAACTACCAGTCTAATGTTCTCTTCCATCTTGAAGGTACATCTGACTCTATTCTTATTTATCAGCCTTGAAGATCTCTTCTAACACCTCTTATAGCCACAGAGAACCTCCAAGAGCCATCCTAAGCAATCCTAAGGATGATCAATTTTCTGTAACGAAGAAATGTATTGATGAGCCTGCAATTAGTCAATGATACCAACTTCTCAATTCAATAGACACATGTAAAGGTTGTGGTCAGTTGCCATCCCTGTACTCCATAGAAGCGATAGTGATAGCCTCCGTCCTTGGCGGTCCAACTCCGCCAAACCTCATCAACCGCGTTTGTACCGTTTGCTCCTTTGTCAATCCGCTGCCCTTTCCACAGGTTTATTGGATTCTTCCTACCCAAACATCATTTCCCATGCAGTGAGCCCTACTCACCTACAATATCCGATCCCAATAGCTCCTGGTTTCCGGAGCGCAACCCGCCATGACGATTACCTCCGTGCAGCGCCTCCTACCAGCTCGCATTGCAGCCAATGCCACCGAGAATCGAACTGAGAAGCCTCCTCCACAACTACATGGCGTACAAGACTTTCCATTCAAGGGCTACCACCCTCCGCAGCCTGAGGGATATCAGCAGAGCCAGTCCCATCCCGACACCAGTGCCATCGTTATTGACAATGGTATGGAATTCCAGATACTTTGCGATTCAACTCTCCTAACAGGTGTTTTCCATGCGCAGGTGCTCATCTTGTCAAGGCCGGATGGTCTTTTGACAAAAATCCGCGATTCGCCATACCTCCGGTCATGAGCCGATACCGTGATCGCAAGCTCAATCGCCAGTGCCAATTTATCGGATATGATGCCTACGTCGATGCGACTACGAGGGGACAGCTGCGCAATGGCTTCGATCCTGGTTCGAGTGTTGTAGGTAACTGGGATGTCATGGAAGGTGTGTTGGACTATCTGTTCATCAAGCTGGGCGTGGACGGTGCAAATGGAGGTGTCGGTCGCCCGATCTTAATGACAGAGCCAATCGCCAATATGCCATATTCAAGGAAGAGTGAGTATCCCACGGTCCTAGAGCTAGTGGGGTGGTGCTGACATGCCTTCAGTGATGAACGAAATCCTATTTGAGTGCTACTCTGCGCCGTCGGTGGCCTACGGTATCGATTCCCTTTTCTCCTATCGTTATAATGGTGGAAGGGATGGTTTGATTGTGGACTCATCACATACGTCTACTCATGTGATTCCGGTCATGAACTCGAAACCCATGCTCTCCAACAGCACTCGTCTCAACTGGGGTGGCTTGCAGAGCGCCGAATACCTGATGAAGCTCATGAAGTTGAAGTACCCGACCTTCCCAACTCGTTTGACAGACGCACAAATGGAGGAAATGGTTCACAAGCACTGTTACGTCTCACAAGACTACGATCGCGAGTTGAATGGGTTCCTCGACTGGACAGGACTCGAGGATCGTGACCGCGTCATTCAGTACCCGTTCACAGAGCACATTGTTCAGGAGAAGACCGAAGAAGAGCTCGCGCGGATTGCTGAGCGTAAGAAGGAGAGCGGTCGTCGCCTTCAAGAACAGGCCGCAAAGATGCGACTTGAGAAACTAGTGAAGAAAGAGCAAGAGCTTGAATACTGGAAAGACCTGCAACATAATCTAGCCAACGAGACTAAGAAGGAGATTCGTCGCATCTTGGAAGCCGAGGATTTGAAAGACGAGGCCGCGCTTGAGAAATTGATTCGTGAGCTCGAGAAATCTATCAAACGCTCGCGCAACAAGGATCTCGGCATTGAAGAAACCGAGGAGCAACCTGAGGAAATGACGTTCCCTATGCTTGACATTCCAGACGATCAACTGGATGAGGCCGGACTGAAGGAAAAGCGGCACCAACGTCTTATGAAGTCCAACGTCGATGCGAGACTGCGTGCCAAGGAAGAGAAAGAGCGCGAAAGGGCTCGTATTGAGGAAGAAGAGCGCCTGGACCGTGAGACACGTGAGAACGATTTTGAGAACTGGATTGCGAAGCGCCGCAACAATCGCCAGGTATGTTGGTCAGCCGTGACATTCTAGATTCCCGTGCTAATATTTTGCAGGCCATTCTACAAAAAATCAAAGACCGTGACCGTTTCACGGCTGATCTTGGTAATCGCAAGTCTCTGGCCAGTCAGATGCGTATGAAGACGCTAGCCAACCTGGCATCTGACGGTCCTAAGAAACGCCGCCGTGGCGGAGACGACGACGACTTCGGTGCCAATGATGAGGACTGGGGTGTTTACCGCACCGTGGCTGTTGGCGAGGGCAGTGACGATGAAGAGGAAGAGGATCTCAACGGTATGCTTGACTCTGTAGAGAAGGAGCTCCTCGAGTACGATCCCGAGTTCAACGAGAACAACACTTTCGCCGCACAGTCCGATTGGACAAAAAGTCTTGTGCACGCGTTCCTTCGCGGGCCCTGGCCTTTTGATCCAGAAAGCCAGCGCGAAGCGCATCAGCTTCATCTAAACGTGGAGCGTATTCGTGTGCCCGAGGTTGTGTTCAAGCCGTCCATTGCTGGCCTCGACCAGGCTGGTTTAATCGAGATCGCGGCCGATATCATTAACCAACGTTATTCCAACCCAGCAGATCAGTCCCTTCTTTTGAAGGATGTGTTCTTGACTGGAGGAAATACGTTGTTCACCGGTTTCGATGAACGCTTCCGTAATGAAGTCCGCGGGTTCCTACCCATCGATGCTACACTGAATGTACGCAAGGCATTGGATCCTGTCTTCGATGCTTGGAAGGGTGCGGCACAGTGGGCTTCTAGTGGTGACCTGGGCCGATCGTCGGTCACGCGACAAGAGTATATGGAGAAGGGCAGCGAATACATCAAGGAGCATGAACTTGGCAATGCTACATGGTGAGGGTAAAAAAAGCAAGTTCGGCAAACACCTGCTTGGGCGCACTGGAGTCGACTGGTCTGCTTATCCGGCGTGGTATAGGGCATGTTTCATTGATACTTTAAAGATGTTATTGCAGAGTCTGGCGGTAGTAAGCGAAATATGACATGTTCAGCCCTCCGTATGAATCCCTCCTATTGTGTTAATAGATCCCGTCTTGCCCGTGGCACCCGTCTTTCCCTTACGTCCATTCTCATCGAATCCCGCATGATTGTATATGCTTTTCGAGTCGCATGTAACCTGAATTCACTCAAAAGCACTCTCTCTCTCTCTTGCCAGTCAGCGGTGAAAGCGATTGAGCTGAACACGATCCAAAATTAGGCAAGCTACTGTATACCATCTTATCATATTGACTCCATTCTCTAGGAATATCCCTGAAAGGAGGATCAAGACTTTCTTTTCCCCCAAGGGTAAGGCGGAGACAGCGATTAGGGGCCTATTGAGTATCTATCCATCTACATATCCATGGATCAATAGCAATGCCTACCAATAAGCCATAAAGTTGGAGGTCTGAGACATCTATATGGCTCCTGGGGTAATTTATGTTATGCTCATTTGAGGGTCAATGGCAAATGTAGCCACAAACGAAGGGGAATACCTTCCACTGACCAATCACAAGAACCAGCTCTACCATTTTAGTCTCGGCTGTATCGGAACATTCGTGCAGACCAATCTATCCGGTTAATCGACAACGATGTACGAAAGAATACGAGCCATTGTACGGAGTAATAGTTACACACAGCACTTGAATGTGGCCGCCATTGGCATCACTGGCAATTTTTACCCGAACAGTAGCAGTATGAATATAAGAATCCTCAAGCAAGTATTTAACCAAAGGAACGCCACACCATTCCTAAGAAATGCAAAGCCTTAAGGCTGAAGACAATTTCACACCCATTGGTAGATTGTTCGTTGGTTATAGAGTGCTATTTCTGATTGGCCCTTGATAGCTATCACATCACAACACATTGGATTATCTTTCCGCAAGCTGCCGGGCTTCTTTAGTTGACGTTATGCACTTTCTTGAATCCTTGGGATTTGAAGTGAATTGCCACGCAGCTAGATAATGACATTGTCTATTTGACAAAGCTACACAAATGAAAGAAACACAATCTCTTGCCTCTGCCAAACCTAAAAAAAGGGCCGAATTGGGATCTGGACCAGAAATGGTCGGTTCTGACTTCATGCAAAGACCATCGTGACGCACCTGGGAATTCTTGCTTTTCCTACTATGAGCCTGTTGTGTTTCCGTTTGTTTGCTTGGTGATGTTGGGATGATTCCGAGATATAAAGTCCTCCCTCTGCTCTTCAAAAATTTGTCTTCTTAGATCAGTATTAAGTATTTACTATCTAACCCTCGATCATCTCATAGGCGTGATATACTACAGCTCGCCATATTGCGCCCTCTAACCCTTTGTATACTTCTCATTCTCAACACATAATGGGCTTGTCACCAACCATCGCTCGTCCATTGCAGCTGATCACTCGCTTCTTGCAGTGGTCCAGTGCTGTCATCGTCATGGGCCTGACTTCATACTTCATCCACCGTGGTCCCCGTGGCCAGCACACCATCTATCAGGAAGTCATCGTACGTTAATTGGCATTTTCCCGCACTAAACCTCGTTCGCAAGAGCCACATAATCTGACCCCAAGCTTAGTCTACCATCTCGGTGGTCTTCTTCCTTCCAGCTTTCGTTTCGCCGTTCTTCCCCTCTTCGCTCAGCAGACTCGTGCTCGCCATCGACGTCGTATTCTCCTACCTGTATGCCAACCTTCAATCCTATCATCCATATCAAGGTCTCTAACCCGTTCTAGCTGGTTGACTGCCTTCATCTTTGCCGCACAAGACTATGATAGAGGCAACTGCCGCGAAGCTATCCCCGCAGGCCTTGACTGCAAGCGCAAGAACGCCAATGAAGCTTTCATCTTCCTAGCTTTGTACGTGGCCTGAATTGTCCCAGCTGCTATCAATTAGCGAAACTAATACCATTACAGCATCTTCACCTTCTTTGGCATGATCATTGAAGTCGTCGCCCTCTGGTACTATCGCAATGAGAACAGCACTTCCAACCGCTCGGCCACTGAGGATAAGGTCAATCATGCGGCCCGTCAGCCTATGGATGCCCCCGCAGCCCCTGCAGCCCCTGCCGGAACTGTGTAATTGGTGTTTCGGTTACCTCCATGGGACAATAATACATCCATTCTCTCTTAACGTGGTCAATTGATGTGGATATATTATGAAGATGTTCAGGAAACCGCGATGTGCTTTACCTCGCGTTTGAATTCTGACCTTCCCCATGGGGTGTTCGATCTGGTTTTATATTAATGGACTTGGAGACTTTGGCAGTGGCTGGATTGAACATATCTGATGAGCCGGGGTGGGAGCAGGATGAAGTTGATACCCGGTGGAAGGTACACTGTGTACAGCCATCGCAAACTTGAAAGAGACATTTCCTAATGTTCTCTTTTCTCTTATAATATCTTAATGGATTAATTACCTTGAACCGTTGGAATGGTCGTTCTAATGGTATACTTTCTTTCACTGGATCCACACTACAATATAGTAGCGTCATTACTTAAGTGGCCATCATCCCATCGGAGCTTAAAAAGTATCAAACAATAGATATATCCTAAACTAAATAATATAGAGCAAATTTAAGCTAATATATATAACTCACCTTGAAAAACGCGAGATAACACGCTATTTCAAGGGCTAGAAATCGTAGATATTCACAAAGAGAGTGATAATAGTCCCCAACAGATGCAAGATATATATTTAAATTAATTCAATGTCCGCGATTTCTCGATCTCAACTAATTAGATTTCATTTATAATGAGGGTGTATATTTCCAAGGCAAATTCAATCTCAAGAGCTGATTTTGAACTCTTTAAGCTTGGTAGAAGGGTCAGAATACAGCGATTACAAGATGCTAGTCAGACCCCCTAGATGGGCTGTGGGTTGGGTTGGGCTTCGAAGTTGAAGCCCACAGCCCACTGCGGCTTGGGCTATGAGCCTGGGTTCCGGGCTCATTTGTGGGCTTTGTGATTAATTGACAATGGACTGCCAGCAAAACTGTATTTCTATTTTTCTATCTGGCTATGTACAGCATACATTGAAGGTACAGGTCTAATAAGACAGATTCAGTCGATCGGTGTTTTGCAGGAAAAGGTGGCGGCACTAAGCAGGCAAATGGTATGCAGCCTTAAGCGCTGCATGCCAAAAGTCAAGTTGCTGAAGTCAGGATATCACGCAGGGTTGGGTTGAAGAGTAAGTTCGAATTGGCTAGATACTAGCTCGGCGAGGGGCCATCGTCCGTTGCAGCTTGCGCTTTTCCTCAGTTTCCTCCGGAATGGGCAGTGAGCCCTCGTTCTTCAAGCGCTCGAGGAACTCTTTTCCATATGCGTAGCCGACTTGGTAGATCTCGTCGAATTTGCCAAACTCTAGGGTTCCATATGGGTCGATAGGAGGACGCATGTATAGACAGCCTGTCATATTCTTTGCGCGCTCGAGATTGTCGAACGATGAGACATAGGCCAGTCGCGCTTGGATTTCGGAAAGCGTAGGTGGATTCGGGAGTGAGGAGAAGGGGTTCCAGCGGTTGAACACTGACCAGAACCCTGACAATGAGTCTCCGAATCCCTGGGGAGTGGTGTCATCAATAGACCCAACGTCAATCGCGAAGATGACATCCGCTCCGAGACTTTTCATGTGTGCCACTGTGAGATTATCGATATAGCCACCATCCAAGAGCATACTTCCTTCATCGCAGATAGGAGGCATCAGACCGGCCAAAGTCATCGAGGCCCGAACATACCGCCAGACGTAACCAGACGAGTGATACTCAATTCGGGACCGGCTGATATTGGTTGTGTTGCAGTAGAACTCCAACCAGAAGTCTTCAATTTGGCTGTCTCCAAAGGTCTTGAAGATCCCGCGGTTGAACTCGTGACCCGTGGTGTAGGAAACAGTGGGATAGGTCAGGTCCAACGCAAACCGCCACATACTTCCCATGCGGCCGGAGAACTTCTTGGCACGCCCGTACATGGGGACAACATCAGCGTCACGCGCGTACAGAGCTCCAATGAAAGAACCGATCGATGTGCCACCAATGATATCAATTGGGATTCCGGCCTCCTCGAGCGCTTTGATTACGCCAACATGCGAAATACCACGCGCTCCACCTCCTCCCAGTACAAGACCCACAGACTTGCCGCACAAACGCCGAGCCAGCCGATGGAAGTCACCCTTGAAAGGGGTTTGTGGGGAGTAGAGCGGTGTTTGTTGTGCACGCCGGGACGTATACTTTTGGATCTCGGCTTGCAGGATTTGCACGCGCTGTTTCAATACAGTACCAAACTTTTTACTTGGCTGGTGCGTAGGGTCGGTGGTCGAGCGGAAGGCCATTTGAATATGGTGATGGCCGCCGTTGATCCACACCCTATTCTTGAGCCATTCCCGAGTGAGTCCAGGTGCACAGTATCGTTCCGCATGCAAAAGCACTAGTTCTTTGCGAGCGGTCGTCTTCATACCCAATAGGAACCGCTCATATTCACCAATTCTGGGCGAAGACTCTGCGAGACCTACCAACAGAATAGAATCAGCTTGCGCGATGCAAGTCTGAGTCCACGGTGCGTTCACATTGGTGTCAGCGATGTACAACACCATTCCGAATTTCTCCTCAAGGTCAGCGAGGTATTGGGAAAGCTTAAGCTTTCCCATCTTACTAAAGGCATGACGACCCAGGTGATTCAGAATAGTCGATTGGTTGAGTGATGTGACACCTCTAGTCACACCAACTTGGTGCAACGCTTGCAAGAGTCTATGTCCAAATTCCACAACCGGGACACCAGCCATGACGGGAAGAATTGCCACTGTGCGAAGATTGACTGTGGAGGTTGCGGTCTGAACACCCCCAGCCTGTCCTTGTTCAATTCCCTTTTCAGACAACGGATGGTCGACTAAATCACGCATTCGCTGGGCAATGAGTTTAGAGACCTGAATGGTAATTCCAGGGTGTTCCTGGGCAAGACTGTTAAACAGAGACCGGGGAAACTTGGCCAGTTCCGTTTCCCGAATCGCGTGCAAGGTAGATGGTCTTGTGGATTCAGTCATGACCTCAAGTTCGCCAACACTCTCGCCCTGCCCATGTTCGCCCATGACAGTAATCTTGCCGTTCGATCCCTCAACAACAGATCTCAAACGACCATTCAAAACAAGATAGATGGCATCGCTCTCATCCCCTTGGTGATAAATTACCTGTCCTGCGTTGACCTGCACCCACTCTAGCGCGAAATCAATATGAAGCAGCAAACGGGGCAACAGTCGTGTCAATCGCTTTGCCAGCGTTAGCAGGGCAGCTGGGTGTCTATCTGCGATTCTCTCGAGAGAAGCACGAGGAAGGAACCCAACGTAAACGTCTGTCTTGGCCACAACATCGGTGTAAGAGCGGTAGGATGCAAGGGCACCTACATACCCTTGAATGCCACCAGGTTTGATCAGGTATAGAGATTTGCGGGACTGAGTCTTGCGTCGAGGGTCATTGCTGCCTGCTGCACCAGAGGCGGTACGCGACGATGCTGTCGTCGTTCGTCTCAGCTTCGGGAACAGCCCCTCTTGCGCTTGCGAGGCAGATCCATGGGAGGACCCAATAAGGGTATCGTCGCGTTCATTCGCTGGAATACCGACGTCCAAAAATCCATCAATGACGTAGTAGAGACCTGGATGTCGCTCCCCCTGTTCCACCAGAACCGAACCTTGGGGAAAATAGACTACTTCCATATCATGGCGGAGGTCTTCTCGCAGGTTTATCACAGGTGAAGTCCCGCCCGCGCTAGTCACTGACATGGAGGACATCATGGATTCCGTCTCGCCGTCACCAGACCCTTCGTAGGGATCCATGAAGCCAAAGGCGTTCGAGAAAACCGCCTTCTGACGGCGGTTATCGTAGGACAGAAGTCTCGGCGACGCCTCCCCAGAGTGGCTGCTCTTGCGCAGATTGTCTTGTGTGCCTTCAGTGAGCCCAATGGCGTTCATGATACAATCCAAGATCGACTCGCGGAAAATAGCATCCTCGTCAACTGACTCGTTTCGCTGGAAAGTTGGGGACAGGCCATTCATTGCAGCAGTGGTAGACACAAATTGCGGTTGCTCCCGCTCAGTAAGAGGGGTCTGGATCTGAGGTGCCAAATGCTCATATCGCGGTCCAAACCGGGACAACTGTATTGTTGACAACAGGTCGCCGGGGCTCACGCCTGCCGAGTCCCTGTCAATGAACGCCGATGGTGATCTTTGTGGGCTCAAGGGTGTGAGGGAACGCTCGCTGGCCACCTTTGCTTGTAAAAAGGCTTCTTTTCTGAGAGTACTCCGGGAGCGTCCTCTGCGACTGGCGGAAGGATTGTGAAGAGCAATGCCTTTACCAATTTCCTCCAGTCCCAATCTATCCCGCTCCCGCGTAAACTTGTCCTTCAAACGATCCAAAGCACCTCCTCGAAGATTATTTGGAAGGTCCCAAGAGGTATATTTGGACATTTGTCGTTCTATGCCTAAAACCTCACTATTCAGACCCAGATAAGAATGGGCTGTAGCGAACGTGACCCGCTGGAGACGTGTCAAGATAACCTGGACAATATGCGACGTTGCCCGTGGGTAGACTCTGGTCAGGCGGCGGAATGCGCTCGCTGGAATGATGGCAATTGTCGTGTCCACTGTAGCCCGCGCCACAATATCTGGGTGTACCGACTTGCGGCGTTTCTTGTGGTCATCCCTTTTAGTCTCCGGCTGCGGGATCTCGCCAGAGTCCTGCTGCGGCATGGCATGGCTCTCTCCTATGTTTAGCGGTGGCACTGGAGACAATAAATCGCCAGATCCACTGGCTGCACTCTTCAAGTTCCTACCCTCTCCCATGGTGAACCCGGGACTGACAGAGGAGGTATCAGGCACATGGGTCGGTCCACTAGGAGTGGATATACTAGAGCTGTGACTTCGCGAGTTGCGGAGCTCAATATCTTCAGTAAAAAGTTGGAGGATAGAGAACAGAGACGACATCGAAGCACCGTTCTTAACCTCGGTGAGGAGCTGATAACCCTGTCGATTGCGAATATTCCGGTCCTCCTCGTCTGAGTAGTCATCGTCTATGTGGAGACTCTCTTGCGAACCTGACTTCCCGTCGCGTGCTGATTTCACGAAGATCTGGACCAGCCCATCCACAACCATGCAGAACCCCTTCTCCTCCTCCAGCATAAGCGTCTCTCCTGCAATCAGCTTCCTGGTCTGCATCGTCCGAGTCAGTTCGTGGAAGACGGGCCGTTCAAGATAGCCAAAAACTTTGATGGCACTGAGGAATTCATCAAGATAGTTGGCAAGTCCTGGTTTCGAATCCCCATCCTGGATATCGGGGAACAAATCGATCTGGGCTTCTTTGCGTTGGGGCTCTGGGGGCAGGCGGCTGTACATGTTCAGATACCGGTAACGGATGAACCAGCTGACGGTCGATATCAGGACAAGGAAAATTATCATGCTGGGAGTGATCAGCAACAGTGAATTCAATCAAGTCAAGATCAAAACCTACATGGTGGTGAAATTCATGGTGAAGGTCAAGCTCATGGAGAAGAGCGTGAAGAGCCATGTTGGCAGAGTAATTGTTAAGAATGCGATTATCGAGTAGAGAACACTTGGGACGGTTTGAAAGACAAAGGTCAACACCCATCCGGTCCATCCCGCCATGGTTGAGGGAGAAGAGAACGGTGGGGGTGAGAAGGTAGGATGAAATGAAGTTGGAGCTGTTAGGCTGAGGCCGAGCGATGGGGCAAGGCCAGGCATGTTAAAAGGAGCTCCGCTCTGGTTGAGACTAACTCAGATTTGACTTAGACCTCAAAATAAAGAAACCCAACCGTGGGCCCCGTTAGGCCTGAAGGTTGAAGGTCATCGCAGGAAGAACGGAGAGGTGCCGCATCACATGCAAGTTTACCGTTAAGAATGTGACATTTCCTTGATATGGTATACTCTTACTTGGACAAAGTACTTTAGTTCTTCCACATACACTATTTATGTTGACATGATTTATGCTGATAGTTTATATTCCAGGGTTCGATTGAAAATATCCTTGTTATCACCCAAATCCACAGTGATGTAATTGATTATCCTCGACGGATGTCCACCTACCCTGGAGATTTATAACAACTTAGCATTACCTAAATGTCTCTATTAACATCTGTCTTTTTTAACTGATGTATAAACGTGACAATGTACAGTCTAGATATCGTACATGTAAATAGCCACCCAACTTCAACTCGAGAACTATATATAAAGAATTCATATCAACCAGATTTCCCTAACTCCCTAAATGTCCGCTCCAAATTCATAAATCAAAAGGTTCTGAAATTCCCGTATGCTCGACGTGTCCCAAGTGCTATACCACAAATATATGCATACCATATTGCAGTTCCAAAGGTCCGACTCAAGTAGAAAACAAATCAATCACAATCTAATCAAAATACACTAGACTCAATTCTACCCGAGAGTACAAATCAATTAAAAAAAAAATAATAGAAGGAAATAGAATGAAAGTCCCAAGTCTTCTCAAAGAACGTAAACAACTAAACAGCCGAAGGTGACCTTCCACATGGCAGTTCCGCCTTGGCTCTCCCAAACCAATGCTCCCCCTCACTTCCGTTTGCGGTCAACTGCTATTCTTTTTGTTTTTGATAAACACCTTCGCTAGTGGTCTTGCGTTTTTAGAGTCTATTGTCGTCTGGGTTCTCAGAACCGCGGCAATGTTTCAGGTACCTGTCCCTTTTGATGATGCGCGTCTTGGATCCTAACACCGTCACAGCGCCTTCGCGACGCCATCGACTCTCGCATCGCAGAGGAACAAGCCCGTCAGAAATCCGCCCAAGAAAGTATCGAGCGCTCCAACTCCGCTCGCCGTCCGCCCGGACGAAACCAATCCCCGAGTCGGCGCTCCCTTCCAAGACGCAGCACCGGCACCCCCGTTCGAGGACCTGACCCCAAGGAGTTTGAGGCTGAATTTACCATCGGCGACGACGATGAATCCAGTAGATCCGGGACTCCTCAAACCGATACACCAGAGGCTACCTCCGAAGTAAAGACCTCCGAAGAGGGAGAGGGCGAAATGGCCCAAAGCAAGCCGGCGGAAACGGCCGAGAAAGAGAAAGGACAGGAGACAGAGGGGAAGGAGGCCCCAGCTGTGCTTCCACCCGATGTTCGCGCCAAACTCCGACGGCTTGATAAGCTGGAGTCCCGATATCATGGTATGCGTCTGCCTAACCAGACTGTAAGGCGCAAGACTAATTGAACAAATTAGAATTGCTCAAGGCTTACCGTACCGCTCACTCACGCGTCCTATCCATTGAACCCTTCGAAGCTGCCCTGCGCGAGAATACCCCGCTTACATCGATTGGCGAACCTAAAGCTTTTACGGAGTACCTCAACCAGTCAACCTTGAAAAGCGACATGGTTATGGAAGAGCTGAAGCGTGTTACCGAAGAACGGGAAGATTTCAGAAAGAAATTCGAAGAAGCACAACAGGCTACCAAGGAGGCTTTGGATGAGGTTACTGGCCTTAAAAAGGAGAGACACCACACCGATACACCCAAGGGGACAGATGGAACCGAGGAGCAGGCCAGTGAAGAGTTCTTCTCGTTCGATAATGAGGTTCCCCGATTGGAAGGTGAACTGAAGGAAAAACAGGAAGAGGTCGAGAACCTTAAGACAGAGGTGGAAAAGCTAAAACGCGACATGTCTGTCACCCGCGAGTCGACTGAAGGCATGGTGCAGAACTTGGAGACAGCCACCCGTGAGCTTGTCGAGCTGCGTGAAACCAAGGACAACCTAGATGCCGAGGTCAAGACCCTGCAAAGCTCCAAGAAGGCTGAACTTGACGACCTAGAGGCAAAACTAGCAACCGCGGAATCCTCTCTCAAATCGACCACATCCGAGGTTGAGAAGCTCAAGTCGCAGCTCAAGGAGAAGAGCGAGGAAATTGACAAGCTCCAGAAAGAAGCTTCCGAAAAAGCTGAACCTGATTCGGACCTGGCTGCTCAGTTGGAGACTACCAAGGAGGAAAAGAAATCCAACGAAAAAAAGCTCGTTGTGCTCCAAGGCTTAGTGGACGGTCTCCGGTCTCAACTTCAGGACACCGAATCTACCGTTTTGGAATTGAAGAGTGAGATCGACGAGAAATGTAAAGATTCTGCCAAACTCCAAGACATTTTCGAATTTGTGGATGGGAACTTGAAAGAAAACGCGATGTGGGTCTCTGCTAAGGAGAAAGTCTTAGCTGGAGAGGTGGCCGATTTCAGTGAGGTCGTCAAGACTCTGGCACCGGTCAAGGAGGAACCCACGCCCAGTGTCCCTGCTCCAGCTCCAGCTCCTAACGAAGATGAAACACAGCCTGCCCAAGCGATTGGTGGTGGTAGTGGAGGGAAGAAGAAGAACAAGAAGAAGAAGAAGGGTAACAAGGTGGAGGAATCTTCTAAGCCGGCTGATGCAGCTCCTGCGGAGCAATCGCTCCCAGAGGCGCCTGCGACAGCTTCCAAAGAGCTGGATGAACTCAAGCAAAAGATTGAAACCCTCACCCAGCAATTGTCCGAGAAGGAAGCCGCTATTGAACGTCTCAGTTCCAAGTTGAAAGGCGAGGACAATTACAAGGAGGAGATTGAGTCCCTGCGCGATGACCTTGTCAATATCGGCCAGGAGCATGTGGCAGCCAAGGACAAGATCAAGGAGCTATCAGCAGAAAAGTCTTCTCTTGAAGAAACTATCAACAAACTCGAGAAGGAATTGGTGGAACTTCGCACCAGCAACGCTTCGACCTCAGCTGATTCAGAGAAGATGCACAACTCGCTCAAAGAGGAATTCGATAACCTCAAGGTCCGCTCCGCTACCTTGGAGACTGATCTTTCCGCCGCCCAGCAGCTGGCTGCCACTCGGTTCAAAGACCTGACAGACCTTCGCGAAACTCTTCAGAAAATTCAACCCGAGCTGCGTAGCCTACGTGCCGAGTCTTCGGAGCTGAAAACCCTAAAGGAAACTCTCACCAGCAAGGATTCCGACTTGAAGACCCTTGAGGGCAAGCATGAGGATTTGCGTGCTGAGCTGAAGGCCTCCAAGTCGAAGATCTCAGAACGTGACACAGAAGTGAGCACTCTCAACAAGAAGATCCGACAAGAGACCGACAGCCGATTGAAGGCCGAGGAGAACCTTACTGTTGCCCAATCCAACCTGCGCTCTGCCGAAAGCAAAAAACAAGATGCCATCAATGCCAGAGACAAAACTACTGGCGATCTCTCCAAGGCCCAGGACGCGTTGAAGAGTACTCGCGCGAAGATGCGGGAGATGGATGAACAGATTTCTCAGCTGAACAAGGAACTTGGAAGCCTTCGAGATGAGATCCAGCTAAAGACAGCTCAGCACAGCAGCGCCCAGAGCTTGATGAACAGCATGCGGGACCAGACCACGGAAGTTGCAATGCAAATGAAGGAGGCCCGTGAGCGCTGCGAGAGCTTGGATGAAGAATTGGCTGATGCTCACCGTCTGCTGAGCGAGCGAACCCGCGAAGGCGAGACCATGCGCCGTCTGCTCAATGACATTGAGGGTCGTTCGGAGTCGAAGGTGCGAGACTTCAAGGAACGCATGGAGGCTGCTATCGAAGAGCGAGACCGTGTCGAAGATGAGGCCAGCACCCTAGGTCGACGCCGCGCTCGCGAGGTGGAAGAACTCAAGGGTAAGGTCCGCGAAGCTGAGCGCGCTCTCCGCACGGCAGAACAGGATAAAGAGGAGCTTGAACAGTCGCAAAAGGAGTGGCGCCGCCGTCGTGATGAGCTCGAATCTGTATCTGAAAAGTCATCTCAGGAAGTGACTGAGATTCGACAAGCCATGGCTGGTCTGCGCGATGCCCTCGACGAAAGCGAGAAGCAAGTTCGCGACCTCGAAAAGGACAAGGCGGAACTTCGTCGCTCGGTGGAAGAGACAAACAGCAGACTGGAGAAGCTTCGAAGATCCCACAAGACACTCGGAGAGGATGTTCGCCTGCGTGGCTCCCCGTCTCGACAATCTTCGCGGTCATCTTTGGATTCAGGCTCTCGCCGGCCAGTCGTATCTCCTGGTAGGAGCGAGTCTCTTACCGGTCCGCCCACCAATGCCTCCATTGACTACATGTACTTGAAGAATGTTCTTCTCCAATTTTTGGAACAGAGGGACAAGAACTATCAGAAACAGCTGATCCCTGTGTTAGGGATGCTGCTCCATTTCGATCGGTGAGTTTCCGAGCTGAACCTTCTATCCAACAACGGTCACTAATAAACACAGAACCGATGAGCAAAAGTGGATGTCGGCCATCATGTCCAAATAATTGGCATTTATACCCATGGGCGTGGATTGCATATCTGAGTCCCTTGCTCTGTACAATATCATTCTGTAGAGATAATATTATGTTCCTCTATCAACGTAAAATAAGACACTGTCGAATTCAATGATAACCCTCTGGCTGTCGAGAAAGTATCGAGACAAAGCACATTATCATTCGAACCAAGTTGAAAATCCAAGTAAAAACAATAGTTGAACTGCCCAAAAGAAAAATCGGCAACACTGCCTAATCCGGTATAGCGAATCCCCGGGTTATCGCGAAGCTTAGCAAAAAAACTGTAGGCGCGCATACACTAGCAAGGTACAAAAGTCCGAACAAAAAAAGACTTGGAAGTTCTGGACTTCGCCATGGATTACGTTCGTCCTCTCACCAACACTACCAACACTATGGTTGACCAACCCACCATTCGTCTCGCGACTCCCGAGGGTAAGTGCATTGACCCCTCTGGCGCAGAACCCCAATTAACACCAGGTAGACGTCCCCCTCATCCTCCAATTCATTTGCGAATTAGCAGACTACGAAAAAGCCCTCCATGAAGTCGAAGCCACCGAAGAATCCCTCCTAGCAACCCTCTCCTTCCCCGATACTCCGCCTAGACGCGGCGCTGTCTACACAGCTCTCATTACCCCGCCGCCTACTGCCGACACTCCGAATCCAACCCCCGTCGGCATGGCTATGTACTTCTACAACTACTCAACTTGGAGATCTGCCCCTGGTATCTATCTCGAGGACCTGTATGTGCAGCCTAGCGCGCGGGGTAACGGATACGGCTTCAAGTTGCTCAAGTACCTTGCTAAGCAGGTGCTTGAGGTGTCGGGTCGACGACTGGAGTGGAGTGTACTCACCTGGAACGAGCCTAGTATTAAATTCTATGAACAGGTTGGTGCGCGCGGTATGGACGAGTGGATGAAGATGATGGTTGAAGGGGATGCGTTGACTCGTTTGGCGGGGGATGCGTAGAGGGATGGGGGATTGTTGAGTAGCACAAAAGATAGCGGGATGATCGCTTGGGGATTTATTTATATTGTAATATTCTTTGCAGATTGAGAGCAGAAGTGGGCTATACATGTACATCTAGCACATATCTATGATGACAGCTATATATGTATATATATGGCTGAATGTTTGTACCTGAATAAGGAAATTGAAATCAATCCAAATACAAGAATCTTAGTTCTACGTCATAAGCACAATTCTATACAGAGAAAACATCCAAATTGCGTCGTAAATTGCAGTCTGATCCTTGATGGCTTCGCCCCTAAGCCCTTTAGCGCCAGGTGACGGCATCGACCCGCAGATCATCTCGATTTGTCCGTTCCACCTTCTTTCTCCTTTCCACACACCAGCGATGGCGACAATCCCAGATAATGTCCAGGAGTATAATCTCCATGTGGACTATGTCATCCGTTACAGCTTCGGAGACGTAGGTGAGTAGAAGAGAGAGCTCTCCAGGGCTGATATGTGGCGGGGCACTGTCTAACAATCGCAGACCGATCGCAGGCAATTTTGCAGCTGGAAAAACTGCTTCAGGCACTGGCCCAAGTTGGTCTACAGGTAGAAGTACGACAGGGCGATGAGTCGTCTTTGCTTGTTTTTGTGAAAGCTTCGGAAAAGCGGCTGAGACGGGCGGTCTATCGGTCGCGGTGAGTGACAAATGATGTTATCTATAAGAGCCAATGTGCTAATTTCGACTTGTATCTCCACAGAGTACGAGACTGGCTTTATGGTATTCGAAATGCTGAGCCCACCCCTTCCAACTCGACCGAGCCCCAGACCGAGGCTGAGCGCCTACGGGTGATCAACCAGATGATTACACTTCCCAAGGAAGAGGGCGGTGCTGCTATCACTCCCAACCATGGCGAATGGAAGAATGTCACCGCTATATTCCCCCTTCATGATGTCGATACAAATAAAAAGTGGATACGAGATTGGAGCTCGAAGACCTTCCTCTCAGATGACGACTTGGATCAGATCCGCAACAAGTTTGGAGAAAGTGTATGTAGAGCAAACGGTTGCTATTCTTCGGTCTGGCTAACAAAAATGGTAGGTTGGGTTTTACTTCGCGTTCCTGCAGTCATACTTCCGATTCTTGATTTTCCCGGCGGTCTTTGGATTCTCTTGTTGGTTCCTCCTCGGCGGGTATTCGATTATTTATACTATCGTCAATTGCCTTTGGTGTATCATTTTTGTGGAATACTGGAAGCGTCAGGAGCTTGACCTGAGCTGCAGGTGGCAGACCAAGAATGTCTCAGCCGTTCGGACGAAACGACGAGAGTTCAAGGCAGAAAAGGAGGTTCGCGATGAGGGTACTGGTGAGATGCGCGGTGTGTTCCCGGCAACTAAGCGCATGCAACGGCAGCTACTCCAAATCCCCTTCGCCTTGCTTGCAGCAATTGGCTTGGGTGCTATCATTGCGACTTGCTTCGCCATTGAGATCTTCATCTCGGAGCTCTACAATGGCCCATTGAAAACATACTTGGTATGGTAATCCTTCCAATTCCCTGTTACCAAAGCTTACCATCCAGATCTTTATTCCAACCATTCTTGTGTCAGCGCTTGTTCCAACCATGAGCGCTATTTTGACATCTATCGCAACGAAGCTGAATGACTACGAAAACCATGAGACAAAGGATGCGTATGACGTTGCATTGACTCAGAAGGTCTTTGTTATCAACTTCATCACGTCTTATATGCCAATTTTCTTGACGGCCTTTGTCTACGTGCCATTTGCTAGCCGGATTGTCCCCTACCTCGATGTCTTCCGCTTGACAGTCCGGCCTTTCGTATCGAAGGAACATGCCGTTGCAAAACAATCGCACTTCCAAATCGACCCAGCTCGTCTGCGCAACCAGGTTATCTACTTCACTGTCACCGCGCAGATCGTTGGCTTCGCCATGGAGACTATCGTGCCCTATATTAAGCAGCATGCACTCCGCAAGTATAAGAAGTACAACAGGGAGCGCAATGGCAAGATGGACCGGAGCGACGACAAAGAATCGCCCGAAAGACCCGTCGTGTCCTTCGATGATCCGGCCGAGGAAGTGCAGTTCCTCACGCGTGTGCGTAACGAAGTCGAGCTTTCCGAGTACGACGTGACCGATGATCTGCGCGAGATGTGCATTCAATTTGGATATTTGGCCCTTTTCTCTCCCACATGGCCGCTTGTTCCCCTTTCATTCTTTGTGAATAACTGGATCGAGTTGCGATCAGACTTCTTCAAAATCTGCATGGAGTTCCGCAGACCTGTACCGTTGCGGACCGACACAATTGGACCCTGGCTTGATAGCCTGGGATTTCTCTCCTGGGTCGGAAGTATCACCAGTGCTGCGCTGCTATACATGTTCAGTGGCAACGCACATCACGGGCCCAATGGCGAGCCGACAGATATCAAAGGCTGGGCTCTGCTTTTGACAATATTTTTTTTCGGAACATCTTTATCTTATTGTGAGGTATGCTGTGCGGGCTGGTATGGCCAGAATCGAACCTCCTAATTCCCGCAAGGAGCGCGCTGAGCGTTATCTCGTGCGCAAGCGCTATATTGAGTCGACTACCAATACAGAGGCCGATGAGGAGACGGATGAGAATGATGCCACCTTTATGGCTGAGTCAACTGGTCTCTCAAGGACGGATCTCGAGGATGATGCTCGGCGTACATCCTTGCATGGCGCCGACCCAGCAGCCCGTTTCTGGATGCATCAGCGAGGCTGGACGGAGTCAGCGAAAATTGGAGCGGGGATTATACAGGCACAGCCTAGCAACAGTACCATGAAGAAGCAACAGTAGGGCTTGAGAGTTGTACAGAGTTATGATGTAGGTGCAGGAGCATATGTGGCTGACTTTGTTTTGGGAGTGGATACGAGACCACGGGATTATAGATATTTCATTTAGTACACGATGTGCAAATCCATATTCATCACCCATATTAGTTCGATTCATGCCTCAACTTGTCCTCGATTGAATGGAATGATTGTCCTACTCCTGGTGCCTGTTTGTGAGACAGACATGTGTCGCCTCAGGCAGAAATGTCGGGATAGCCAATAGATATGATGTCATGCTAAATCGGTCGGAAATAAGTAAGCCCGTTCCGAGGCCGGATGCAGGCGGAATGCAGTCAGCAAACCTTAGGTACTTATGTACTCCGTATATGTTCATGGTTGAAACGATAGTATACGATTGGTGGGGGATGACGAGTAACCATAGGATTGTGGTGTAACCCAATCACTGTATATGCGGCATAAGATAAGTCGGGCGGCAAAAAGTGCGAGATAAACTCCGGGGTAAAAGCTACCGCCTATTTCACCGCCTGCTCAATGCGGACATTTCGCTTACCAACTCCTTACATAAATCGACGATCGCCCCAAATCCACTGACTCAGAATCCTTAAGTAATCCTCCTCCTCCACCTTGGTGCCGCCATCATTTTGCTTACAGCATCGGATCTGTAACTGCTTACCTCATTTTGGCTGTATTTTGTTATCAGCAACGCAGCTCTCTTTGCTCTCAATTCTTGTGGGAACTAAGTGTGCTGTGCAAAGTCACTTCCCAATTTCATCACCAATTCCGTTTCTTCTTAATCAATGCAGCCTGCACTGGCGCCAGCGCCGCATCCAAGCATGCAGACTTCTGCTCAGGTAAGCAGGCCACCTTGAACGCGTTTGTCATCAGATCTATATGAGGTCCCGCGTTGAGTCCTTGATACTTTGGATACAAGGCAGTCGTGTCCCGTTATCCACGTGTCGGGAACGGGGCTCGACGTTTTGACGCGTCGAGTCTCCATCCAGTCTCCCCGCGTCACAGTTGTCATTTTCTGTGGTATCATACTAACATTTGACCATAGGACCATGCGGATCAAGGTACGTGACCATAGCTTACAACGCTCTTGATGTGTGATTGCCATTACCTTTGAGTGATTTGTGGATGTGTGGACTCGAGGTTGAAAACTACCTAACCCCAATCACGTCCCTCATCTCACCGGGGCGAATTAGGGTGCACGTCACACGTGATTGTGACCGATTGCTAATACATGAATTCATAGTCCTCCATGACCAGCTTTTAGCTGCTCAGCACCATCTGGGTGGTCGCCCCCAGGGTGCTCCAGGCCAGCAGCAGCATTTGCAGCCCAATAATGCTAGTCCCCGTGACCAGGCGAACATTGACCCTGCTATCTCCGGTGCCATGCTCGGCGCTCCTCAAACCCCCACCCAGCCCCAGGGCTCTCCACCATCTGACGGCGGATCGAAGAGCTATGGCAAGCGTGAGCTGTCCACTTCCAAGCGCGCTGCCCAGAACCGTGCTGCTCAGGTATGTCTTTTTGATATCGTGTACAAAGTACTCTACTCATCATAGCAACAGCGCGCATTCCGCCAGCGCAAGGAAACCTACATCCGCAAGCTGGAAGAAGAGGTTAAGAACATCGATCCCCTCAAGGAACAGGTCAAGTCGCTGGTGGGCGAAAACTACCAGCTACGCGAGTACATCATCAACTTGCAATCGCGTCTCCTCGAAGCTCAGGGTGAAGTTCCCGAACTGCCGGCCAACATCGATTTGAGTCAGCCTCGCACCACTGAAATGGCGCTTGCCTCTGCCGGAGTTCAGAACCCCAGCCCATCGGGGTCGGTGCCTACTCCGGGCCCCCAGGGCCAGCACGCCAGTTCTGTCTCTGATGACATGAATTCCCTCAACCGCATTGCTGCCGCCACACTCGGCATGCGTAAGCATCCCGATGACACGAACTTCCTGAACAACAACAACTTTCAGCAGAATAAGCGGGTGCGCACAGACGATAATCAGGATGGGAATGACGGCGTGAACAAGCAGGAGATTACACACGGTCTCCCTATGGTCAACTAATCACCATCTCATTTTCATCGCCGTCTTGATTGCCTGTGTTTTGCGATCACTTTTCGATACCCGCGTCTGTGTCTTTTCTTTGCTTATGCGCTATTCAGCTTCGGTGTTACGTTATGCTTGACGACACATGCAATATTTCTAGCTCGCCTGTTTGGCTTTATCTCCTGCGTCTTTTTCCTTTACTATTATGTCATGTTCCCCTTTTGCGTAATGGTGTGCGGCGCAGTGAGTAATTCCATCCTCTTGATTTCGGCTTCGCGACCCGGTGGTGTTTTGAGATATCTTGCCTCCATTATGGCCGGTTGATGGGGGAACTTTATTATCAATCCCGCATTTGTTTCATACTTCAATTCGATCTATCTGCTTACCTGCCCAACACATTGGCTACAAGCCGCGGGTATACGTACCTACACATCAGGCTTTCGCCTGGTGGGGGTTGCTATCCGCCCATTGTCAGAATTTTTACTTTGATATCACGCTTTTTGAGCTGTTCTTTGTAGTCTACTCGATCATTTGGTATTTTTAGGGCTTGTCTAGACATACCCAGTGAAATGAAGCTATCGGAGACAGTCCTTTTGAGGCCGAGCGCTTAGACACCTACATGTACCTATCAGTCCACATACATCCGTTGTGTCCAAATGATATAACATGATAGGGCTTCCACGCTTCATCTAAACGCAAGTGTCAGATAATGCTGACCATGTAGTTTAGATATATCCTACTGGCGTAACCAAGTATATCTACGACAGTGCGAATAATTATAGACTACATATTCGAAATTTTTAGATCGCATTGGAAACATCTCGAGGGGAGGGCCAGCAGATCTTCATTGTCCATCGTGGCCGCGACGCTACTCTTTTTCTTTTTTCCTTCTTTTTCATCTTTTTTTCTTTTTTTTGAAATTCAACATTCAGCGAGAGACAGTGGCTGTTTAATGGAACCCAACAAATTGACCCAATTGGTCTATCTGTCTCAACTACGCCACGGGTGGGGACCGAGGCGGATTACATTATCAGCACATCGCCTTTTCAGCGTATAGAGGCCGAGAATATAGTCACTTCATTGCTCAACGCCTGCCCACACTGAGCTTTCCGGGCCAATGGTAACAGCTCCCGCGGCTTGATCTACGACGCTGCTATATTGTGTCAATCAAAATGCCAGACTCAACAACAAAACGTCCGCCAAGGAGTGCGGGAAGGCGCAGGCTCGATGCACCCGACGCCATACTATCCGAGGTATTCAATCCCCATGGAATAAGCAAAACAGTGGAGAAGCTACTTTCTGATGCCTCCCGCAGAATCGGCGAAGCCAAATTCGCCGTGCTCAAAGGACCTACAGATTGAAGAAAGAAGCCAGTCTTCAACAATCACAGAAACAAGTGGCATTCCTCGAGAATAAGATGAAAAGAATTGAAGAGTCGCTCGCAGATTACAGAGTTATCCTTCAGTCCAGCTTGCAAGACACACAATGCGAGCTCCTCAGGGATTTTGACAGTATTCTAAGTCTTCTGGCGTCGTCCGAGGACTTTCTTCCGGGAACTAGTGTCGACGACAATTCATTGAGAGAAACCTCCAAGAAGTCTACCCTGCAGCCACGCAAGAACATCCAGCCTGATGAACATGTCTCCAATGATACCATTCATGATCATCAGGTGATTACTGAGTCAAGCTCCACATACATTGAAACGTCCCCGGAGATCGAGGTCAATTCATACCAAGGAACCGGAGACAGGGTCCTTCGTGGATCCCCAATTGTCATACAGGAACAGAGGGGGTTAGATTATAACCAACCCATGGTGCAAATCATTGATCGATTTGGTGGAGCCAATCCTCCTGAGTCTTATTCATTCCTGGAAAGTTCCTTCACTCGAAGACTCAAACGATCCAGTCTAGAGTATGCTTTCCGAATATTCAATGATACACGTTCTGATCCGCTTGAGGTCTTCCGAGTATTCAGACTTGTCCCGTGTTTCAGGGATAGGGCAAAGATGCACCCCTATTTTAGGGACCTGGTCACTTCTGGACGAGACAGCTCATTGGAGATTTCTACACTACCATTTTATGGTATTGGGGGAGCTGGAACTCATTATGCGACAAAAGATTACGAAGGGAATCCAATTTACCCCCCGAAGATGAGGCTCCCTCGAAGGATCCTCGGTACTCTACCCATGCCTGGGACCCCCGGTGACTCCAATTCTGACCGCCAGACTCAGAGTAATCTCGAACTTTGTGGGTTCGGCGGCCAGTGGTTTGACTGCCGTGATGTAGAAGGATACCTAAGAGAGCAAGGTGTAGACTTGGACGGGCCTGGTTTGTTTCCCACTGTGAATAACTTGGCATCGAGCCCCGGTCAATCTGAACTTCAATCTGGTTTATTGGAGACTCAACGCAGATTATTTTCCGAAACCCAAACTGGTAAGTTGCTCTCACTTGCCAGAAAGACTTCCACTCATGGTTCACAGATTTCATAATCTCGGCATCACCTCAACAGTCATCTCGTTGCGTACTCGACCTTGAATCTTTCTTGATAGGTGAGTTTCGCATGATATCATGCTAAATCCTATTTCTAAAAACAATCCTAGGACTTCTTCGCGGGGTGGCTATATTAGGACGAGCACCCGGTTTCCGGCGATCTGATGTTGAATCCACCTTTCGCTCGGCCTTAATGCGAAATCTAACTTAGATGACAATGATATACGAACTGATGTAAGATTAATCAAGCAAGTCCAGAAGTTATACATAGAAAAGTCGCTTGCACAGAGTATGGACTTTCCGCCTTTTTCTGCCGCCTTGAATAGACTGGAAAGGGGAAAACTATTTTAAAGATATCTAAGAAAAAATGGGAAGCCCACTGAGAAGGCTATTGGAAAGACTGCTGAAGAGACCACTAAAAAGCCCTGTAAGAAAAGACATCATAAGGCCGCAGAAGTGGCTGTCTACACTTGTATGATTAATTGAACAACTCTACCAGAGATCGATAAGAGACCGAATTAACATCTATTGAATGATTTATTTCGCAATTAGTGCATAGAACATGAAAATATATCTAGTTCATTTTGACTATGTACATATGTAGGCTCCATTCCTTCCCAGCTGCGTTGCTTGGGAGGTGTCGGGTGGAGCCCTAATGATTACATTATCATCATGATGCCTCCGAGGTCCCATCAGAAGTTTCCAACGGTCTAAACATAGTTGGCTCGAGAATTGCAAGCCCAACAATACTCGGTCCATTGATATTCACATTCCTAAATCTCACCATGGGGCCTTTTGTTGGGTTGGTGATCCACCGTAACCAGGGGCCTCGGTACATAAGAATATTCTTCCTTACCACAAAGAACATATATTTGACATCTCCCTCTATTCTAAAGTATTTCGATACCTGGCATCGAAACCGCAGAAAAATTGTTAAGCCTCACCTCTTTGACACATGCAAGCCGGAGATAGTAAGTTGGCAAATAAGAAACCCTACTGGTGCGCCAAATGCTGACCAGTGACAAAGAACGAACGCTTCAAGTATCCCTTGACAGAATGATGAACGTCACTCGTTTGCTCTGTACACTATGGGGCAAACATCAGGTAACGATTGTCATTGCTTTCATCAGCTACATAGCACTAGTGGGCCTCCTTCGATACCGCCGCATGACAAGGATCCAGGCCCCATTCGCACCTGGCAAGAAAGACTTGTCGGAGATGACAGTCAAAGAGGCACATGCTATCCTGACCGAGTTACAAGAGCTCGAGTTTCCACATGCTTTTGCTAAAGCTCGTAAAATTGCCCTATTGAAGGTAGGACAGGGAGATGTGACCGGTTCAATCATGACCGCGAAGAAGGCCGCTAACTTCAAACAATCCTTAGGCTGGAGGTATCCCAACTATGTCCAAACTCTTTGCGGTTACAGGCCAAAATAATAAGCGGAATTCGGGGAAGCGCGCTGTTGATACGGAAATCCTCTTGCGAGAGGTGCAGTCTAAACCAAGGGATTCTGACCGCTATTCGTCAGCTGTGGCCAGAATGAATTTTCTGTATGTCCTGTACACTTCTGAAGCCAACTTGCCTTTATGTGGAGGCAAATATCAAGTTTTTTGTTCTGTTCGCTGACCATAGGCATTGTTAGCCATGCTCGTTACCGTCGTGCTAACAAAATCACGGATAATGATCTCCTCCATACGCTGGGTGACGGTCTTGCCGAGATCCTGAATGTTGTTGAGAGAGATGAATGGCGCAAGCTTACTGACACTGAGAAGTGTGCCCTTGGTATCTTCCACAAGAACTTGGGGGAAGACATGGGTATCCCATTTGATGTCCTCCCTTCAAAAGCCGATGGATGGAAAAATGGCCTGCATTTCGCGACCGAATTGATAGACTGGACAATTCGGTACGAAGAAGAAGTGGCTAAGCCCACAGCAACGAACGATCAATACGTCCGAGTCTACGTCGATTCAGCATTGTCATCGCTTCCTGGGTTCATAAGAATGACTGTGCGAAAAATGCTGGGTAATGACTTAGACGATGTCATGAGAAGGAGTCTTTGGTAAATCTTGTCTCTTGTTCAACTATGGAAGTTACTCTGTTCACTAACCTCTATAGTCTTGAGTCGCCCGGCCTAGTCCTCTGGTTCCTACTGGCCTTCATCCGAGAGGGACGAAAAATATTCCTTCGATATGTTGCACTTCCACGCTCTTCGTCCAGTGCTGTTAAATTAGTGGACGACATGCCAAACCAAGAGACCCATCTATATAACTTTCAAAGAAAAACACTGCAGCCTTGGTACGTTAAACCAACTTTTTCGTCAAAATGGGGGCTCGGTGCGATGCTTGTTAGAGCACTAGGAGGAAAGGTGCCTGGGTCGCGAGGAGACCGCTATCAACCAGGAGGATACGACTTGATGACAATCGGGCCGGAGCCGCAAAAAGAGCACGGAGCAGAGGAGATGATATCCGATATCGAGGTAATAAAAGCAAGAGGTGTGACTACATGTCCCTTCTCACAGGCAAAGGCAAAGTCGGGATGACTCTGAGTGAAGTTGTTCCATTATACATGACCTTGGGGTTATATTGAATGCAGCAGACAGGCAGCCCTGGTGGTTTCGTGAACTACTATGTAGTAGCATGGACCAAGATACGAAATTTTGATGTGACAGAGCGAAAATGCAAAGCCTTAGCTGATCAAGATCAATAATATTGATCTGCAGATACTATGATGCAGGTGCTATCTATTTAATTTTCATCAAGGCCATACTCCTTGATAAGAACTTCAGCACAAGTCACACCCGTAACGTAAGCAGTAGTCTGTGTGTGGTTGTTAGTGAGAACAGGAACGACGCTCATATCAGCAACGCGGAGGTTCTCTATGCCCCGCACGCGGAAATGCGTGTCAACAGCAGCGTCACTGGCATCAACTTTGCCCATCTTCACTGTGCCGGTCATGTGCCAGGTAGAAGAAAGAAAATCCTTCCAGAACTGGAGGATGTCCTCATCGGAATCAGATGCGGGCCCGATCAGCGTGGCCACAGTATCCTTCGCAAAGGCCTCTTGTCTACTAACTTCCAGCAGGTGTCTATAGATCTCTATACAGGCGCGACGATCGAAGGGATCTTCGAGGAATCGCGGGTTGAACAGCAACGGAGCATCTGGGTCGGAGGATTGCAGGCGCACCTCGCCGAGGGACTGTTCGTTCATCATGAGTGCCGCAAGAGCCACATAGCTGTAATCTTTGAACATATCGGGTAACATAAAATGGATCGGAAAGTGGGTGATCATTTCGTAGTGGGGAATGGTTTCGCGGTTCATGAATTCTTGCACGGATGCCGGAAGTGCTTTGAATTCGGGTGAGGAGGTGATACGGTCTGATTTGAACCAGCCACAGCCGATCTGGCAGCCGTATCGGGTCCATAGGCCAGTTCTGTTATCTTCCCACTGTTTCAATGCAGTCTCCATGGCGGCGGGGTCTTGGAAAAACGAATTGCGGTCATTTGTCCCGGGGTTACGGGCAAGAACCAGAGGAACAAAGTAGTGATCTCGGAGACCTTGTCCAATGGCGGGGAGATCATTGACTACAGCAATGTTGAATTTCTCAAGATCTGCTGCTGGTCCGATTCCAGAATACATTAGGATCTTCGGGGTGTCGAGTGAACCCGCAGAAAGAATCACATCCCGGGAGGCGAAGTCTGTGAACCACGTCAGATAAAGTTAATTGGGGAAGTTCAGATTGAAACATACATTGGTTGCCCTGGGTCTCTACTCCAATAGCCTTTCTGCCCTTCAACAAAACCCGCTGGACTGGGCTGTCTGTGATAATCACAAGATTATCAGGAGCACCCAAAAGCAAGTCAACAGCCGTGGTACGTTCCCCCTTGCTAGCAGAGTTAATAGTGGCAGCCATGCCGAGGGGGTTACCCGAGTTGTGATCTGGGTTGAGCTTGTGTCCAGCGGCTTCGAATGCATCTAGCGAGAGTGACAAGTCTCTTTCCCAATCATCCGCATACCCGACGCGCAGGCCACCCGAATCGCCGTGGTCGGAAGCAACTGAATGAGCATATTTCTGATTCTTCGAGTGCGTGGTAGCGCCATTGAAGGTCTCTAGATTCTTGAAGCGGGTTTGCATCTCCTTCCATCCGAAGGTCTTATCGTCCACTTCAGAGGCCCACTCATTGTAGTCGTCCCGCGCGCCTACAGCGTAAACTCCGAAGTTGATTGCTGAGCTACCCCCCAGACCCTTGCCACGAGAATAGTCGAGCTCGCGCCCATTGCAATGTTCCTGAGGTGTGGTCTTATACCCCCAATTCATGCTTCCTTCCATGAATGTCGTCCAGCGTTTTCCATCTACCCGCAAAGCCCTATCATCGTTGGGCCCACCTGCCTCAAGAAGTAGAACTAGAGGTCTTTGGGCTGATTTGGCCAAGCCTGCAGCCAGCGCGCAACCAGCTGGTCCACCTGTTCAAGGATGATAAGCATGAGAGACTGCATGTGTGTTCGGTACATAATTACCTCCTACGATGACAAAGTCGTAATTGCTTTTTGTAGATTTCATGATGGATGTAGATTTTTAGCATACAGAATGTGTGATGAGAACTTGGTTTCAGGCCAGGGCAACAAATAAAGTATATATAACCTATTCCTTGGTGGGATACGTCCCTCGTCAGCTGAATACCGCTCTTCACGCAGTCGCAGTGGATCTTCAAAAAGCCCGCACAGCTGCAAGGACCCAATAATATGTGGGTCATCAGTAAATATACACCTCACTAGGGGATCTATCAATTCATCAATGCCTGGAAGCGACATATCGATGATTTGAGTGCAACATTCACATGGCATTGCATTTTCTTATATCCAGGACAGAGATAGATGGCAATCTCAGCCTGGATATTTCATAATTAGGCTCAAAGTTGTGTGGGGATTGTGGATGCAGATCCTATGCCGAAGGATAAGCTAATTCATTATTAGTGGCATGTCAAAGCAAGGCCGCGGCATGGGATCCATAACGGGCTTTGTTCAAACACCGCTCTTTGTCGCATACCTTTGCTCGAATGGTAAATCCCGGTACTGAATGGATGGTGTTGATGGTCTGAAATCCCAACTGCTCATTAAGTCAAAACACTCCTATTCCACAGGTTGATGATAGAGAGCACATCCTCGCAACACACAGTCTATGGCGAGTATCGAAAGGAATAATATTATTGGGTATTCCGAAACTGGAAACAGTCCAAATTCGATATGCCTTAAGCCGATGGGGACCATGTTGCGACCAGAGAGGACCAATCCAGGATATCAATCTTCTGAAAATAGAAGCTTTCCGCTCTAGAGATGAGTGTAGAGTGAAAAATTGACAATTTGGAAGTATATGTCAAGGTAACGGCAAGAGTAACAAGTCGCTTCTTTAGGTGAAGGCTTAGCGGAAGTCTGCATCACCATGGCCTGTATAGCTAGATCTGCGATGCTGCGGAGATGTTGGGCACGGAGTGAAGACACAGAAGGGATATATCTTCCATAGTGTCCATTTTTCCATGCCGATGAACTTCGGAGTATTGGAGGTGTCAACACGATTGGGAAGTTTCTTAAATCATAGAAGAACGCGAACGCACGGTTGTTCCGGGTCTCCGCAAGGGGATGGGCCAATTGTAAGTGAACCGATTCTCCACCCTATGCCGGGACTGGAGGTTAGCGCAAACTTGAGAAGATCAGAAATCGACACATTTTTGTCAGACGTGTGTATGTGGAATACGAAGTAGACAATTCTCTCTGGGCACTATAGCCACTTTAATCACTTGAGCCACTTCAGCCACTTCAGCCATCTCAGCCACCTTGAACTTTCAGTCACTCCCTGTTATACGAGAGTATAGACCTTCAATTTTGAAATGAAAAAAGATCATCCGCTAAGATCAATTTCCCCGAAGCCTATAGAACTAAAATTGGAAAAGAAAAAAAGCCGAGGTTTCAGTGTGGCGGTTCCTAAGGATTCCCTTTCTCGGCTTAGCTTGGCATCCCGGAGGCAAATACGCCGCGCATTTCTTCTCTCTCTCTCGACTCAACTTATTATGATATACTGCATCGAACATTTGGCTTCAATCCCTCTAATCCTTCAGTCTTCGACCTCATCGTCCTCAGAAACTCCAAATCTACCTTCACATCCTTGAGAAAACGAAGTTGCGACCATTCCCTCCATTTCAATCCCTTCCGAAATCCCTCCCACCTGTGTCCGAATAGCCGACAACCTTGCTACTCGGTACCATCATAGAAATATTTCGCGCAAATGATTTGCCTGGACTAGCACAACTAAGATGGCTGTAGAACTGACACAATTCAAGCAAAGTGTACTGCGGTTCTCACAAAGCGGGCCGTGAAATACCTTCCCGACGGCCTTTCCACCAACATCGAATGTATAAACTCGCCAGGCTGGTTGCCTTGGCGAGTATGGCGGGCTTATCGGGCGCTGCAAACATATCGGATTCTCCTGAAGGGCTCCGTGGATATAATGACGATAATGTGGCAGTGCGGACGTTGATGATTGTCTTCACTTCTATCGCATTATACAACGCCCTTGAATTGTTCATATTGTTGTTCTTGACATTTACTCGTTATCGTGGACTCTACTTTTGGACGCTTCTGCTCTCCGTAGTCCTCGGGGTAATCCCTCACGCCATTGGCTATCTGCTGGGGTTCTTTTCTCTAGCGCCATTATGGCTCTCTTTGACCATTAGCACCATTGGGTTCTACGTCATGGTTCCGGGCCAATCGATCGTCCTGTACTCTCGACTTCATTTGGTGGTTCAGAGCAACAAGGTGCTTCGGTTTGTTCTTTGGCTGATTATCATCGACGCGATAATCCTCCTGATACCAACGACCGTTCTTACCTTCTGTACCGCATACGCTCCCAGGCGGCCAGCCATTCACGGATACAGTATCATGGAGCGGTTGCAACTGGCCTGGTTTTGCGCCCAAGAGATACTCATCTCGGGAATTTACATTACCGAGACCGTGAAGCTGCTCAGAATGATGCCAGACAAGGACCAACGGCGATCTCGAATCATGTATGAATTGCTGGCCATCAATTTAGTCATCATATTGCTCGACGTTTGTTTACTCGTTGTGGAATACATTGGATTTTTTCAATCTGCAGACCACGTTGAAGGCCATGGTCTACAGTATCAAGTTGAAGCTCGAATTTAGTGTGCTCGGAAAGCTGGTCAATATCGTGCAGAATCCTCGATCGCAGCCCACCTCGTCCGATTTTGAAGAATACCCTGGCTTCGTGGATCCCACGCAGATTACTACGGATGTCACTCACGCTGCCCCACGGGAGTCGCAACAGGGGGGACGCAGAGGCTGGAATACAATGTCCGTGGAGAGTCTGCCTAGTTCTGAGCACAGAATTCGTCCATCCACCCAGTCGACCGACAACAGTACGCATCCATCCTGAAGCCGGACTTTCCATCATGAACCTTTTATCAATTGGACTCCATGTTCAAATAATCCTCCAGAGGCGCAACCACAGAGGTTTTGTTGTTTACTCGCCTCACCAGGTTTCTGGTGATCACATATGACAAATACTTCCAGGAGTAAATGATGCCACTATGCATCTTGCTTCGTGTGCTCTACACAACAAACTCGCCTACGCAAGTATGGAACAACCCCATTCCGTTCAATGAAATGCAAATCTCCTGGGTTTCTTTCATCTCGGTCGCGCAACGGAACATTTGCGCAGCGCCTCCAGCGCATTAACAATCCAATGCCTGGCGATTTCTGCCTCCCCGCGCGAAATTCGACCAGCCTTGCTGTCGATTTCTGCTGCTGTACAATATATAATGTGGTACAACCAGACCACTACGCAAAAACCCGCCAAATCCACCATAGGACTGCGATGTCCATATGTGTCAAACGTACATTTCAACAATAATTAGTTAATGCAGTCTATCGACGCCCAAGATTTGTTAATTTCAGCCTCATGATGTAACTACTACAATGACAATATTACATCGCCATGACATACTATCGGAGATCAAAATCAAGTGGAAACATTCATATCTAACAAGACAGTCCCGTTCGTAGTCGACGCAGCATGGAAAGCACCGTCACGATCCACCATGGCCCCTACGAGTCCATCCCTCCCACAGCTTCACCAGGTCTTAAATTTCTCCAACGGTTCCTACCAGCACTAGACTCACTCACTCCCGCCGAAAATCGCGTAACTCCTTTCTTCACACCCAGCGCTCCCATCCTCATCGGCAGCGATCCACCAACAGCCGCAAGCCAGGCAGTTCCTCTCATGGAAGTGCGTAGCCGTCATATCTGCAAATTCTACCATCAGGTTCATCTCGCCTGGGATATAGATCTTGGGAGGGACGTAGGCCCTGTCGAAACATCGTACAAGAGGACTGCCCCAGATGAAGAAACCGCCCAAAAAGGACAGCTCTATGCCCCACTAGCAGGGAACATACAAATGAAGCGCACGGTCATGTTTGAAGCGACATCCGAAACAACATTCGTCGCCGACCCTGACCAGTTCGCAGTCCGAGTGCGCGAGTTTAACGTCCTCGATTTGGAAGGTCGTGACGAGTCCGATCTGCAGATTGTTGAAATGAGGATCTTTTTGGATCAAAGACCTATCCAGGCCCATTCGGCAAGTCTCTTTGCCGGGTCAACTTATGGAACTTAGGCACCGGAGTGTAGATTACACAATAAAATGAGACTGATGGACGGGTCTTGCTTCTCCACTGCGGAATTCTCTAAGCTTCCCCCACTTGAGATGTACCTCTGGCGTCTGATTTCCGGCGTTCATCTTCGGCATGGGTTTCCCGAGGCCATTTCTTGGCTTTGCTGCTTTCCCTCTTAAGCTCGCATTACCCAGTGCCAGAATTCCTGAATAATTGAGATTTTCTCGTGATTCGCCAAGATGTTGCCAGTAAAAGGGCAAGCTGAGATCATTCAGAAGGTCTGTGGGGCCATTGACAAGTATGAATCCAAGCTCAGTGAGATCAATCAAAAGGCGTGTATTATTTTTGGCAAGCACACCATGGCTTTATTAACATTCAATAGATCTGGTCCAATCCCGAGCTTGCATTGAAAGAGTACAGCGCTCACGACAATATCTGCAAGCTTTTCGAGTCACTTGATGCTGGATACCAGGTTCAGAGAAAGGCTTATGGCATTGAGACGGCATTCGAGGTGATCTACAGCCATGGTGAAGGTGGGCGTACCATGGCTTTCAACGCAGAATACGATGCCCTTCCAGGCATGGGGCATGCGTGTGGACATAACTTGATCGCTACAAGTTCGATCGCGGCCTTCCTAGCTACTTGTGAGGCGATGGACACTCTGTACTCCGATGAAATTGGTTATTCCATTCGGCTACTAGGGACTCCTGCGGAGGAGGGTGGCGGTGGAAAGCTTCTGCTCATCAACGCGGGAGCATACAAAGACGTGGATGCATGTTTCATGGTCCATCCATTCCCGGTGCTTTCCGGCGCCCCTGATCTTATGAGCTCGAGTTCCTGCACCGGGCAGTATCTCGCAAACGACAAGGTTAAGGTCATGTTCACTGGCAAGCCCGCACATGCATCGGCTGCTCCGTGGGAAGGTATCAATGCTCTAGACGCAGTGGTGGCCGCCTATGTGAACATCTCAATGCTACGACAGCAGATCTTGCCTACGCAAAAAATACATGGAGTTATTTCACAGGGTGGAGATAGGCCGAATGTCATTCCTGCCTCGACGACGGTTGAATACTATATTCGATCGGAGACTGTGAAGACGCTCAAACCGTTGACTGAGAAAGTACTCAAATGCTTTGAAGCTGCTGCGACTGCTACAGGCTGCACGGCGGAATATGAATGGTACGATAAGGCGATTTTATATTCTGATACGCTTCGCTAACCCCATTTGCTAGGGAGGCCGCGTACAAGGATATGAAAATTAATAAGCCTATCTGTGACAGCTACGTCTCCGCTATGAATGCCATGGGCCACAGTACTATCTTCGATGCCGCAGGGCAGGTAGGAGGCCTTAGCGGAGGATCAACTGATATGGGTGAGCGTTGAAGTTCCTTAAAGTCGACGGGTGTGGCCAGAAGCTGACCAGTGTCTCCACTATAGGCAATGTCTCGTATGAAGTACCTGGTTTCCACGGTGGGTTCTATATTTACGCAGATGGTGTCAATCACACGCCCGAATTTACTGCCGGGGCTGGATCCGAAGAGGGATTCAAGCGTAGCTTGCACTGTGCAGCAGGAATGGCCGTGGTGGCATGCAGAGCTTTAGTCGATACAAGTTTCGCCACTGCCATCAAGTCGGACTTCGAGAAAGGCTTAGAGTTCTGAATACTAGGCGGGATTTAGTGTACTTTCATATTTCATGTGAGAACTTCTGAAATTGGACTGCAAGTCTATGACGGCACATTTTCCCTATCGACACCAAGACTATTGGTAATAGTCGCGGAATAGAGCGGCCTTCGTAGCGCATCTCGAATGCCTCATGTTCATTGATCACCACATCGCTTGGGCCCCTCCCCTATATCAGTTGCCGAGCGTTGACAGCTCAATTGCCGTACTTGACATCCGCTGAGGGGGAAGTGGACGTACCCCCCGGATCGGCTCCGTGCTGATTACAAGCCGGGGGTTTCAATTGACTGACCGTGCTGTGGGGTGCCGAGATGGATTACCCGATTGGCAGGCTCGCCTGTTCTCCGGGATCAACATCGCGGGGAAATTCTGATGATAACCTAAAATGAAACCGTACGGTCTAATTGGTGAATATACGACCTTCTTCCCGGTGAAAGATAGGAAAGGGCCCACTACCAAAAGCACCTGGCCTTAGCCCTAGTAGTCTCAAACGAGGTTTGTGGCGAAGTAGTCGAGAGCGATACCGGCTTCGTCGGTCTTTGAATAAGAAGGGAGTATGTGCGCCATTTAGTGAACTTGCATTTGTAACAACTTCGCGATGCAATCTTATGACCCCAATCTAGATGAGAAGGATTTGAAGGGGGAGGTGAGGCACTTGGTCGGGATCTCGATCTGGGCCAAGTACTCGCTGTTCAAGCAACACCTGCAGAGGAACGGAAAGTGTTGTGGAAGCTTGACCTTATGTGAGTATTCGGGCAGATTATCCCTACATGGGTAGGTGACTGATTCAAGGAAGATTGGTTCCGTTGATGGGAGTCGCATATTTCCTCCAATTCCTCGACAAGCTAGCTCTCAGTCAGGCGACCCTGTTTGGTTTACGCGAAGATTTGGTATCCATTCCCATACAGGTGTTGGTCAAAGATTATGTGTTGACAGAAAGCTATAGAACATGCACGGAGCAGAATATTCATGGGCGTCTGCGATCTTCTATTTTGGGTATTTTGCATGGAGTTGGTATATATTCACACTTCCTCTACCTCTCATCACAAATACTAATCCGACAACAGGCCTAGCTCATATATTGTCGTCCGACTTCCTATTGGAAAATACATATCAGTCTCAGTGTATGTTCTCCAATACTGAAGGATCCATAGCGCCGACGATGAGACTGACAACCTCAGCTTCCTTTGGGGCGGTGCCCTGATGTGTCATGCTGCTTGCTCTAATTGGAGTGGACTCATGGCCGCCCGTTTCTTCTTGGGTGTAGGTGAGGCGGCTATTGCGCCTGGCTTTACATTGCTTACGGGCATGTTTTATAAACGCGAGGAGCAGCCCCTACGGTAAGGTTACCAAATCAGGATGGACTGAGGACTCACTAACAAGCTCCAGACAATCTGCCTGGTTTTTCGGAAACTTCCTTGCTGTGCTCATTGGTGGATTGATTGCCTATGGTATCGGGACTATTAATACGTCAGCAATTGCACACTGGAAACTCTTGTTCCTTATTCTCGGTGCCATCACTTCAACTTATGGTCTTGTCTTGTTTGTTATGTTGCCGGACTCGCCTACCAAGGCCATTTTCTTGAAGCCCGATGAGCGTGTCATTGCTGTGCAGCGAACACTGACGAACAAGACTGGGGTCATGGATACCGGCGTGTTCAAATGGTCGCAGGCTGTTCAGGCCCTGAAAGATCCCCAGACGTGGCTCCTGGTTCTGAATGCGTTCTCTTCGAACCTGGCCAACGGTGGTCTCACAAGCGTGTGTATTTACCCTATTTTCCTCAGGAACCTGAAGCTCATACTGTATAGTTTACATCCATTATCACCGCCGGATTCGGATTCACTGATCTCAAGGCCCTTCTTATGCAAATGCCTCAGGGCGGCGCCCAGATCGTATTTTTGTTGATTACCTCCATCACCGTGACCTATATTCCCTCATCTCGCATATTAGGAATGTGTCTCGTCACAATAGTTTCTATCATCGGATTGATTCTTATCTGGAGGCTTGACCCCGACGATCAAGCTGGGCGGATGGTTGGGTTGACGTTAGCCGTCGTCTACGCGATCAATTTTCCCATGTCGTTGAGTATCATTACTTCCAATGTGGCCGGATTTACGAAAAAGAGTGTTGTTAGTGGATTGCTTTTTGTTGCATACTGCGTGGGAAATATCGTGGGCCCTCAATTTTTCCTTGCCTCGGAGGAACCATCGTACCCAGTAAGTTTCTATTCCTGCTAGGGTTTGCGTTGCAAAACATGAAACTCATGTCATGGCTACTTGTTATAGACCGGCATCAAAGCCTCAATGTCAGGCTTGATCTTGAGCGTTTTCTTCCTTCTGTGCCTATATTCATACTACACGTGGGAGAACCGTCGACGAGACAGGATGTATGGTTTGCCCGAGCAGATGACCGTGGGGGCTGAGCTACAGGATGAAATATCGAACAAGACGGATCGCGAGATTGATAGTTTCCGATATCTTCTCTAGAGAAAATTTAGCCTTGTCAATATAATGTTTTTCGGCTAGCGAGTTTTGGTAAATACCTATATACAAGAGTTTCCAACCTCGCCAATCAACTCAGTAGTGCGATGCAACAACATCAGACGCTCAGGACAGGCACTATGGAGTATACGAAGCGGAGAGGACGCTCGAGACTTGCCAGTACTAACATCCCTTGTCTCGGGCACCTCGGTGACTATTCGGGGAAGCTCGATCTACAAGCCTGGCGAATGGGACAACGTCGGTTGGTTCGGCTGTCACTAGGCGATTCGATAGCTCAAAAATATAGTCACCCGCGTTCCTTTGGGAAATTCAGCCATCCTGTCACTTTATATCACACATTTATTTTTGTTTTTTCATTGTTCACTTTGCGGGCTTACATCTCTCAACCTCGGCGAGCATTCAGCTCATTTCCCCTCTTTCAATCCCCGCTAATGTTTTCGACCTCAACGAGCGTTGTCATGGCTTCGGTGGATACTGACAGTCTCTTTGTTAACCAGTATGAGATGTTTTTCACCTCCATAGGCTGGCCCCAGCACATGTGCCGAGCCTGTAGGTCTCCTTTCATCGTTTTTCTCGTGGTTTTATCCGGGAGAATATGATAAATACATATATAATATCAGAAATGTCATTCCCATTTCTATCCTGGTGCTCCATCGCGAGGCAACCACGTGGCTCTCTACTATGTACTACATATGAACTTCAAGATTGTCCCAAGAAAACAGAGGTAATGTAGAAACCCAATGATCATAGTACTATGCAAGTGCGTAAAAGTTTCAAACCCCAGAAAAATCAAAATTAGAACAGATAGCAGTAGTAAAAACCAAAGCAACAATAACGACAATAACAGACATGTCTATAACGACAAGGGTATAATGTTAAAAAGTTGGCCGCCCAGTGATAATTGATGACCCGACTATCCTGAGTCGAAGTTCATCGGGTAGTATATGAAATAATTCGTATGACACAGTGTCCCTCAAATTTACCAAAAGTTTGGTCTTACTTCGAGCGCTCGAGCAATGTAATTTCAACCGTAGACTGCGTATCCGACGAGTGGATCCGAGGCCGAGCATCTACCCTTGACTCAGCAGAATTTACAGTCGACGTTGTCTGGCGTAATGCCTCATGGAAATCGTATGTGCCGCTGCGCGCTGAGAATGCCGGGCTTGCGGTCCCCGACAGACCGGAGACGACTTGCATCTCGGTATCCTGTGACCGGGGACTACGTGCGAACATGTCGAAGATATTGATTTCGGATGAACCACGAGGGCTGCCATGGGTCCCTTGGCATAAAGCGCATGGGTAAGTGCGTGTTAGCTCGTGGAGCTGCATGAGGGCGTGGAATTCGAGTTTCAGCTTGATGCTGTAGGCGACTGTTCTGAAGCTGATGACGATGTAGTGCACTCTGTACTCGGCGATGAGGATGAATATGTTGAGCAGGATGCCAAAGAGATTAGCGATGACGATTCGGTAGATAATCCTTCGACCTTGGGAGCCTTTGGCTTCGAAGACGGGCCTCAGAGCCCGGAGTGCTTCGCGGACGTAAATGGCACATATTATTGTATCTTGGATGGCAAACCCTGTTGCTTGTAGGCGGTCGTAGATTGCCGCTGGACGGGCAGATGGTACATTGCGAATAGTAAGACAAAAGAGAATCGCCATGGGAATGTGGAGGATGATGAAATTGGCTATAATCATCCATAGTACCCATCGTACATGGCGGATGTCGGCCACAACAAGGTGCAGTCTTGAATACAGCACTACCGCTTGTCCAGTCACCATGCAAATCCAGCCGATGACGAACATGGCCGACATAGAGATGGGAGATGCCGTATGCACAAAGACCAGTTGAGATGGTATGCCGTGTAACAATATTCCCCAGGCCGAAATTTGCATGCTCCAGAAGTATAGCCCACGATACTTTCTGAATCTCTCGAATATGCCAATCACCACCTCCAATGAGTTCCACGCTCCGATTGAGAACATAGCAATGGTCTGGACGATCGTGAAGTTGGCATTCAAAACAGCGCCCACCTCCGCAGGGAGGCTGATCATTGCAGTATCCATGGGGTGTGAATGGGTTGAGCCATGCGGATAAATCAACCGGTGGGAAAGGAGACGAGTATATGGGTCACAGCTCGGACACAGGTCCCACCTGGCTGACAGATTCTATCAGAACGAAGACTTTGCTTCAGCCCCTCATCTTAGAGCACGGGGAAGGGCCGGATAAGGTTGACTGTTGCGTTCGAAGTGGACCACACCACCGGCGAGTCATCCGTCGCCGCATTAATGAGAGAAAATGTGGTAATGCGGTCAATGATGCTAGTACACGGGGATCTGGGGCAGATCTTCCGGTTTGTTGGACAAATAATAACCGTAGATTGCTTGCAAATCATCGCGGTGAAATGATCATTGGCAATATGAAGATCCCAGCAGAATCCGAATATCCGTGCCCCTTAATTCTCTTGTTTTGGTAATTTATTGGACACGTTAGGGCAATGGTCGGATGTCAAGAGGCTATCGGCGCTCCAAACAGGGATTATCGGGATCTCAAACAAAGAAACCCAGCCGGGAATTCGTGCACTGATCACATTTCTCCCTGGTGGCGCTCCGCGATGAGAGCCCAGGCCTCGCTAACATCAATCCAAAGATTGGTACGGATTACGGAGAACTTCGTAATGATCTGGAGACATATAGATTCCGTAGTCAGGAGAGAGAAAGAGAATGGAAATACTCCGTAGATTGATGTTGATATAAAGGCTTGGCGTCCGCGTATCCGGAATGTATAAACAACTTCAGGGGCACGGGGCAAGATACTACGGAGTATGCACAATGAATGGACCATGAAGTCATGTCTCTTATACAAGTACAATATGCGGATAAAAACAAATCGACATTCACCGCTCCAATTTTCAACATATCCAAAACGGTGCAGGGTGATACGTAAATCGAGCCTATCCAAAAATTTAAGCGCCAAAAACATTGGTGTATGGAGTACTCCGTACGGAGGTACGGGGTACTCGGTACAATATAGATGAGCATAGATTTTTAGATTGATTCTGTCAAGCCATGTACCCCTTATTGCGCACGTATGATCTTGAAGTTTCATGTGACATTTTATTTCTCCTGATTCTCATGGATATTCATCCCGATCAACATGCAGCTCCGGGTAATCAGGGAGTTTCCAGTCACCACCTCCATCGTCCGAAAACCGCGATATGACCTGCGGTATGCGAAGAAAACAAGCCAGACCTACAATGGATTGAAAGAGAGAAATTGTCCACGGCGACTTGGGGACCATTCGTCGGATCCACCCAATGTTGACCTGTTGAACCTCATCGATAAACGGTCGCATTATCATGGAGTAATTCCGGAACGCTTGGGGCAGGTTTTGATTGCGAGAAAGCTCTCCTGCCAGAACATATGCCCCAACTAGACTGCTAGTTGTCCCCAAACCAGTCAATGGAGAAGGGCAGTGTGCTGCATCACCGAGGAGGACGATTCGGCCAGAGTGCCAGGTATTTGTCTTGATTTGGACTGCATTCTGACAAAACCAGTTCTCTGTAGTGTTCATCCCTTCGATAAATCGACCGGCCTGCCACCCTGCATCGCGAAAGCTTTCGGCCCAGAAATACTTTTGCTGTTCAACCGAACCCTTGGGGATCTTCCGCAGTTCCTCGGAATTAGACATAAGTAGGAAGTAGACCTGGGTTTCCGTCTTATTGTGGCTCCTAGACATGATCATCCGGCCACCCGGGCTGAAGTATACCTTGCACATGTTGCTGTCGGTTTCGATCCGTGGGACAAACCAGTACGCCATGTGTACTCCCAGCTGGTGATATTCATCTGGAGCACCAGAGGGCTGTATGTTCTTTCGAATATGCGACCCTTGCCCGTCTGCTCCAACTAGTATATCAAATGTGTCGGAAGAGCCGTCGGAAAAGTAGGCGACTACCCCTTGGTCATTTTCCGTGAAGCTGTCCACGGTTTTTCCGAAGATATATTCCACCTTGTCTTTTGTTGCTTCATAAAATATGCGTACGAGATCCCCACGCATAATCTCATACTCGGATGTCAGAGACTGTGCGCCTTTGCCAGATTTGTTAGCGAGAATCGTCGCCTTCACAGTTCCCTTGCTGTCAACGATGGTGATGCCTGCTTCATCAACGAGCTTCTCGCGAACGGCATCGACAAGACCCATGCGTTTGACAGCCTCAATTCCTTGACCGCGGAGGTCAATCTGGGCACCTGTAGCTCTCAGCACTGGAAAGCGTTCAACGATAACAACTTGATGACCAAGTCTGGCGAGCCAGTAGGCTAGGGCCGGACCTGCGACACCTCCTCCACAGATGAGAGCTTTCAGGGTCATGTTTGCAAATGAAACGGGAGATGGGTAGGATGATAAACAAATTATCTGTCCAAGCATCAGTAGTCTGAATTTAAATAATAGGTGTAACAGTTGGGTGACCTGAGGCACATACCACTTCCCTAGGGAGACAGCACCTGAGATTGATAGGTCTCTCTCTTCTACTTCTTCTCTCTCTTCCAGTTTCTTCTGCTTTTATCGAATGCTACACAGCGCTTCCGTCTCTTTAATACTGAAATGTCTTACCTTTCGGCCTTCTCTAAAGTATTAAGCCGACCCTATCTCATTCGGACAATTCGGATATTACGGAAATTACGACTTTGAGTGGAACATCCCGGTTTGTCAATGCAGATCACTACCTTTAAATGTGATATCTCAATGTAACGCACCTAATGCCCATATTTGGGCCGTGCGTTTGGCCTAGCGCTCCGCAAAGCCTACAAAGCCCACAGCCCAACCCAAGCCGCAAATGGGCTAGGCTTTGGGCCCTATCTTCGGGCCCACCGGTGGGCTATGGGCCTGGGGTCCGGCCAATTTGTGGGCTTTGCGGAGCGCTAGTTCGGCCTGTCCAATTTGAACACCATTCCGATTCACAAGGAGCATCCACTTGTCATCTCACTCTCTAGGCCGGCGGCTGGAAGTCAAGGAAGCGGGACATTATACGGTAGCGGAACAGGGCACATTTCATAAATGGGATGACTTATGCCACTACATTTACGATCTGAATGATAGATATACATACCGAAACTAAAAAGTCCATTGATGGCTCAGCTAATTGTACTGGAGAAAACAAGATCATAATGACAAATTTTTCACAGGCGAGGACGGCCAGTCGCAGGGAAACAATTAAGATCATAACGATCCAAGTTCATAACCTTGTCCCAGGCAGCAACAAAGTCCTTCTTGAACTTGTCCTGAGCATCGGCGCTGCCGTATAATTCAGAAAGAGCACGAAGCTCAGCGTGGTGGCCGAAAATCAGGTCAACACGAGTAGCAGACCACTTCTTGGCGCCAGTCTTGCGGTCGAAACCTTCAAATTGCTCACTTTCTTCGCTAGTTGGCTTCCAGACAGTGTTCATGTCGAGCAAGTTGACGAAGAAGTCGTTGCTCAGCTGGCCAGGGCGGGAAGTGAAGACACCGTGGTTTGATCCATCCCAATTTGCGTTCAGAGAGCGCAGACCACCAACGAGAACGGCCAGTTCAGGGGCGGAGAGGGTCAGCTGCTGCGCTTTGTCAATGAGAAGCTGCTCAGTGCGCACCCGGCGAGTCGAGTGCCCGTAATTACGGAATCCATCGGCGAAAGGTCGGAGCCAGCCGAACGATTCGACATCGACTTGCTCTTGGACGGCATCGCTGCGGCCAGGAGTGAAGGGAACAGGAATACCCGCGGATCTTTCGAGGGCAGCAGATCCAGCAAGTACGATCAAATCAGCGACTGAGACACGCTTTTCACCATTCTGGACACTGTTGAAGCGGCTCTGGATATTCTCCAACAGACTGAGAACTTCTTGCAACTGCGCTGGGTTGTTGACATCCCAGTCCTTCTGAGGAGCGAGACGAATGTGGGCGCCGTTGGCACCTCCGCGCTTGTCACCGCCTCGGAAGGTAGAAGCCGATGCCCAGGCAGTGGCAATCAACTTAGTGGGTTCGATACCACTTGAGAGGATCTCGTTCTTCAGGGCAATAATGTCACCGTTATCGATCAGAGCGTGTGTAGGAGCAGGAATGGGATCCTCCCAGATCGACACCTCCTTGGGGATCTCAGGGCCTAGCCAGCGAGTGCGAGGGCCCATGTCACGGTGCAGCAGCTTGAACCACGCGCGACGGAATGCATCGGCGAATTCATCAGGGTGCTCAAGGAAACGACGGGCGATCTTCTCGTAAGCGGGGTCAAACCGCAGAGAAAGATCGGTGGTCAACATCTGAGGCTTGTGCTTCTTGCTTGAATCAAAGGCATAGGGAACGATATCGTCCGCATTCTTGGCGACCCATTGGTTAGCACCAGCGGGACTCTTGGTCAGCTCCCAGTCGAACTTGAAAAGATATTCCAAGTAGCTGTTACTCCACTTGGTCGGAGTACTGGTCCATGTCACCTCCAGTCCACTGGTGATAGTATCAGGGCCTTTTCCGGAGCCGTATTTGTTACTCCAGCCCAGACCCTGTGACTCAATGCCAGCAGCTTCGGGCTCCTTTCCGACATTAGTAGCAGGGGCAGCACCGTGTGTTTTGCCGAAAGTGTGACCACCAGCAATCAGGGCGACCGTCTCTTCGTCATTCATAGCCATGCGAGCGAAAGTAATACGGATATCTCTGGCAGCAGCGACTGGATCGGGGTTGCTATTAGGGCCTTCGGGGTTGACATAGATCAAGCCCATGACGACCGCGGCTAGCGGGTCCTCGAGATCGCGAGTCTTGATATCGCTCTGCTTAGCCTTCTCCTCTTCAGTCTCGGGCTCATAACGAGCGTCGTTAGTGAACCAGACGTTCTCACTTCCCCAGTACACCGACTCATCCGCTTCCCAGACGTCGGGACGACCTCCAGCGAATCCGAATGTCTCGAAGCCCATGGATTCCAGGGCAACGTTGCCAGTCAAAAGCAGAAGATCTGCCCACGAGATTTTATTGCCGTACTAAGTAGCGTGATTAGTATCGTTCAACATATAGAGATATGGATTGTATGTATAGTACTCACCTTTTGCTTGATGGGCCAAAGTAGACGACGTGCCTTATCTGGAAGTAAACAATACATGTCAGCATGAAAAAAGAAAATACCACAACTATTAAAAACCTACCAAGGGATACATTGTCCGGCCATGAGTTCAATGGTGCAAAACGCTGCTGGCCCTGCCCACCACCACCGCGTCCATCAAAGACTCTGTATGTTCCAGCGCTATGCCAGGCCATGCGAATAAAAAGACCACCATAGTGACCAAAGTCAGCGGGCCAGAAGTCCTGCGAGTCGGTCATGAGGGCCTGGAGGTCCTTCTTGAGACCCCAGTAATCGAGGGTCTTGAAAGCAGTGGCATAATCAAAGTCCTTGCTTAGAGGATTGGTGGCATCGGTATGTTGGCGGAGAATACCCAGCTTCAGGGCATTTGGCCACCAGTCAGTGTTGCTGGAGCAGATTATTAGTTCCGAATCATAGCGGTGTGAGGGTATGCAATGAGCCAGGAATCATACCGAGTGCCACCACCAGCAACATTGCTCTTCTTGTGTGCAACAGGACATTCACTCATGATGTTAATAAGATGAGAAAGATGAGAAGATTGAAAATGTTGGGACAGACACCGCAAATTTAAACGATCCCTTGCCGAATGACGAGTCGCGTATTAAGCAGCTTGGTTTCTTTGGGGGTAGATTCTCACAATGTTACTTACCGTCGCATTGGGAGTTCTTCTTATTGGCCATTCAGCCAGCGATCTGGGGCGTGCGGGGAAAGTGACCTCATGAGTCGAGCAGAATTGGCGGAATACGCCGAGCACCACAGTTTAGTAACACAATTAATATATGCTGACCAAATGGCCCTTTCTAGACGGAGACCATTACCTAGGTAGTGGCCATGTCTGGCTTCCCAAGAAGCTATATGGATCCCAACGGTTGGTCTGGCCCTCGGATCTGACTAATAATTCCGGGGAAAACTTGAGATGGAACGGATGAGGTATCTTTTGTATGACCCACCCATACAAGAGGTACATAAGACCCCCGGAATCTCCCATCTAAGAGCGTTCTCTTTCTTTTGTCCTCTTTCCGCTCTTCTCTCTAAGATATACCCGGATAATTTTATAGGCAAGTTCATGGCCCTCACATTGCTGATCATCTACAAAATCGGCATAGGGGCAAATGCACACCCGATCCCTAATCAGGTATTCCTGAAATTATCCCCTTCTGGACTCGGCACTTGGGATGATTGAGACCTTGAAAGGAATTCTATTCCCACTCATTGACAAAAAAAAAAGTACCTCATTCTATCTCATCATACCAATGCTTAATCATCAATATCGGTGCTACGCGCCAGGGACTCATTGCGAAGCAGGTCTTCATGCTCAGCCGTCATATGTTGATTCAACCATTCATAGGCATCACTTCCCAAGACCGTCTTTTTGGGAGGATTCTCCGAGGTTGCCAGATGATAGAGTGCCTTTGCCCCCTTTGGAGGATCACCGCGTTGGGATTTCTCGATTTCCTTGATCTGAGCACTAACAGCGGCCAGATCATACACCGAAGATGTAGAATTAGTGTATACCATCGATCGGGCGAAGAAGTCCGTCCTAGGCACATTAACAATCCGAACACGCCGTAAAGGAACTTTTCGGCACAGCCTACCTGAAACCACCTGGTTCAACACAAGTAAACTTGATTCCCCACTTCGGGTCCATTTCCTGCGACACAGCTTCGGTGAATCCCTCGAGCGCAAACTTGGAGGCACTGTACATGCACATGTATGGCATCCCGATGCGACCACCGATACTGGTGATTTGCTGAATGATGCCTCCTGGAGGACTCTGTTCCCTCATAACCTTAATGGCAGCACGAGTGGAAACAACTGCACCGGTGAAATTGACGTCCATTTGTCGTTGGATGTCTTCATCGGTTAGATCTTCAAAGGGCCCGCTCAACCCATAGCCCCCGTTGTTAACGACCACGTCAATGCGACCAAACTTGGCTACACCGGTGAGGTATGCGGTCAAGACGCTGTTGGAATCTAGCAGATCGAGTTGAACGGCGAGGAAGTTGGTGGATGTGGCTTTGTCAAAGATCAAAACTTCAGGCTTGCGGGCAGTTGCAATGACATAGTCGCCGTTATCCAGGATTTCCTTTACCAGAGCTTCCCCGAGCCCGGCTGAGCTTCCGGTAACAAAGAATACTCGAGGCATAATCGTTTCTGTGAAAAGGATGCTAGGATAGTTGAGAAATAAACTGGGCGATGAGGAGGCCAGTCTGTTAGAATATGTAGTATTTATCTCACAATTCGGCTGCAACATTGAAGTTCGATTAAGAACGTCTTACACCGGAGATATCGGAGAACACCCGAGGGCTCCTTTAGGCAATAAATTGAAACGCTTAAAATGGGTAAGCGTGTTCTTAATGGGACAATCCTCTTTGGGGACCTTTCCTGTTCTCCATCACTTGCTGATTTCAATCCAGATCGTTATCTGACATCTTACTCTAGATGTAACCGGAGTAATAGCTTGTGGTAATGGAGGTAGCTACAACTATCTTACTTTCTCCTCAATTATTTAGAACACAAGCAATCAGAGCGGAAGGAGTTTCACGCCAAAGGACTCTGTGCATATGCCGGTGGTATGATCCCTTCTTGAGAATTTCATTTAGTAAAAAGACATATGTAGAAGAATATATTTATATTATTAAACTATGATACTTCGCCACAATGAAAAAAAGATAAACAATAAAGTACTCATCCAATGAATGATCTTTGCAAATACAAATCTGAATGTGCACCGCCCGAGAGAATCCAATACAAGAGCATCCCGGTAGCTCTACTTCACATCTCCACGTTTATTCACTCTTCCGCTTCCACTTGTAGATCTTTGTCACATAGGTACCCAAAATGACAGCCGTGAAGTTGAATGCAATAAACCCGATGAATATACCAATATCACGGTACTTACGATCGTTGTCATATCCAAATTGTTGATACTATCGAAAATATAGGTGGTTAGCAGGGGTTGCTTCAACAAAAGTGAGGTTTTTACTTACGTATTCCTGGCCAAGGCTATAGCGGCAATAATCGCAATCCCCAGTGGCATCTGGATTAACCAAATAGCCTGTAGCGGACTTCAAGAAAGAACCAGCGTAGCTAAGGCAAGTGTCGTTGGCGGGAGCATGGAAGACAGTCACCTCACTGGATACGCAACGGATTTCATGCCCATACAGAGAATTGGTAGTGAGTCCCTCCGCCAGATAGTATAGCGGGGAGACGTTGAAATACCAACTCCAGCCTGCCGGGGTCTTTTCGCGCGCCGTCAAAGTGCCGGCAAATGTATTCACAAACATGAAGAAGAATCCATTGGCCATGAGAGTGGAGTTCAAGTTGGGCATCCACGCTGCAATGAGGTATCCCAGGCTGACAGTGAATACGGAAAACAGCCAATAGCACAGCAATGCGTAGCCAGCATGAGTGGCATCAGTCTGCAAACCAGCGGGGAAATACCACAGAAGCCAATAGATGAACGCCGTTATCAGAGTGAAGGGTAGTTCGATGATGATAGAACTCATGACAAACACAATCCAATGGTACGATCGACTGGCCTTTTCCCGGTACACAAAAATATCGCGGAATGCAGTAAATCGCGGCTCCATGGATAATCCAAGAGGTGGACCCATCAAGAAGGATAGGAAAATTGTGTACACGCGGTCGAATGCACCCTGTTGACTATTCGGGATGTTCAAGAACGTCAAGCCATTCAACAGGCCATTGGCCACATTCATCCAAAGCTTCGCGGAGAAATACGCTGGCTCACGCCAGTACCACAACCAGGTGCGACGAAGCACGACGGCAAATTGGTGATTCAGAGGAGTAGCATAAAGCTGAGGTCGAGACTGCTCCGAAGGGCTCACGTTCTTAAGATCATGCAACTTGGTATCTTGAATACGACATTCAGGGCTCTCCGACCAGATTTGGGCCCAGTCGGCAGTAACATTTGACCGCGAACCGGCCCCAACGACTTCCAACAGGTACTCTGCCGGGTTCCGTTTAGGATCGCACGCATCCACATGCCGACCGAAGTATTCTAATGCAGTTGAAGATTGGTCGCCCAAGGGTCCCTGGTAGGTCACTCGGCCGCCCTTCGCTAGCAGAATCAGATTGTCGAAAACCTCGATCACGGCTGCAGCAGGCTGATGGATTGTACATAAAATCGTCTGGCCCGATCTTGAAAGTTTCTTCAGCAGCTGGACCAAGGCGATAGCAGATTGCCCATCCAATCCAGAGGTCGGCTCATCCAATAACAAGATATCTGGCTTTGCTGCTAGCTCGATGCCCATAGAGACCCGCTTTCGCTGTTCGAGATTGAGGCCAGCGCCGGGCACTCCAATCAACGCATCTGAGATATCTTGCATACCAAGCATGTCAAGCACTTCTTCAACGTAGGCATTTTTTTCCTCTTTCGAGAGCGAGAGCGGGCGACGCAGATGGGCCGTCATTTGGAGGGCCTCCCGTACTGTCTGAGTAGGCAAGTGAACATCTTGCTGTTGAACATAACCCATCCTCCAGCGGAATGATTTTGGAAGCGGCGACCCATCTAAATATAGTGTGCCTGTCAATTTACCAACGTCCATGCGTCCGGCCAAGACATTGAGCAGTGTGGTCTGGAAATATAATTAGCAGGCTTATACAACATACTGCATGATAGAAACAAACAGACCTTTCCAGCACCGGAGACACCCATCAGCGCGGTCAGCGTTCCAGAATCAATACACCCTAAATTCGACGCATGTCAGAATAGAGCCGTGACAGAAGCAGTACTTGTAGATATGCAAGGGACGAACCGTCAATATGTTTCAGCAAAGTCTGTTCCTCTCCATCCTTACGAAGCGTCAAGTGAAGATCCTTCCAGGCGAAGGAGTGTCCATCCTGAGACCGGACCTCTTCGGTGTTCGACGATACCTTCCGTGCCGACTTAGCAAACTCTTGTGCCTCGATATCACTCCCAGTGCTGCCAGTGGGCGAAGGCATAGTATTTGCGGCGTGACGGCGATAAAAGACTGTAGCAAGAAGGCCAGCAGGGGGCTTGAACAGCTCCATTGCAAGACTGAATTTGGGTTAGCAGTTGGTCTCCTCATCATTTTCTGTTCACTTACCCGACCAAAATGGCGAAAAAGACGAAGAAGCCCGCGTTTATGCCGACGTTACGCCAGAGGTGAGAGTTATCAAAGTCGTAGTAAACTCTCAGATATGAAGCTCCTTCCACAAGAGTCTTACCGGGCTCCGAGCCAGCAATGGCACAGGCTTGGTATGCCACGTCTGAATATGCTTGGCCACGAGGGACCATGTCGGATGGAGTACATTCGTAGGCAGTAGTTCCAACTTCATTAATCATGAGCGATTCAAAAGCGTAGTACATAGGCTATGCATTTGACATTTTCCGCGTTAGTTCCATGGGTATCACTTCAGGGTTGCTGGATACTCACATTCAGGAACCGGAACCACTTTAGCCAGACCTGCATTTGTGGTGGTGGAATGTACCACCCCGTGTAGATGACCAACGTAGTCAAGAAAATGCCGACAGGAAGACCCGCCCGTTCCACTGTTGGTGACAAGACAGCGATAAACCGGAAGAACATCGAAAGTGACAGATGGGAAATATAAGCGACTAGGAAGAAAATGAAGAAATGGCCTGCCGTGGGGTGGAGTCCGGCCAAGAAATACATAGGGATGTTGTATGCAATAACCACCACTTTCCAGACAACGTCTGACAGAATCTGGCCATAGCCGTACGCCATTGGGTGATAGAAACGATACCCCTTATGCTTCAAGAGTAATGGACGCTGTGCGAAGGTGTTGCCGAATTCGCTCATGGACTGAAGTCCAGGCACGAGAATCGCGTAGAAAACAACTGATCCAAGCTGGTACAGCGACGAAGTTTCATGTGGCAGGTTGCGAAAGACTGTACCAAGGATGATACTCTGAACTACCATGCAGGCAGCTTCGACGATCCAGGCATTGTAGTCTGTGATGAAGATGCGATATTGACGGTGGGCACAGAGAAGAATCTGTGTGAGAATCGGAATCGAGTATGTCTGTCGTGATTTCTTCCGCTGACCCAGCGCGTTTTCTCCAACGCTAGCACTGCTCTTCACTTCTTCGATCTGTGCTTCAAGTTCAACCCCTTTTTCGCTTTTCCAGAATGCAGTAACAAATTCTTGAGGGGTCTGCGGAATCGACCAAGTATCTGCTGTTTGGCGTAACTCCCGTGCTTCAGGCTCCGCCGACATCGAGTTCAAGAAGTCTGTAATTGACATTGTTGGGGGACAATAAAAGCCTAGATTCTCAAAGTAGGACTTTGCGGAAACCACATCACCGTAGTAGATACAGTGCCCCGAATTTATGACAGCCACTTTATCAAAGAGAGGAACCATATCGTCACTTCCCTGGTAGAGACTCATGGCGACAGTGCAGTGGGACTGATTGGTATATTCTCGCAGCATTTGCACGAATTCAAGAGCGGTTGATGAGTCAAGGCCAGCAGTAGGGTTGTCGTAGCAGATCAGACTGTGGTGATCGAATGTATAAGCACAGCACAGGATTGATTCCATTACGATTGTCAACTTACTCGGGGCAAGTCACTAGAGCTTCAGCTAGGGACACTCGTCTTCTTTCTCCACCACTAACACCTCGAACCTGTTCATTTCCTACTCTGGTAGCCAAAACATGATCAATTCCGAACAAACGGGCAAGGTTGACCACGGTGTTGCGTGCGTCTGTGGAGGATATAACGTTGCTATACCGAGAGTTGACTGCAAATCTAATAGGAGAGTTGGAATTAGTCCTCCGATTATAAAGAGTGAACATGCCATGGAGTGTCTCATTTTAACGTACCTCAATGTTTCCTCTACAGTCAAGCTTGGGAAATGAATATCCTCCTCCGCTATAGACCCGTTTGTCGTCAGCCAGTGATTATTATTCAGGTAACAAAAGACAGTTCTTACCGCAGAATGTGGTCTCAGCTGGGGCTGCAGGCTCTTCAAAATTTGCTTGGATCCCGCCATACAATAAAGTACCGCTGGTACTTTTATATTCAGCGTGCATATGGCAAAGACCCTTCAAAAACGTTGTACAACCGCTACCGGGTCGGCCAATTACCATTAGCATCTCCCCAGCCTTGACGTGGCCCCGAAAGTCATGCAAAATCTTGCGCGACGGCTCACTTCCGTGACTAAAAACGGACGTGGCCCTGCGGGCGTATCGTTCGGCCATGGATCCGACCGTGGGAGCGATTGCATGCTGTTCATTGGTTGAATTAGCATTTGGCTAATTGCTGTTTCAACAATCCTGTGATGTTCTTCTTACCCCTTGACCAGCACCTTCCATCTCTAGGTGATCCCAAACGATGGAACTGTCTTTGTTCCTCACCGACGACTGGCAAGCCTTGACAAAGTCTGCAACGAGACCGGCGATCAATGTGGTAGCCATCGCCGTGGACTTTTCCTCAGTCGCCGCCATGACTTCGGGAAAGTGGCGTTATCAAAATACTATCTCTGAGTTTGATCCTGGATGAAGTCCCTTATACCAAGCAGACGGCCGCTTTTTGTTGCCCTCTACCGTTATATATGAATGGTGAACTCAGCTTGGGATTATCAATCATTTTACAAGCAATGTAGGGAGTACAATGGGAATATATTTTGTACCTAACCAACTCACAATAGGAGCACATCCGAAAGAGGAAGCATAGTGGGTGCCGTATAGCGTTAGCGTTATTCTGAAAGGGGAATGGAGCTTCGGAGACCGATTAGGAATTAGGCACCTGGAGATCCCTACATATTTAGTTGTGCACAACCTCCCATCTTAGCAAGACTCCATATATATTCCTCAACCATATCATGATGCCGTATTATTTCTCCTTTATCGCTTCTGATGAAGTCTTTTATAATCCTGTGTTGATTCAAACAGAATCGAAAGTGCCCTTCTCATGATATTGAACAGTCACTACAACGTAGAAAATATATATATATATCTTTCACACAGTCATGAAATTTCGCTAGACCTCAAGAGGCTACGGGACACCTAAAAAGGTATCGAGCTACAAGACCCATATCTGTTGTAGAGTACGGAGTAGATAGACCACCATTGAGATATTAAGCTGGAATTCGATGCATCAGCTGACTGAACTACAAAGTACAACATACGGAGTACGGAGTACGTGATGCCCTGTTTTCGCCAAGCAGCCCGACCATTTAAGTGTTCGAATAGGGGTTGGGCTACTTGGCGAGAATCAGGTCGAAGATTCCACCTATTCCTATTGTGGTCAGTCCGGAGTCACTCCGAGACTGACTAAAGGAGCTAGATCGTCTTCTTTGCGAATACTTGGCATTCCCTGACCCCCCTTCATTGATTAAAAATCAGCATCTTTAATAATCTGGCGTGATCTCTAACTTGAGGTCAAATAGATAATGGCTGCTCCCTCCTAAGCTCACTTGATCCTAGTACAGTTCCTTCTGTCGACTGCCGATGCTGACCTCTGAAACCCGAAAAGATTACTTCAGGTCGACATTCTATTGTTTAGATTGTATTTTTATTTGTTGCAAAAATGGCGAGCTCAAATGAAAGTAAAGAGCTAAAGATTAATGAGCCCATGCCGGGAGACCATGGCTTCTTTACACCCATCCAATCGCCTCCGGCGGGCTCTCTATTATCCATGTACGATAAGAGTCAACCGATTCCCCGAATCTTCGAACCGATCACCATCCGCTCGACCACGTTCCAGAACCGGATCTGGGTCTCTCCCATGTGCCAGTACTCCTGCCCCAAGACGGGGGAGTTGACTGACTGGCATTTGGTCCAACTCGGTTCTTACGCATCCCGAGGAGCTTCGCTCACGATTGTCGAGGCCACAGGTGTCTCTCCTGAAGGCCGAAACACAATGGAAGATGCAGGATTGTGGACAGCCAGCCAGGTACCGTCATACCGGCGTGTGGCAAACTTCATCCACTCTCAGGGGCAAAAGGCCGGTATTCAACTGCAGCACTGCGGTCGAAAGGCTAGTGTGACTGCTCCGTGGCTTGGCCACCAGCCATCAAAGAAGGAAGAAAATGGGTTTCCCGACGACTTGATTTCTCCGTCCGATCTTCCTTACAAGGATGATGGGATTTGGCCGACACCTACCGCTATGACCAAGGAAATGATTCAGAAGTCGATTGGCGATTTCGTCAATTCTGCGAAGCTTGCCGTTGAGGCTGGCTTTGATGTGATCGAGATACATGGCGCCCACGGATATCTCATTCACCAGTTCTGTTCACCACTCACCAACAAGCGTACCGATGAGTACGGTGGCAGCTTCGAAAATCGTGTGCGGTTCGCATTGGAACTTGTACAGGGCATCCGTGCCGCTATTCCAGAGAACACTTTGCTCTTTTATCGTATCAGTGCCACAGACTGGATCCCCGATCGAGAGTCCTGGACCCCTGAACAATCCGTCCGACTATGCCAGTTGTTACAGCCCCTTGGGGTCGATCTGATAGACGTGAGCTCGGGCGGTTTAGTGCCTGATCAACAGTTACCTCAGGTCCGTCCAGCTTATCAGGCACACCTGGCGCAGGAAATCAAGGACGGAGTTCCGGGACTCCTGACTGGAAGCGTGGGTATGATCCGGGATGGCAAGACAGCTGAGGATGTTGTGGCCTCTGGAAAAGCGGACGTCGTTATCATCGCCCGTGAATTTGCGCGTAATCCGAGTCTGGTGTTGAATATTGCCTATGAACTGGGGGTTAGAGTAAAATGGCCGATACAACTTCATCGGAGCCAGCCGAGGTACCATGATCCAGATCTTTGATGCCTGTGATTTTATGTTTAGATAGACTCCAGGGGGGTTATACAAAGCCGAAGCACAATGTCAAATCAAGAATATAGAATTCCATGGGATAAAATGCCAGGCCCAGGGCCAAACAAACCTTTTGAACCATCCCCCAATCCTAAAATCCCGCTTAAGTGTTGCATACCACAAGAATTTAGTCGTTGCATATCAAGCTCATAAGAAGTTCGAACAATTTGATTATCAATATATCGAACGATTTAGTTCCCTGGAATTTTTCGGTGCTATATAATAAGTCCGTAAATCGCTGTTAACTTATGGAAAAAAGTTGAAACGTACGGGGCAGTCGGAATTTTGTCCTGGTCACCAGACGCCACCTCAGGTGGTCTTGCCGGCCTTCTCAGCCAAAATGTCTGTTGGCCTAATTTCCATATCATCGGGATAGAACTCGCCAAGCATGACAGGTAAAGACGTTGCCCGACAAGATCTCTCTTGAATGTGCTCATTATGTCTTATGTAACGGTCGTTGTCTGCAGTGTTGGTGCGGAGCCTCAAAGCCACGCGTAGGGTAATTTACCCGGAATATCCTTGTACTGTGCCGGAAAGCCCCCCAAAATGTGCATCGATTGATGAGTCTGTCTGTTGTCATAATATATCAGTTATAGGGTTGCATCCAGAAAATATCGTATGTTTCACGAGATTTCTTCAGTGAAACATCAGGGCAAAAGGGGCGAGATGAGTAGCCGCAGGGCTTGAACGCCCGAAGCCAAGTGAGGAGCTGGGGTAAATTAGGCCAATCGCACGGCATTTCTCAAACATGCGCCACATTGGCTGAAATTCAAAGCTAATAGTGGGATCGTAAGGCGCTCGGGGCTCTCGGAGCAGGGCGCTCGGTTAGTAGCTTCTGCCCAGCCTCTAGCTGCAGTCGGTGTTTGGGGAATAAAAAGGAGATTATTTGTTATGGGCTAGGAATCTTCACGTCTCTAGTATCTTTGTTTTTCTGCATATCGCGATCCAAAGATGGAGACACGCGGCTCGGTCCCTCTGCGGCAACTCCCGAGCTACAGTCAGGACGAGGCGGCTGAACATACTGCACTTGATTCTTCATCCGAGTCTTTCCCATTGCATGACGAGGAGCTTCCGTCATATAGCCAGGCGCGGTCGACGGAACAAGTTCTAAGACGAGGGCACAGTACATTACTTCATCGATCGGCCTGGGTATCTCTATTCTCAATTTTTTATGTGGGGCTCGCCATCTATGCCTGGGCCATGACAGTTGTCCTGTCATACCGCCCCCTCAAAGCCAAGTCCTGGGTCTACTCGATCGAAGGCTCGTATTACGGTTACGATGATAGGAACCAAGCAGATTTCCATCAAGAGAGACGGATCTATCGTTCTGTGCGGACGATCCAGACATTCATTCAAGTTGTTACTCTTCCCTGGATTTCCACGGTGTGTGCTAGTGCTGCTGTGATCTTTGCGCAGAACCAAAAAGATTCGATGGGCCTTCGGCTACGTCAAGTCACAACATTGGCTGACCGCAAGTGGATGGACTTTTCTTTGTATCGAGCACTGATTTGTGGGAAATGGAGGCAATACGGCAGTACACTACTGGCCGCCGCAATCTTCATCTGGGTCTTTGGTCTCATCACCTATCCCATCCAGTCGCTCTTTCTCAATCCACAGTCGGTCAAAGTTCGGACATATCCCCAGCAAAGAGCCGCTATCCATGACTTCACCACGAAACGCAGTCTGTATCTACGGTCAGAACCAGACGGTAAGGACGTGTTGCAAGTTCGCGATGCCCTCAACAAAGCGAACGGCAATACCTACCAACCTAATTTGTGGAGTAACGACAGTGGAGTGTCATTCTTGACTCTCAACAATATGTCTCCTCAAATGTTCTATTCCCAAGTTCCCAGTGGTTTCAATACAGGACTAATTCGTCAATTTGCTTCACGTGTGAACTCCACGGCTACATCCGAGCTCATACGAGAGTCTGACTTCCCAGCCGCCTGCAGTTCGGGTTATCCACTCCCAGGCAAATTTTACGCCGAGTATTCTTCTTCGTACTCGTGGTACAACACTTATTCTTGGGGTGTCATTGCGTGCATGCCAGAAAATATGACGGAATCACCTTGGCGGATGGGACGTACCCGGCAGGATTTCTCCGAGGTCCTCTATCTTAACATGACACAAGAGGAGTACACCTCGAGCAGTTTTTCCGGCCAAGATGCGGGGAAAAAGGCTTTTTACCGCATCACTGTGAACACCACGGCCGGCTTCTTTGAATTGCCCAATTATATGAACGATGGCGTCCCGGGCCCCTTACTTGATCAAGATCCAGTCGATCTTTGTGATCAGCATTGTGTAGATCAAGATTCAGTGCACACATACCCTTCTGAGGGGGGTTATCGCCGCCGTGATGAAGACACATCAAGCAGCCTCAAAGCCGCATCGCTGAGTCCCATTTCAACACAGAACAAAGGACCCTTGTTAGCGGCCGCCATGGCAGCCTTCGGGCCCGGGTCTTTTGTCGACACATTTGAGGCAACTTCCGCAGCTATTGAAAAAGACGGCATGGTCACGGATGAGGTGACCTCAAACATGAGGTTCTGCATCGCAAACGTCCCACTCGTCAATCTGTTGGGCGACTCCTCTTTAGGTTGCATATCTGCTGGCAATTCTGGAAATGGCACCTGGTACCCTGCTGGGTCAAAGATTGCGCAATGGATCCGTCGGTTCCAACAACAGACGGATTCGATTTCGAATGCCTTCACAGCCGCCGCTTTTCTTGCCAATCAGGAATATTTTTTCAGCCAGAGCGGTAGGTGGTATATCATGCAAGATTTGGGCACGGATATGGATCTTCCATCAATATCTACTGCGGGGATTATTGTAGTCTCCATCTTGATGGGACTTTACTTGGTACCACTGTTAGCTTTGTCACTATACGCTGGTTATTACCCAAGATGGACAGAAAAATTGGATTCCTTTGTGATGCTACGGTTCGGCGCTTTTGCTGGCGATAAGGTCTTCCCTTTGCTAGTTGGACGCAATACGGAGAAATGTCCCGAGCTGGATGAAATGCCTGGCGTTGTCCGAGATGTGTCAACATCATCACCGGGCGAGGCTGTTCAGATTGGGAGGCTAGGTTTCGGCGAAGGCAAGATATTACAAGGAGGCCGTCGCTACGAGAGCTTCAAAGGAGACGACGAGCCACTTAATTCATGGTTTGTTCACCGTCAAAGCTGAGAACTGATATATCCATACATATCATGTTGGAAGACACTTTCTCTCATTCCGAAAGACGTTAGTTATTAAGACTAATAATTAATTATGTTTGCAAATTGCAACGCTTTAGAACCACAAGTCAGTCCCTGATGTTAATCACTAGTGTTGAGTCCATGAGGGGCCTTTTTAATCTTGCAGGACTCGGCTTTATGCCAACTAGACTATCTAGGCTGGAAGAGTGACAATGTATCTATCTTTCAAATGTTGCTGTGTCCACCTCAATATTCATTGTATATAGAAATATTATTATCCTTGGTCCTTGTTTCATTACCGACTTGATTATCTATCACACTGTGTACTCATAGAGCTGCTGTTATGTTGACAAAGATTTCCATTACTGGTGAGAGCCTAACGTTCGAAGGGTACGTATGACACTGCCGAAATCAGAACTACATATGATATAGCTTCAATTAACTGTGTAAAAGATGCTAAGGAAAGTCAATTGACAAGGAATTAAGGGTTACGAATCACCGGTCAGTCTTTGCGATTGTGAAAATATCCCCGTCAAGTCGTGTACATTTCGAAGCCACTTGTGAAAAAAAGAGCTATACGAAAGGGTTATCCTGCTCGTAGAATTACCAGCTTAGATTAAAAACCGCAGGCGGCACTAGATGGGCTGACAGCAGCCCCAGCAGCCCTATGTAGACAAATTAGGTCAAAATTGTACAGATCACAAAGGATCAGTTAGTTTGAAGACGAACCTCGAAGCCTGAGGCCTTCTGGAAAATAGTAAAATGACACGGTCAGCATGTCAACGGGACGAGAATGGGCTATGCGATAAAAACAGATCTTACCTCGCCATCTGGACAAATCTGTGGGCTCTTCTCGCACACAGTAGCGCAGAACGTGGCTTGAGATTGACCAATAATTGTCAGAAACAGGATCGCAAGGACCAGGGTCGGCCAACGGAGTATTCCTGTAGCCATAGAGAGGGCGAAATTGGTCTAGACAGGTTTCAAGAAGGAAGATAAAATAATGAGAATGTTCTGGGGCAAGTGCGAGACACCCTTCTTATAGGGGAGAGCCCCCTTGCTAGGGTGTGATACGACCACTTAAACTTGCCACTAATCGATGCACTCCGTCTCCAACGTCATACGGGGTTCTTGTACTAACATTCCTCTTCTATAAACAGAATGGGGTAGAAGACATAAGATATGCTCTTATTCAAGGTCATAGTCTGGTATTTTTTATTTTGTTGAGTCGACAAATTGTCTCCACTTGTTCTGACCTTACTAGCAGAATTAAGCAACAACTGAACATCATTGGGTGACCTGCGGAGTGAGGCATGACTTGAATAGCAGAATATTGTCTTAATCCAAGTAATCAAATAGTGCTCAAGGAATGGAATCTATGGTCAAGCCACTTAGTGATGAGGCATTTGGAACTATCACTCAATAGCCCAGCATAGCTTCGGCAAACAGCATTCCGATCGCCTTGGTGTCTGTTGTCGGGGTTTCGACTGGGAGACCCAGGCCCAGCAATCCAGCAATCAGCGATCAAGCTTCCCGGGGGCCAGCATTGAGGCCCCGAGAAGAATGCTTGTCTCGCAGGAAACAGGCAATCGGAGGTTCGTTTGCCTCGAACTTGGCCATGTGTTCTGGTACTGTGATTTTGTGTCAGTGATTTATCCAGGCTTGAGCATGAACGTTCCGAACTGCTGGTTCGCCAAAGAACTCTTGTATAATACTTTCTACCAGATCGTAACGGTAAATAGCTTGGTTATCTCGACCGGGTAAAGCAAGCAAGTGAGCCTACCTCCATGTACGCATTTTGGGCGTGTTTGTCGGGTTGTTTGTCGGGCCTGCATGTACAAACAGCCACAAAAATCGCAACTTGCGGGCAAATGCATGACCCGACAGAGAACTAACTACCAATGGGAGTTGAGGTGCACATGTATGCACAGGGCTAATATTAAAACTAATAGTTTGATGCAATCCATTTGAGATAGGTACCATTTGTCTGCGGTCGCCATAATAATGGTATGTACGATCGGAAATTCTTCAAAGTAATATTAATTGTTGCAATGTTATTCAAATAGGAAATGAACATACTAGCTTGTTATACGCACATAAACTTGATACACCCATCTCGCAAAATATCTGGCCAGCTATATATCCCTCCACACAAGCTCACATCATGCCGTTTGGTCCATATTGTCTCAATGATCTGTTGCGCCACCGATGCATGAATCAAGGCTGTCGACTTGGCGCAATTATCAAACCACGAAGAGAAGAAAACTTGCAACTCTGGGTGAACAGCCTCGCATGCAGTGATAAAGACCGGCCATATGAGTGCAGCATTGACACTTTCCCCCTGGACGCTTTCCTCTTGTTGGATTTCGATTAGGTGGCCCCGAATTGCACTAACATTGGCCTGAAGCATTGCAGGATCAATTTCGTATATTCGCCGATGGAAGAAAATTGACAATGCCATATACATCGCTTGAGCTGTTGCAGTCGTGATCAATGGTAGGGCTCCGTCAAAAGATCGAACACAATTTGGATTTGCGGTGGATAGCAAATGATCGATAGCTTTTTCGAGACCCTTTGCTCGAGTCCAAAATTCTCTGAGACTGAGCCGACTTTCTGCCGCATCCGACATCATTGAGAAATCTCGCTCATTGGCCAGCCGAATCACTTGCGACAATAACATCAGAAATATTTCATCGATTCCGTACAGTGTGGGAAACAACGTTGAGCTCCATCGCCCGGGTATCGCAAGGTGGAGGTCACGCTGGGCCATCTCTGGATCCTTTTCCATGCTCATTGTGGTTGTCGAAAAGACTAGACCGGGGTAGAGACGGAAGTCTCCTCCATATATTGCGCTGGCGTTCAAAGTGCACCCTGACCCGGTCAGATCGATGCTCGGCCTATCAGCAATGCATGTTGTCTCGGCCATGATGCGCATATAAGCATAACAGTGGTGCAGTGCTCTTTTGTTGGCTGACAGCCCCGGTTGGCTGAGTCCCTTAACACAGATGAATTTCTCCGTTTGGACGAGATAGGCGCGTCGCATGTCTGGGTCTCCTTTGATCATCTGTATCAGAGAGAACGTTAGCTGTTTACAGTAGATTTAGGTGGATCACATACAAAGGCATTCGAAAGACTCTGTATTGCCATGAGAATCTCCTTGTATTTACACATCTTGGTAGCTGAGATACAGCTTTCCTCCATGCATCGTCGGAAGTGATATTGAGCCCGTGTCAAGTAGAGATCTCCGGAGATTGTCCATTGCGCAAGGTGGGCCACTGAATTATTTGCCAAATGAAAGGCGCTTGCGCTCCATACGGCATTCAATAGTGTAAGCCGTGCATGATTGGAAGACCCATTCAGCATCATGTCTGCCAAAGTTCTCATTGCGCATGGGATTACCAAGCTCACCCAAGGGTTCTCCGGCCCATGGCGTAAAGGAGATATCAATGGGACGATTCGATCCTTGTAATGAGATAAGAGACTCCAGCCCTCGATATTTCCCACGAACGGGAAGGGACTGAGCTCTGATTGTAGACTCGGCTCATAAAAACGTGCTTCAATATTTTGAAGTGGCTGTAGATTCTGCTCTTCCAGCATTGATCCGTTACCGTGATCTTCATTCAGAGCATCTATGGCATCTTTATTGAACGGGAAATCTTCCTCTCCTGGCAACTCCTCAAGCTCTTGGAGCCAGTTGGGGGAGGAAGCTGGCGGCTCGTCTGTAAAGGAAGACAGTCGGCCAGGCGGTGGTGGTTGTGGCCATCTGAAAGCACCAAAAGGTCCCCGAAATAGTGAAGATGGGTTTGAGCAAGTGATATCCGATTCCAACTTCTCCAAATCAATTATTGCCTGGTCGGGGCTCTGACCTGGTACAGAGGAGACAGTCTGAAGGGTCATGTCTCGGCGTTCGACATCTGTAGAACATTGTCAGAATATGATAGATGGGAGTGGCAATCGAAGGCGAACCTGTGAAGATCGAGTGCCGGTGTCTGGCTGCCTTTCCCGCACTCAGCCATCGGGTGTTCTCCTTCTCCTGTAGAAACGTTAATTGTATGTCTTTTTGCATGCTGGGGAGGTTTGTAGCTGTAGCCCAGGGAGCCTGTTGTTCTGATAATGGGCTCCTAACCTCACCTAACGATAAGGCTCAGATGGGAATGTCATTCCGCCATCAACACAATAGACCTCGGGAGCCCGATCAACTACCCGACTCAACTGAATTACAAAATAATGATTTTTATTTATCATAGCTAGTAGTGTAGTATCATAGCTAGTAGTGTAGTCCAGCAATAAAAAAGCCACCATTTACACTTGAATGCCCTTTTTTTCTTTGAGTCGGATCTGAAAGACGGAAGTTGGAAGACTCGGAGCTTCCTGCCCGGTTCGATTGCCCCTCTTCGCTGGGATCAACGCAGAATGTGAGTAGTCACTCTTTAATGTTGTTAGACTTGAAAGACGAATTGGATGTGTTAAGCAATAATGAGCGTCTTTTTGAATTTTCAACAAATCTACGGTGCATTAACACGTTAATCCGAAAGAGCATAAATTGTTCCTCAAAAGTGACTATACACCCTAGATGAAGTTGATGAAGACTTGATGCTACGTCTGAGTGGTAAAATGAGGAGATGGCTATGACTAGACCCCGTATCTTGGCTGAATGGCTGTTTAGGTGAACAACTTCGCGATTCGCATATTGTTGTAGTCCCAGGCCGTAATGTCCTCATAGTTGCACGGAGTAGCCGGTGTGATAAATTTCTGCAAGGGAAACAAGGAAGCGACACGATTTGGCTTCGCGAAGTAAGCAACGGAATAGCGCTCAGGGATCATCTCGTCAGAATCCACATTGACGGTGGGAGGATAGGTAACCCGATGACAGGCAGCCATGAATGTATCATTGGTCAGGCGCTGAAGAGAGTCACCAATGTTCAGAATAATTTCCGACTTGCCCCCTGACTCAACATCATGAAAGGTACCCAAATTTTGCTGGTCTTCGACCTGTAAGCCCCCTGTGGAATCTTGAAACAGCATGGTAATGGTGCCAAAGTCTGTATGCTCTGCAATTCTCGTGGCGCTTCCATCTTCTAGTTCCGATGCCGGTATAGCTGGATAATGAAGCAGGCGGAATTCATTCTCAGCCTTGTTGTGTAAGAGTTTGAGATCTGATGCTGAGATCTCAAGGGCCTCGGCCAACGCGTCAAGAATCTCCAACTCAACCTCGAAGCACATTGCATAGAAATCCTCCATAAATTTACGGAAGCCGGGAAGTTTCTCGTCGGCAATCCAAATATTGTCCACAAGGCTGTCGTGTGGGGAACCCATGTCGAGCGTTTCCTGCCCTCGTTAGGTTGGTTTTCGCCAAATTGATCGTGTAGGAAGGGGTCACCTTGATATCCCGGACTGACTTTCCTTGAGGGAGGCCTTTGTCATAACCACTAATGGAAGAGATTGATTCCTGACCAACAAAACTGTATCCACGATTGGGATTTGCCGCAGGGGGATGTTTGGCGGTCATCTTATCCTCCAGAGAGAGAGAGAAGAATTGGCGGGTCTGGTAAAGGTACTTCATCAGTAGAGATACAATCTCCCGTCTGAGCTAACTCACATAGTCAAACATCTTGGTAATCAGATCTTCTGAGAGTCCGTGATTCTTTAGCTTGGCCACCCCACGCGTCTTGAGTGTGTCGAGCAGAGCTGCTGAGACCGCATCCCTTTGCTCAGGGGACCCCTTCAATAGGGATAAGTCAAGAGCTTGTGACATGATTTCGTATATTGTTGCAAGATATTCGTTTGGGGTTATTGGGACTTGCTGGGCCTGCGGACTCTGAGCGTGATGGATTAAAAGGAAGAAACTCATAGTATGCTCGACTATATATATTGGATCAAATTTGGGGGTAACAACTTGACCTGGAAGGTAATATCGAATACATGACCCACTTCTGTAGACTTTGGATTACCTTCCTTTGTGATCTGAAGCAAAAGCCTCAAAAGGCATTCCAAAAGGGAAATTAAATGCACGCCAAGATTACCATGAATGTATCTTCCAATGACGGACCCTCAGTGGATCACCTTCCTATTTCAAATGTTATAGATGTAAAACTTGTTTTGCAAGTTTTGGACTGCTGAAAGTGTATTCGATGAAATCCTACTACGCTGTTCGACATGTCAAGGGACCAAAGACTTGCAAAATATTGCTCAAATCTTCCTTATGCTCGATTTTGGGGGGAAATACGAAAGCAAAGAAACAAACCGTTCCTCGATGCTAGCCCGGTCTTGGTATCTGTTGACAATTGGAGATGCATTCAGAGGGTGTGGGAGACTTGACTTGTCTGCAAAGGTCAGTACTTCGCCTCACCGAGCACCCTGTGCTGTGAGTAATGTTTTGTTTGGAGACCATTTTTACTTTTTTCTTGTTCCAACTTGAAATATGGCTCTTGGAGCTCGGTTCTGAGAAGGCCGGGTGTCGACAATTCGTTGTATTGTCTTGGGCCTTGCCTATGAAGACAACTTTCACCCCCTGCTGCTGTTCCATCCCAATAAATGATTGTTGTGCGTCGGTCTCAGGGTGAACCGGAAAGGTAAGAAGAAGATTTGTTTTGATGGAAAATGGGGGAAGGTGATGTGAGGCCGAAAACAAAGTTTGAAATTGATGACCAAAAAAGAGATTGATGACCATTAACGTGACTTCGAGGATGAGGGAAGGAGAATTGAAAAAGGGAAATTCGATCATTTGTTGACATTATCAACGAAGTATACAACACCCAACGGGGAATCAGATAGGCCTCGATAGTCATTGGGTCAAAGCTGCGCGATGGCCGCTGCGGGATGCCGTAGCTGCTCCCCCCACCAACAAACAGCTTCCTCTCTCGTGAGATTCTTCTGATCTCCCTTTCCTTCTGCAATATAGCGTCTTATTTGTTACAGTCTCATCTTGGACTTACTACCCATGGATTCCACGGGTTTGAGTAGCGATGGTGCTGCCTACCGGTCTCGTGGGTACCAGCTTGAAATGCTGGAGGCTAGCCGCAAGGAGAATATCATCGTCGCGGTATGTCTTCTTTATAATTTGAAAGCCCAGAAAGTATGGACTGACTATTGATAGATGGACACCGGGAGTGGAAAGACTCATATGCATGTTTAGAGGCGACGCTTTCTGTATCGGCACATCTTCCTGACCTTTGTTTTAGTGCTATTCTTCGGATTATAGATGAGCTTGAGAAATGCAATTCTCCAGACAAAGTGAATGAACTAGCTGTATCTTACATTTGTTCTCGGCTCACATTTACCACAGCTTGTTTGGTTTCTTGCCCCGACTGTGGCACTGAGCCTTCAACAACATGAAGTTATCACTAGCCAGATCCTCTCTGTGAAAACTAAAGTTCTGACCGGTCTAGACAATGTCGATCGATGGACAGAACAGGGTATCTGGGACAAAGTGCTCAAGGATATTCGCGTGGTTGTCTCAACATATGCTGTCCTTGCAGATGCTTTAGGCCATGGTTTTGTTCGCATGTCCCGACTTTCTCTCCTTATTTTTGATGAGGGTACGTAACATATCTCATTTCATGCCAGAATACAGACTGATATCACATGTAATCCAGCTCATCATTGCACAAGACGCCACCCGGCGAACAAGATTATGCAAAATCACTACCATCCTACCCTGCTGAGGTCAGGCCCAAATGCCGTACCTCGGATCTTGGGACTCACTGCTAGCCCAGTGGTCCGTTCGAGCAATAAAGAGCTTGAGTCAGTTTATTCGCTACGTGATAAGCATCCCTAGCAACTGACCTTCTTTCACTCAGAACAATCGAATCCAACTTGAACGCAGTATGCAGGACGCCGCGAGTCCACCGCACCGAGCTTTTGGAAAATACCCATCCCCCTCATCTAGAGCGTGTCAATTACATACCTTTTGACGAAGCACAGTATGGCTTTGGAAGCCGGCTGCTTTCATCTCTCATTAAATGTTGTATGGCCTACAACATAGAAGACGACCCTTGGATCGAATCATTACGGTCAAAAGATCAGACTACAGAGCTGACCAAAGCTCTCACTACAGGTAAAACATTCTGTAGTGAGCAACTGAGGATCTTCCAGGCGCGCAGTCGTCACATATATGAGGAGCTGGGAGGTTGGGCTGTTGACTTCTACATCAGTGCCTCAATTGACGAACTTCGGCGTTCAATGCAAGATGCTAGTGAGATGTCACTTTTGGATCAAATGGAGAGAATCTATCTCTTGGAACTGCTGTTAGCAATGCCTGCAGCAGACTCAGCCGAGGAGAGTAATCACATATCCATCAAACTTGAAATGCTTCTCGACTTCCTCCAGAAAGCGGATAAGCCTGGATTTTCCGGGCTACTCTTTGCCAAGCAGAGAGCAACTGTCAGTGTGTTGGCTCGAATTTTATCCCTTCATCCCAAAACCAGAGATCGCTTCCAATGTGCCGCGTATGTTGGTTGGGCAAGTGATAGAACCCGTAAGGGTTGTCTCGGTGACTTACTTCATCGGGATATGCAGCGAGATACCCTCGTTGAGTTCAGAGCTGGCCGCAAAAACCTCATTGTCGCCACTGATGTACTCGAAGAAGGAATTGACATAAGCGCCTGCAGTTTGGTTATATGCTTTGACAAGCCTGCGAACCTCAAGTCTTTTGTTCAGCGGCGTGGGCGTGCTCGTCATAGAGAATCTACATATGCTGTCATGATCTCAAATGAGGATGAGTTGTTAGCCCTTCATAAATGGCAGGAACTGGAGCAAGCTATGATTAAAGCGTATCAGGATGATGAGCGGCAGCGTCGGGAAGTTTATGATCTCGAAGCCACCGAAGAGGAAGTCAACGAGATACTTTGGGTGGAAAAGACCAGGTAAGTGGAAGGAAACCATGTCTTCTCTTCATATTTACTGACATCTGTTGGCAGTGCTTTGTTGACTCCGGACGATGCAGTGCAACATTTACATCACTTTTGCTCTGTTTTGCCTGTTGATGAGTTCTCCGATACCCGACCAATGTTTACCTTTGAAGAGAACAGTGTGGGATTGCTTTTGGGTACTGTCACACTACCAAACTCTGTGCATCCGACGGTTCGACGAGCAAAGGGGAAGTCCTGGTGGCGGACAGAGCGAGCAGCCCGAAAAGACACTGCATTTCAAGCCTACAGAGCCTTGTATTTGTATGGGTTGGTAAACGACAATCTTTTGCCGTTGACACGAAAACCGGAGTTGAGGTTTTCGGAACAGACGACTCTCCCATCCATTATCCCAGCCGCGGAACAGTATGACCCTTATATAGAGCTTGCACGGGGCTGGGCTTCGGGCCAGCTATGTCAGACACGCTTGAAGATATACAGCAATGGTTCTGTTGATGAAGATCTGGCCGTCTCCTTAATTTTGCCGAGGTCGACCCCGATGCCGCACCCCATCCCTCTCTATTGGGAACCTGAAACCTCCTTGAGAGTCCACTTCGATCCGCAAATATCGGATTTTGAGACAACAGCGGAGAGATTGGATCAAATGAGAAGGATCACGGCCCTCTACCTACAAGCTCCCAGCTCGCGCCAGCGGGGAGACGACCGTGACTTCGTGGCTCTCTTTGTGCCTGATATCTCACATGAACACCTGGAGGAATGGCTTACGGTGTATGAAGGAAAGGAGCCTGCAATTGAAGCCTACTTGAGGAATCCAACGTCGCCGCCTACGGGTATCGTTCGTGACCAGTCCAAATTCAGCGAGCCGCGGACGTTCAGTAGATGGATCGTTCCAGCCGAGGTATCAAAGTCGTCGCCTATTGAAATCGAATGCTTCTCACTCCCCCGTCGACGAAATCTCCTTCAGGTGAGAGTCATCAATATTGCCGAAGATGGAGAGGCAGATGCACCAAAGAAACCTTACATTCTACCCGCTTCAGCCTGCGTCATCGACAAGCTCCCAGCAAAACAGGGTCTCTTTGGGCTTTTCATCTCTGCCATCCTAGACCGGCTGGAGGCATCTTTGGTCGCATATCGGTTGAACGATACCATCTTGAAAGGGGTCGGAATCCAAAATATCGACCATGTGATCACGGCTATCAGCGCGCCCATTGCACAGGCTAGCACGAACTATCAGAGATACGAGTTCTTTGGTGACTCTGTTCTCAAATTCACGGTTAGTTGCCAGCTCTTTTTCAGAAACACCAAGTGGCACGAGGGATATCTCTCGGAGAGCCGTGACAAGCTCATCCAGAACACTCGTCTTGCTCGTGCAGCTCTCGACACTGGCATTGACTCCTTTATTCTAACCAATCGGTTCACCCCTCGGAAATGGGCTGCACCATTGATCAGGAACAAGCTGGACCCATCAACGGCCAAGAGGAACATTTCGACCAAGGTCCTGGCAGATGTTGTGGAATCTCTCATTGGCGCAGCATATGTGGACGGTGGGATCCGCAAAGCACAGGCCTGTCTCCATCGCTTCTTGCCGGAGATCGACCTCTTCACAAATGATATCTCACCCCTTATCCTTCCAGAAGGGAAAGGCGTGAGCAACTTAATCGACCAGCACCGGTTGGCCGGTCTGATTGGATACACCTTCCAAGATCCCGCCCTTCTAACAGAGGCGCTCACCCACGCATCCTGCGAGTACGACACATCAACACAATCATACCAACGCCTCGAGTTCCTCGGTGATGCCGTCCTGGATATGGTCGTCATGGCAGTGATAGCAGCCCACCCCGTGGAAATGGACCAGGGCCCGATGACATTACTCAAGCATTCTGTCGTGAACGCAAACCTCCTCGCCTTCTTCTGCATGGAGCTTTATGCGCCAGACGAACATTCCCGCACCACCCAATTCGTCAACGGCGATATCAACCTTGCGCCGCACTATGACCAGATCCACCTGTGGCGCTTCCTCCGCTCCCATGGCCCTAACATCAAATCCGCCCGGGAAGCTTGTCTCGAGCGACACGAAGTTCTCCGTGGTGAGATTCGTGAAGCCCTGGAAAACGGGACCCAGTACCCGTGGGAATTGTTCGCGCGACTGCGCGCTGATAAATTCTTGTCTGATATCATCGAGAGTGTTCTCGGGGCCATCTTTATTGACTGCGGGGGCGATCTGGATGTGTGTCACGCATTCGTCGAACGTATTGGACTGGTTTGGTATATCCAGCGTGTTATCGCCGACGGGGTAAATGTTGTTCATCCACGGAACATTGCGCAAAACATGGTGAAGGGAGCAGGTACACTGGTCTTTAAGAGGAAGAGGGTCGAGTCTGGGGGCGTGGCTACGTATCGGTGCTCGGCGGTAGTGAACCAGACTGAGATCGCGTTGGTGGAAGGTTGTGCTTCTGCCGAAGAGGCTGAGGTTAAGGTTGCCAATGTTGCTATTGAACATTTGACGTTGCACCCGATTGTTTCTGCATGAGCGCGAAACCAATGGTTTGGAAATTTGGGTGCTCTGAATGATCTGTATGATTTTGGATTTTGGATGTTGCTAAGGTATATAGTTATCATGTGAGAGGTGTTAAATTCAGACTACCTTAAGCAACATCGTAAGCAATATAGTCAATTGCCATTCCGAAACAAATCAAGTAGTAAAAGACTGTCTACTGCTGTGCCTTGTCTCCCTTAGCGCCGCGCTTGGACCGCCGCACAGGGACAGGCTGAGGCTCCTCTTCTGTTCGCTCCTCCGCATCGGAGCCAATGGAGTCCACTTGTTCCTCCTCATTTGAGGCCATAGTGACGCCCTCTTCAATGCCCTCGGAGGACGGGGTATCCGTCTCTGCGTTCAACACAGGCTCCGAAGTACCCTCAGCTGGCACAGCATCTTGACGCAGACTGCTGAGGATCTTCGTTGTCTCGCTTTCTACGCCGTTCCAAGCTCCACAGCTGCCGCATCGCCAGCGGCCGAGCTCCTCTGGTGTCTTGATCCCAGGGGGTGCCTGGCCGTTCACGAGTCGGCACGCGGTGCAGATCATTACCATCCGGTTGCGGGGTTGTGTTTCATCTTCTCCCAGCAGAACGTCCAAAAGGCGGTCGTACCAGTGTGGTTGTTCAATGTATTCACCGTTTTGAGTGAATGCGTTCGGTGCAAAGCCGGGTTGATCGGTGGGTGTTTGGGGAGGGAAAGGGGATGGGAAAGCAGGCTGCTGTGGGGTTTGCGGGATCTGCGATAGCTCGAGAGGAGGAGAAGGGGGACTGGGGAATGGCGGGTCGTTCGGGGTTTGCGGTGCAGAGGGAGGACGGCGGATGTTGGCAGTGGGCGGTGGCTGGAGACCAGTGCGGGCCACATGCTGTTGCTGCTGAGCAGCCGGATGTTTGTCATCCTGTCCCTTTGGACCCGGTGATGGTTTTGGGGATTCGCCGCCGTACTTCTCTAGCAGTTGCTGAGTGGAGTTATACTTGGTTGCGACCTTGAGCTTTTCGATTGTCTCCTCGCGCTGTTTCTGGAGGTCATCGAGGCGGCGTTGAATACGAGAAATTCGGTAATCGAATATTTTGGAGCTCAGGTTGCGTACGCCGTAAATCCTAGAGGAATGGGAACTAAATGTTAGCGGTGTTGGAAAGTGCGGAGTAAGGACAGACGTACAGGACCGGCCCGCCTGCTATGGCTGCATATTCCTTGACTCCCCAGCTCTCCCATCCCAGTATAAGGGCGAGGATTATTGAGTAGAATAGGTATGCAAATGTCGAGTAGAGGGTCCAGAGAGCCTTGATGCGCCGGGAAGACTGACGTTGTTGATCGAGTCGCGCTGTGGCCTGGGCAATCTTAGTCGAGAGCGTGGATAGGGTCTTCTCGAAAGAGGCCGCAGAGTTGTCATCGCCCTAGGTAGTGTTAGCGGCAGTCAAGAAAAATAGCCGACGGCATATTTCACCTTCCAGGGCCAAAAAGAAACCATTATTGTACATACATAGTATGACTATGAACCGAGAAGAAGCTCCGACTGTCGAGCTGTTCCAAGTTTCTGGAAGGCGATACGCACGGGCCACCTCAGCTCTCGCTCTAATATTAGGAAGCCTACAAAGTCCACCTAAATAGGGGCTAATTGCATTTTATTGATTTGTTTGATTGCGTATGACTATCTTGGATATCATTACATAGATCAAAGCAATTTATTTTTGTTTGAATCGCCCTTTCTATGGCTTGGCCACGGGATTTCCGAGCTCAGCAGACCGGGCAGTGGCAGCCTGGACAGACTTGTCGACGATCTCTTTAAAGTTGAGGGATTCGAATGTCATGAGGGCAGCGTATGTGGTGCCGTTGGGACTAGTCACATTCTTACGCAGCTGGGCAGGGCTGTCGGGGCTCTCAGTCAACATCTTGCCAGCACCAAGACATGTCTGTGTAGCCAATCGAGTGGCTTGCTCTTCGGGGAGGCCCAGAGCGGTTGCACTTGCAACCAGGTGCTCAACCATGGCAAAGAAGTAGGCAGGTCCAGATCCTAATTGGGTTAGATTGATGCGTGTCGACGAGATGCCGTATAGCTTTTGGTGCAGGAAACTTACCAGACAGACCTGTGACGACATCAAGAAGTTCCTCGCGGTCCACCCACTCGGTGGCCTTGCTTACGCTTCCGAGCATAGCATTGACAAGCTCTTTCTCATCCGATGTGACACTCGCGCTGGCGAAAGCACCCGACGCACCCTCACCAACAAGGGCAGGGGTGTTGGGCATCACGCGAACAATATGAGCTGTACGGCTATCGCTCGTCGTCAACCATTCCTTCAAGCTATCAAGGGTAATGCCCGCAGCAATGCTGACGACCACGGGCAAAGTGGCGCGGGGTGACCAAGCACCGCCGAGCTCCTCACACACACCCTTGGTAACTTGGGGCTTGACGGCAATGATGACCAAATCGGCATCACCTCCAGCCTCGACATTGGAAGTGGTGGTGCGCACTCCGAGGGCGGCCATCTTCTCGCGGTTGACATCCCACGGCTCGGAGACACAGATGTTCTGCTTGTTCACGCCTTTGCTCAGCAGACCACCAATGATGGCGGAGGCCATGTTGCCACCGCCAATGAAGGCCAATTTGCTCTCTTGAAGGGACGGCATTGTATAGATATCACTGAAACGGTCCACAGGTGTGTCCAAGTGAGTAATCGGGGAGTCCCGCACTTATGTAAAATCTTGGTGGGGCATCGGACATGTAGCCGTTATCGCACCGGCCCGGTACTGAAGAAATAGTGTCGTTACGATTTCTGTCTCATTGCTGTTCTTTGATCTGACATATTTTCGGATTGCAAAGTCGGTGCGACTCGAAGCAGATATTATTATGTATCTCTTGTGACTATATCGATAATATGTGTGCTTAGTCTCCTACAACAAACGTGGGGTAAATTCATTGCGTCCAATAACTACACTCGAACAGATGTTGAAAACCAGCATCCTAGACCATTATTCTAAAGCAGATACGCTTCTAGAGATTTGTGATTTCAAATGTAGGATCGAGTGGGTAAATTATACAATGAAATTCAATGGTCTGGCTCTTATAGTACAGGTAAATCAGAGTATCTCGAAAAGAAACGACAAAATCCAAATTCAAAAGCTTCAAGCACTGTTCATAACTCGTGATAATACAAAGTATTTATACAAAGGGTATCAATCAGTAGACACGGTGTGAGCCACGTCCATCGGTGCCATGCATGCGGCGGGTTCCAGCAGCCTAGTTTCAAAATGTTAGCTTGAGTCCAAATTGAACCGGATTCATTCGACAATTACCTTGACTGCAGGGCGATGAGTCAAACTCCCCTTCAGCTTCAGCATAGCGCCAGAGACCTTATCACCAATGGAGGGCTTGCGCTGGTGGTGGGTACGAGCAGGCCGTCCATAGGCATTTCTATGACCAAGACGACCCCCAGTGGGACCAGTACGAGCACTGTGGCTGGTATGTCCAGTGCGATGGCCGTGGACGGGATTCTGGTGTGTTGTTGTTGTAGTTTTGACAGTGCGCGATTTCGCGTTTCGGCCCTTGAGTCTGGTCATCAGGGTAGGCTTGGTGGTGCGAGTGGTTGTGGTAGCTGGACGACGTCGGTGAAACATTGTGACGGGCTGATGAAGTAGTTTATCAAGTTTGATATAGAGTGTATATGAACACAAGATTGTAGTGTAGTGAGTTGATTTGTATGTGTATAGTTAGGTGGAGATCAGGGTCTTTATATAAGCTGTAGAGATAGGTATGGTGACTTTGGTGTTTCATTTGATGTCGTACAAAACGTAGGCCAAGCATCGTCATGAGCATCATATCGCCTTCGACGATAGTAGAGATTGACGAAAAGGCGCTCAGCCGGCGCGTCATCCGAAGGACGATCTCCCCTAGGTGTCTCCAGTTAGCGTGGAGAGGCCAGACACCAAAATTCTACCTAAAATAACAACACATGTTATTGGTGAAATTATCCTTACAGTTTAAAATTAAGACAGGGATATAGATTGAGATTACGTCTCAAGATTCTCAAGGTAGGAGAAACAAGATTTAGACCGACGAAGGGTGCTGCATACCTATAGACCCTGAGCGGGATGATGTCATGGCATGGTCAGTGCCACCTGCCACGCTATTCATCCCATGGCACTTCCAACATTGGAAAGTTCTATGATTTCCATTGTACAAGATGTGTGGAGTGTAGAGAATAAGGCTATACGCGACTCAACGGTATCTTGACCAAGTTCCTGTTCGGGTTTATGAGTAGGTATAGAAGGTCATGGCGATGAAGCATAGTATGGTTTGAAGCTATAAAAAAGATGCAAGGCAAAAGAGTCTGCAGGTCTTCTCATATGACTGGTGAAGATGTCGAACAGTTGTCTACCAGAGTTGTGTTCTTCTTCAGGCACCTAGCGAGAATACCAGATCAAGCACCAGATACAATTTATCACCAGAGTAGTTTCCATACTCCAAGGTATCAATGAACAGCCAGTAAACATTCTAGAGTCTCAATGGGAAAACATGTACTCCAAATAACAAATTTGATTGATGAAGACCTAAATTATATTTATCAAGGAACATCCTCATATATAGATATATGTGTGTATATATATATATGTATATGTTAATATATATATCATGCTTGTCACATCTATGGATATGACAGATCATATTTAGCGATGCGGTCGTTCGCTTCTCTTCAATATCCAATGAGACAGCCCTGGGGCCAACGTGTGTATATATCCATAGATATGGATGATCCCACGAGCCGCACCCATACAGTCTAATCAAAACACATCAATTAGCCATGAATAATGCAATGGTGAGATGACAAATTAAAAATCACAGTAGCAGTAACTCAGACGACCAGAATGAAACAATGTAGATAGACACAGATTCAACAAGTTCTTTGCAGAAAGGGAAGAGGTCAATCATCATAGAGACTATATCAGACTGTGGCTTTGGGGGGGGACAGGGGTGTGCGGATATCTTCAGGGGCTGATAGTTACCTAGACCAGTCGGAGCACTCCCCTAAGTGGGGAGGGCGATGGGTGGCGGCGGGAACTACCAGGCAATCGTATGGGTGACTGGTTCCTGAATTGTTCCTGACGCTACAGCGAGTTAGGTTCTAAGATGGCGATTTGTCTTTGAACAGCATTGATTGCTGTATATTAGTCAGAAACGCAGTGGCGAGAGTGAATGAATTGCATCCTCCATACTCCTGAAACGAGCACTGTATATGCCAGAATTGATAACATTTGAACAGGGCAAGTTCCTGCCCCTTCAAGGAAAGTTACAGGGATAAATTCGAGTTCTCCTGAGTGGTCTTAAATACTCATCGCTGGGCAGGACTAGGGCATCGGCCCTATTCAGAAATTTACATGGGGAAATTTATTATGGAGAATTCGGTCATTGATGGAGCCATATGACGAAGCTGTACCCACCTCCAGGGCTGTAAATATGTTCAATGCCTATGTGTGAGACACAAAGTCTTTATAACTGTTAGGTCAATCCCACACAAACAAAAACATGATTGTGCCCAGGCTTAATTTTGTCTACAGCACAAAGGATAGCCCTCAATTGACTTATTTTCAGCGACCTAATAAATGACCAAAGGAAGTCTACTCAGCATCAACGGAGCAGTAAAGCATTTGCATTGAGATCTATCTGAAAGACACTCAGAGCTTTGCCAGAGATGTGTGCAATAATTTAGTAACCAATGAGCCTCACTAAGCGCTCTTATATTGGGAAGCGGCTCAATTAGGAAAGCTGAAAGCCCCACCGGGCCTGCAGGTTGGGAATGTGACCGAACTTCGAATTACAACTTGGATTTATATTCCACCTGGTCATGTTCACAACCAACGGGAGTTATTGCAATAATTCTCACTAATACTGTGATCTGAGTTTCAAATGTGCCATATGTGCGCTCCTATGTACAGCTGGCCCTGGCATGATGAGTTGCTTAACCTTCCAGACAATGATCTATCGCTACCTAGGTGGCAAGCCATGGCTTTTAAGCATGGTCTAATGTCGAAAACTTGACTATTTATCAACTATGGCCCAGATGGCGATATACGTCTAGTCAGCTGATCTCGCGAACTTGTGAACTGCTGAGTCGCGACAAGGTTAAGTACGGAGTACCGCGCTCCACTTCCGTCCCTTCCCCTTCCGGGATGTCGGAAGCGCATCCGACCAGCTCCTTACGATTATTCATTGGTGCTCAGGAAAAGAAAATGAGGATGCTGGTGCCTCCCACCGCCAAGACGCCAAATTTTGAGCCTACTAGATTAGTACGGAATACGGAGTAAAACACAAAGAAACGGGAATTGTTCTCCAGAGATCGTCCGAAAATTTCCGTTTCGAGGCGTGATTAGGGCAAAAGAGATGCAGTGTTGTCTGCATGCGGTATATGCAATCCATTGCTTTGGACTAGGTGTTTTACCAGGACTTTGGGCAACCAATTGCGACTTCAAGATGCTCCCAAGGGATCTTATCAATACGTGGCATCAATCGGCTCAGCCCGGACAATGTGAGAGGTAAGCTTTGTAACATCCGTGGATATTTAAATCACCATTCTCACCCGCCTAATCCTAGTTCCCTAGTATTGAAAGGTGAAGACGCTCAAAATGACCGACGCCAAAACTTTAGATTTTTCAGTGAGTCTCCAACAGCTTCACAAGACCGATGCGATGACTTATCTTTGCCAAAACAGACATTCCAAAATGTCATCAATAATCAATTGACCACGACATCGGAGACCCGGCATGGTATCAACCCTGCCAACACTCAGCCTAATCCACCCGTGCCTGTCTCCACCCAGGATGAATTGGACAAGGCAGTAAATGCGGGTCAAGATGCGTTCAAAGGCTGGGCCAAAACCTCTTTTGACGAGCGACGTAAAGCCCTCCATGCCTGGGCTGACGCCATTGAGGCTAATGCTGATGGATTTGCACAAACCCTCACAATGGAGCAAGGGAAGCCACTGAGCCAATCATCTGCGGAAGTAGGTATGGCAACTATGTGGGTTCGCGGCCTCACCGCTATTCAGATTACCGACAACACCATCGAGGAAACCGAAGATAGGAAGATTATTCAACGCTACACACCCCTGGGTGTGGTGGGCCTCATTGTCCCCTGGAATTTCCCTATCCTGCTCGCCGTTGGCAAGATAGTCTCTGCTGTATACACCGGAAATACCGTTATTTTGAAGCCATCCCCTTTCACACCTTATTGCAACTTGAAGCTCGCCGAACTTGCAATTAACTTCTTCCCGCCTGGCGTAATTCAATGTCTAAGCGGCGATGAATCCCTCGGTCCACTGTTCACTGCTCACCCTCGGATCCAGAAAATTAGCTTTACTGGATCAATTGCCACCGGAAAGCGGGTTATGGCTGCATGTGCTACCACTCTCAAGCGATTTACACTCGAACTGGGTGGCAATGACCCTGCGATTATCTGCGAGGATGTTGATATCGATGCCATTATCCCAAAAATTGGAATTCTCTCTTACCTCTGCTCCTCGCAGATTTGCATGATGATCAAAAGACTTTATGTCCACGAGAATATCTACGATGAGTTCTTGGACAAGTTAGTCACGTTTGTTAAGACCCTGAAAGTCGGCCAAGGCACTGAGGCGGATACCTTCTTTGGACCTGTTCAAAATCAAATGCAATTTGAGAAAGCCAAAGACCTGTTCAGCACCATCGGTACTGAAAACCTGAAAGCTGCGCTTGGTGGCTCCATCGAGAATACCTCTGGGTACTTCATTCACCCGGCCATTATCGATAATCCCCCGGAAACATCGCGCGTGGTACAGGAAGAGCCGTTTGCTCCCATCCTGCCGGTCCTCAAATGGTCTGATGAAGACGACGTTCTTGAGCGTGCGAATGCTTTGGAGACCGGCTTGGGATCTTCGGTCTGGAGTAAGGATTTCGAACGGGCAACTCGCATGGCAGATCGACTCCAGTCTGGTTGTGTGTGGGTAAACAGCCACTTTGATGTAGCGCCCAACGTTCCCTTTGGTGGCCAAAAGCAGAGTGGCATGGGTGTAGAATGGGGACTGGATGGTTTGCTTGCGTACTGCAATTCGCAAACTCAGTGGCTGAAGAAAAGTTTCTAATCTTTAGTCTAGTGTCTAGTTTGGGATGAGATATTTGGATGTTGACACAGAAAGCTTGGAATAGTGACTTCAATCCATTTAACCCATTTATTCACTATATTCCGCAACATCAAGCCTCTCTCCAGATCTTGGGCAATGTGTCAATTCCAATATTCATGTGTTATCTTATCTTGCCCTGGACGCGGATCTTTCGTACATCGGCAGACTCCGTCTCCGTTGTTTTTCGTAGAACGCGGGGGTATAAAACTTCACGATATAAATGCTTTCAAAGCTGCATTTGCTAGGACTTTGACCACGTAGCTCTTCGACAGCCACTAGCACTCATTTTGAGACCCCATCAGACGTTCCATCATGTTGTATACTCATGCCACTGTTGTGACCGTGGATGCCTCACGCCGTGTCATTACCGACGGAGCGATCCGCGTAGTTGGAGATGTGATTGCGGATATCGGGAAGACAAGTACCCTTCAGGCAACGTATGCAGCCGATGAAGAGTGCGATCTCTCCGGTCGCATCATCATTCCAGGATTGATCTCCACCCACATGCACACAGCACAGACACTACTACGAGGTACAGCCGACGACCTCGAGCTGGTTACATGGCTATGCGAGAGAATATGGGTGCTCCAGGGTAACTTTACAGCGGAAGATGGGTACGCTGCAGCGCGACTGAGTATCGGAGAGATGCTTAAATCTGGCACTACATGTTTTTTGGAGAGCATGGTACTGTAGCGCTTGGGCATCCTCGTATATCCAGAGACTGACTACAATGCAGTTTGCGGATCGATATGGTTTTGACGGACTATGTCGCGCCGTCGAAGAGAGTGGAATCCGCGGCTGTCTAGGTAAGATTGTGATGGACATTGCAAAGTATGCGAAAGACGACGCTTGGGCCATGCATCCTGGCCTTGTTGAAAACCGTGAGACCTCGTTGCTTGGGACCGTGAAGATGTGGGAGAAGTGGAATGGTGCGGCCGATGATAGAATCAGAGTCTGGTTTGGTGCCAGGACTCCCGGCGGGTATGAGACGAGACTGCTATTGGGTATCACTTGCTAAAGATAAATCAGAGTATCGGACGGACTGTATAAGGAGATGACCTCCATTTCCAAAGAAAAGGGGATACCCATTACGATGCATTGCGCCGAGGTCAAGGCCGATCTTGATTTTTTCGCTTCGGTGTCGCACACCCCGATGTCATACTGCAAATCAGTGGGCTTGCTGAGTGACTCCACGGTCCTCGTTCATATGGTTCACTTGGATGACTCAGACATTGAGTGAGATATCGAGTATCTGCGAATTGATGCAATGGAAACTGATCATGTTATGAAGACTTCTTTCTTCTTCAGGAACGCATGTCGCACACTGCCCAACATCTAATGCAAAGGTAAACTGCATCATCAGCGCGATTTGTACAAAACTTGGAGTTGACTATCTGATGGCATATAGCTTGCATCCGGTATCTGCAGAGTGCCAGATCTCCAAAAGGCCGGAGTTAATATTGGCCTGGGTACCGACGGTGCCCCCTGTAACAATACATGTGACCTCCTGCAGGAGATGAAGCTCGCTGCTATTATTCACAAGGGAATCTCGCAGGATCCAACATCAGTGCCAGCCGAAAATGTACTGGAGATGGCCACTATCAATGGCGCCAAAGCACTGGGCTTGGATAAGCAGATCGGCAGCCTGGAGATTGGTAAGAAGGCCGACTTTGTGGCTATTGATGTCCGCGGAATCCATAGCCAGCCTTGGTTTAACCCAGTCAGTGCAGTTGTGTATACTGCAACTGGGCGCGATGTGGACGTCGTTGTGGTAAACGGGAAGGTTGTTGTCAAGGGCGGAGTACTTATGACGATGGACGAGGATGAAATCGTGCAGGAAGCACAGAGAAGAAGCAAAGAGGTAGTGGAAAGAGCTGGGCTGGGCAAGAAGGTACAGGGCCGCTGGCCAGTTGAGTGATTTAATAATGATTCACATTTCACGATGTTCTTATCACTCTCAATATCTACCAACTCAGATGAAAATGCCTATTTATAGCTCTATAATTCAGGTAATGCCCACATTCCATCATCATTTCAGTCATTAAGACGTTCATGCTTACAAAAGATCACGCAAAGCTTCGCCCAAAGCCATAATCGCCATGGCCTGACCGTAAGGCATCGAGGTCAATGGAATCTTCTTGTAGAAGTCAAGACAGTCACCCATCCCGGTGCCGAAGCTGGTATTCTGCAATTCTCCTTCCACATCCACATATCCCATCACAGCAGTAATGGCCTTTTCAGCAACGGGGCGGTATTGGGGACCGACATAGCGTTTTCGAACAGCCTTGAGAATACCATAGGCAAATCCAGCAGTCGCAGAGGACTCCAAGTACGAGTCAGGGTGGTCAAGGAGAGTGTGCCATGCGCCAGATGACGACTGAAGACGCTGCAGGGCCTCGCATTGTGCCTCGAGAGTATCTATCAAGTGAAGGCGGATTGGATCATTTGGTTGGAGGTCGAGCAACTCGATGATCTCAGGGATGACGATTGTGACCCAACTGTTGCCACGAGCCCAGCGGGCATCTGCAAAGTTGTGTCCGCCATCCTCAAATGTCCAGCCGTGGAACCAGAGACCAGTCTTTGTATCGAAAAGATATTTGATGTGAGTGAGACATTGCTTTTTTGCCTCTTCAATATAATGGGGTCGGTTTAGAAGCTTTCCGATTTTTGCAAGTGGCATGACAGTCATCATCAAAGTATCATCCCAGAGCTGCTGGTAGTTCTCTGTGATATAGGTGATATGCTGCATGCCACCATAACGCGTGCGGGGGAGTTCGTACATTGCCCATTCCGCCCATGCATCGAGCCACGGCAGGTAAGTGACATTGCCCGTCTTCTCATAAACATAGGCGAGAGTCAAAAAGGCGGCCATTGTATTGATGTTCTTGGTGGTGCCACCCTCAGCAAAACGAGCAGCGAACCAGTCCTCGATAATGCGCAACAGTCTCTCGTCGCCCGTCAGCTCGTAGTACTTCCACACGCCGTATAGTCCAATACCGTGTGTCCACTCCCAACCCTGCCATGACTTCGTATCAATAATTCGCCCATCGGTAAGTGGCAGCAAAAATCTTCCTGTTTCGTCTTTGATGTTGATCAAGTTGTCAATCAACAGATTGACGGTGTTGTGGATTTCAGTGCCCGTGGGCTTAGAGGACGACATTGTGTGGTTATGGGAGATTTTTTGCTGTATTCACAATCTTTTTTCCAGGAAACAAAAATAATATGTTGCTTCAGTAGGTGTGATACTCATAAGTATTGGTGAAAGATGTTCCACTAATGAGCTTTAGAGTCAAACGCCACAAAGCATCCCCGCGGGGACAAAGCGTGATTCGGGTGAGAGAAGGCCGAATCGCATACCGACAAACATACCTTGAGACTGAACTTGTCCTATACCCACCGGAATACGCGAGTAGCCTTCGGTCGCCGGGGTAGTCGATCCCCGGACTCCCCAGTGTGGAGAGAAGACTAGCGTCATGTCTCCTCCTTTGCCAAGAAAGCCGGGGAGACGAAGAAGACGGAGGTGACTGCTTGACTCGGTTTAACTCGATTTAACTCCCGGTTAATATGATATTTCTAGCAGTTGACGAGCCACATGACTGTTTCAGTCGGTCAATCATCTTACATGCGGTTAGGGCAACTTCGTGAGATCATGCACGGCCCCAACAGCAAAGGCCCACGGCAATTATAAGTCCGAGTGAATATCTCGCTTTCCTGTTCCCTGTATTTCCTAGCCAACTGCATTATCGCACTTGCTTCTTTCCATTCGGCCATGGCTGAGGGTAAAAGCGAACCCCAGCAGGGGATTGAGACAGCCCCTTACGAGGACGCTACAGTGCCTGGCGAGGGGATTGAGGTAGTACAAAAGCATCACCCAAAAATTGACATGGGGGAGTATCAGAACAAGCAAGACATCTCGCATGTTGAAAAGATTCTTTCGGGCGATGACCTCGCAAAGGATAACATTGACATCACCCGTGTGGACAAGGAAATCCAAGCATATGCCGCCCACAGTCAGGTGGAAATAGACGATGAGACTAATAAGCGCCTCAAGCGTCTAATTGATCGTCGTGTTCTCGTTATCATGATTTGCACATATTTCCTACAGGCTTTGGACAAGGGAACAATGTCGTTCTCGGCCATTATGGGAATCCGAACGGACACAAATCTGGAGGATGGGCAGAAGGTATGTGATTCTTCCTCAAGTCTTGTCACTTTAAACTCGCTAAGTTTATTCCGCCCGATAGTACTCCTGGTTGACTACGTGTATTTATATCGCTGTGCTCATCGTCGAATACCCCACGAACTGGATCATTCAAAGAGTTCCAATCGGCAAGTACTTGGGCATCAATATCTGTCTATGGGGTATGATTCTGGCACTCCATTCGGTTTGCAAGAACTTCACTGGGCTGGTGATCGTTCGTACCCTCCTGGGTATATTTGAGGCTTGTTGTCAGCCCATTTTCGTGACTCTTTCCTCGATGTGGTATAAGCGAGAGGAACAAGCGGCCACGGTAACATATTGGTATGTGGACTTTCCTCTGTTACAGATATTTTATATTGATATAATGGTAAAATAGGTACATGATGAACGGAGCACAGCAGATTGTCGGTGGCTTGTTGGCGTACTGTTTCAGTCTTATTGTAGGAGACACAGTGCTTAAGTCTTGGCAAGCACTCTTTTTGACATATGGATGTGTCTCCGTTGTATGGGGGCTCTTCGTCATATGGTGGATGCCTGACTCCCCGATGCGAGCGAAGTGCTTCAGCGAGGAGGACAAGCGTCTTATGGTTGAACGTCTTCGTTCTAATCAGACTGGTATTCAGAACAGACAGTTCCACTCATACCAAATGTGGGAGGCGTTTCGCGATCCTCAGATGTGGTGCTATTGTGCTGTTCAAATGTTCACCACTCTCCCTACCAGTGGTCTAGGCGCATTCTTCGGCATCGTTATCAAGGGCTTCCACTTCACTACATTGGAAACTCAGCTGCTCGCCATGGTGCTTGGCGCTTACATTATCATCGTTCTGTTGTCGTCTGCATGGCTTGTGACCAAGTATAAACAGAACACCCTCGTGATGTTGTGCTTCATCATTCCGTACGCATTTCCCATTGCTCAATGTACAGCGAGACTATACTGACAACTTGAAGGTCTTTCATTGGAACAATTGTGCTTATGACGGTCGAAAACACGACTTTGCCCACCAAGGTGGGCCTTCTTATCAGCTACTATATCACGATGTCATTCTGGTCCGCCCAAACTCTCACGCTATCTATGGTGTCGCGAAACATTGCTGGCCAAACCAAGAAGTCCACTGTGGTAGCTGCAACATTCGTCTCATGGGCTGCTGGTAACGCAATTGGTGAGTATCTCAGGCTTCCTGTTGAAATGCTCAGCTCCCAGCTAACAGATAGAAGGTCCTCAGGTGTTCCTCGACAAAGATCAGCCACGGTATCACATTGCCTGGAGTGTTCATCTCGCTTGCTATGCCTGTATGGTCTCCGCCGTCATCTTCCTCCGCTTTCATCTCAAGCGCGAGAATGCCAAGAAGGATAAGCTGGTGGCTGAGGCAGGCCTCACTGCAGCCGATCCAAACCTCGTTCATGCATTCGAAGACAAGACAGACCGGGAGAACCTGAACTTCCGCTACGTTTACTAGATACCCAAGATAGCTGTGTTGGTATGCGACATGCTTGTCGCCCTACTCATCTAGCCGAGCTCTTGTCAACTACATGTATGTACTCGAAGCTTTTTGTTCTCCAAAATTGCACTCTGAATACATGCAACTTCCCAATATAGCGTAAATAACATTTCAAATCCCCCTGACATTTGCTCCCTAGCGTTTGGCTTAGGCGATTAAATAGGCTGGTAACCGAGTTCATATACGAGATTTGACGCCAGTTACCCTGACCTGCACCCACAATCCAAACTCTTCATTTTGTTAACAATCATATAATATCATGCAAAAGCTGCTATTTATACTGAATATCTATCATACTCCCCCATGTGAAAGTTTTCATCACGTATTTGGCTATTGAAATCACACGTCAGAAATGTGAAGCTCGTGGCACTGTTCATTACTTTCAGCCTGGATCAACGCGGCAATTCGCAAGACTTTGCCGGAGTCAGTACCTTACCTTCGGCCATACTCTCCGTCTTGGCGCTTGATCCATGGCTGTTAATATATCACCTTTTGCACTATCTTGCTCGTGAAGGTATCTCGCTTCCACAATCTTTTCTTCTTTTTTTGGGTTTTCTCCTTTCGCCTGACTCGAACGCTAATCTCGATCAAGGGACATAAGTTCAACATTAAAAGGTTCGATGCATAGCAAAATACACGCTGTCCTGATGGTGCATTGCCCAAATAGTGCCAAGGGCGCCTACTGACACTCCAGACGGGCCAGTGTGTCAGTTTTGAATCCTAACTCGATGCGCCTGACCCCTCACCTTAATTTGATGATTTTTTTCTTCTTGATGGACTCCTATCCTGAGCTATCTTGACACGGAGTCAGCACGATATCCGCTGGTGGCGTTGTGAAATGCTGCAGAAATGTCCCGAGGCTTGCCTTTATCCGTGCAGAATGGTGACTTTAGTTCTGCCGAAGTCGCGTATGTTGTATATGATTGGTTCCATTAGTTATTTCATATAATTAAAATTATCAATCCGGGGTAATTCAGGGATATTCACCCGGAAGTACTACCCATGATCCCGAGTTGTACTCTTCTCCCTCACTATAAAGATGGCCGTTTCGCAGTTCCATTATCTGGGATAACCAAGGGGCAAGATTCAATCTCGCTATCAATTCTTCAATCAAGAAACCGGTTTAGTTGGGACTTCAACTTATTTGTGCTGCCTCCTCGGATAAAACCGCAATGTATAGCATTCTCGGTCCCGCTCTGTTTGCGTCTCTCGTGGCAGCCCACGGTCACGTCACCAACATCGTTATCAACGGTGTCTCTTTCGATGGATGGGACATAGGAAGTTACCCTTACACAGACTCGCCTCCAGTCGTGGTTGCTTGGGGTACCCCAAACACTGCCAATGGCTTCATCAGTCCAGGTATGCTATGTCATTGCGGTCCAATTTCATCGAATCCGGTTCTCTTTCTGACGTTGTAAACTAGATGCGTACGATACATCGGATATTATCTGCCATCTTGATGCTACTAATGCTAAAGGTCACGCGGTAGTAGCCGCCGGTGATCGAGTCTTTCTCCAATGGACTCCCAACTGGCCAGAATCGCATCATGGACCGATCATCGATTACCTCGCTAGTTGTGGAGCGAGCGGCTGTGAAACTGTGGACAAAACTAAGCTTGAATTCTTCAAGATTAGTGGTGTCGGCTTAGTTGATGGAACAAATGTTCCAGGGATTTGGGCCGATGATCAACTGATAGCCCACGAGTCGGGATGGATGGTCGAGATTCCTTCCGACATTGCTCCTGGGCATTATGTCTTGAGACATGAAATGTGGGTAGAGCTCTTTGGTTTGTCGAGAAAGGTTGCTAATCTCGGTGTAAAGCATCGCACTCCATGGTGCAGGTACTGAGGGTGGGACCCAGAATTATCCCCAATGCTTCAACCTACAAATCACCGGCTCGGGCTCGGCCAAGCCAGCAGGTGTTTTGGGTACTGATCTGTACAGCCCAACGGATCCTGGCATCCTCGTGAACATTTACTCCTCTCTGTCAACCTATGTGAGTGATTAAGACGTTGCCCTGGCCAATAACTCACCCGATTCCTGTCTGTCGCTAATTTCAATTTATCAGATTGTCCCGGGGCCAACCCTTTACAGTGGTGCAGTCTCAATCACACAAACTACTTCGGCAATTACCGCAACTGGCACCCCAGTGACAGGGACGGGTGGTACTACCGGTGGCACTAAAACCACTACAACCTCCAAGACCACCACCACAACACTACGGACTACCACCACTAGTAAGGCCACAACCACCACCACCACTTCTGCTGGTGGGAGTAGCGCAACCCAAACTGCCTACGGCCAGTGCGGGGGAGCGGGCTGGACAGGGCCGACTATCTGTGCGCCACCGGCAGCTTGTTCTTCGTCAAACCAGTGGTATTCCCAGTGCCTTCCAACTGCTGCTTAGATCTACCTTGCATGAGACTTACGAAGATCCTGTTGCTGGAGGAGAGATTCGATGTATGAGCAGGAAACGAATGTCATTGATGAAAGATACTGATTTGAATTAATTTGAGCCAGCGTGGGCACCTTATATACCTTTGTATTGCACTGAGTTTTGAGTAGACTTGGACAAAGATGTATGAATTTGTGTTCAATTCGGCCTAAAGTGCAGAAACATATTCACTAGCTCTTGACCAGTTGTTCGCCGACTGTTGAACTTATTATATATTTTAATGCCTTTTCAGGCTTTGACCTAGTTGGATGTTCAGCTCGACATATAGTCCACATAATTTCTAGCTCTTTCCGCTTCTCAGATGCTATCTTGGTTTCCGGTGTCCCAACGTCGACCGGCTAGTTCTTCCAAACTTCGATTACCGACCATAACATAGGCCGTGGTCATCTTCTGCCGCCCTTTTCGAGGCCAGCGGTGATTGTTCCTGAGATACAGTTATATACAGTATATTTCTATATCAAATACTATGACAACCTGTATAGCACTTAGATCGTCTCTTTTCACGTTTGCATCACTAAACCCTCAAGACAGGATATAAGGCCACTAACAGGGTCTCTTCTCCGAAGCACCATTATGTCCGAATTTCCTGCCTAACATAGATTCAACCTTTTCAGGGTACAACTCCTGTACAGAGGGAAAGTCCGAGCCCGGGACCCCGGTCCGGGGAATTTGACCCGATGTGGGTTCGTGCCTGTTTTGGGCCTGTGCACGTTAAGGACGCCCCGATTGACTTAGCTGCAGTTAAACGGCTCGTGCCGAGTCAGGATTTCATCTGGCGCTAGCATGCCTCCTGTGCCTTTTTACTCCGCTATCATCAGATCCGACACTGCTCGCATTGTCATTAAGCTAGGCTCAAATTTCACGACAGTCCCTGGACCAGGGATCCGAGTCATTGCCTTTGCCTCCCAATTCTACCAGAACGGCTCCCCCAATCATGGTTCCTTCCAGCAATACACTTTGGCCCAGTCCGAAGCTGTTATCCCACTTCCCGATGGCCTCTCCTTCGAAGAAGGCGCAGTATTTCTTTTCGTCGTCCTGACTGCCTTGACTGCATGGATCACGATCGGCATTTCGCTCGACACCAAGTACACCCCCGCAGACAAACAGGCAGTCCTGATCTGGGGCGCATCGAGCAGCCTGGGTACATTTGCCGTTCAGTCAGCTAAGACACTCGGCTTCACCGTGTACGCCACGGCCAGTCCCAAGCACCATGACCTCGTCAAAAAGATTGGAGCCAATGCGGTTTTCGATGACAGGGCAAGCGTTGTCGTCTCCCAGATCGTCAGCGACGTAAAAGAAGATGGTGTTAACCGGAACACTGCGCTCTGTGTTGTCGATGGAGCTTTTTAGCCAACATTGGATGTTCTGAAGGAGACTTAGGAAGATGCACCTGCCAAGGTCGCACACTTCCCCCTTCTTCCAGAAGGTCACCCTACACTCGACAACACCCAAATTACTTTCAACTTCCCATCTATGGACGAGGTCGTGAGAAGCAAGCACATGAACGAAGTCTTAATGGATGGCTAAAGCCCGGTCTGGAGTCCAGCAAAGTAATTCCCAGCCCCAACATCCAGATTGAGGATGGCAGCCTTGGAGGAAGCCACGCCATTCGTACTTTTTATGTCATGCTTGAGCCATTCCAGAGTTAAACTCATGAACTAAAACTATCTGATAGATAAGTGTGAATAAAAACACCAATCTCCTTAAATGGACAATATGCTAATCAAATGAATTAACCGTAAAATAGCTGCCTCTCTCTCTTAAGCCCCTTTCTATCTAGGTTGTCGTAGAACCCAATTAGTCTTCTGAAAAGCCTAACCTTAGGCATACGGTCTAGGCTGGACTCGCAACGAGCTAGGGGTCGAATTTCTATCAAGCGCCCCCCCCAAAGCTCGAAAGTGTATAGAATTGTAGTCTTAGCGTTAATTAAGTCGTTGGCGTAGGTTTTACAAGCTTGTCATAGTATTGTACTGATTCTGACTGCCTAAAATAATGTATGTGGAAATCTATGTGCTTTGACAGTTCTAGAATTTTGCCTTTGCCAGGTTGTTGACAAAATTTGGCTCGTTGAAAGGAACATTCCCTGACCCAAAGTCCGTTGTATCCAAGGCATTTTGCACGACAGCTGGGTGTTTCACGTTAGATTCCTAGCTTCTAAACCTTGCAGGAATGTCATGGTGGATAACTTACTTGACATTGACTCCCAGGCAACCAACGGCTGTGTGCCACCCACGGTAGTCGTTAGGCCACAGGCATGATTGACAGGCCAAACGGATTGGTACTTGATCAGAGATGCAGTGCCATCAAGCGTATATCCGTCTGTACTACAGTCCCAGCCGCCATGTGCCGACGGGCAAACGGCCAGGATGTTCGAGGCAGTGGTACTTGTGGCGTCGGAAAGCCAGATAATAACTCCTTCCCAATCGTGGCGATGACCGAGATCCGTCGAAGGCGAATCCTTGGGGAAATACCAGGAGTACATCAGGGCATAATGGTCGCCTGAAGCACCGCCCCTCACTGTGGTTTGCAAAAGGAAGCCATTTAGTCAACATATCCAGGGCTAGTCAACGCATGATTTGGGAAAGCTCACCATATATCTGCCCCGTACTACTACTGCACTGGCCACTTGGATCTCCTGTTGGTTTGAGACCGGCACTACATGATACATATTAGAGCCACAGTCTGAAACCCCTTTCAAATAGAAAATTATTTACTCACTTGGTGTTCCCGTTTGCATCTACGGCCGGGAAAGGCACGCAGCCATTAACAACATATAGATCTGGCTGATAGGCCAGATATAGGTCCCCAGTAGCACCAGCTGGAACTGTCTGAGGAAATCCAACAAGCTGGTCGGATGCGACTGTCCCTCGACGCGACAACCCAGCCGGGCTAGCCGTCACAGGCAGCACAGTGAGAGCAGTTAACCCGACAATCAGTCGGGGAATCATGTCGAAATAGAATGTGAATACAGTCAGCGTGTGTGATAAACAAATAGTTTTCCTCGAAATATTTATACTGCCGTGCTCATCCCGTTAGATCGACATGTCTCTTATCTTGGCGACGATCTCGCTTTCTTCGAGAGGTTTACTCCGGTAACTACGGGCTTGAATCCCGATGAAGTATAGTGGATGATAACAATCCAATAGGTCGCTTTTCGCGCGTGGGATAGATAGCTCCGGTGATTCGCCGTATATTCCTTAGTTTCTCCGATGCAAAATGTCTCAGTCAGCTCCTCACACAATTTGACCGCTTATTCAGTTGAGATCTAGTCTTTAATTGAGGCTACTGTGGATTCAGTATACAGTAGTGTTCTTTGTGTGTATGAAGGCCACATATAAGTATTCTCTGTAACTCGGCATGGCTAAATACAACATGAGGAACTTGATCTTCACATCCTTGGCACTGGCGTTTTTGCACCAATCAGGGTAGACAAGTCAACAAATTGCCCAGGTTCTTCAAAACAACCCCCTGTATTGTAGCGTTGGCATCGCTTTTCGAGGCTGCCATCCCGACTGAGACACTTGCATAGCACCCAGACGCTAACGATACTTCAAGTTCGCTTGGTAGTCTCGAACGGCCGCACGTGGTCACATCATCTGGAGTGATAAACGGAAGTGCGATATGGATACGAGAGAGTACAAAAGAGAAATCGGCCGGATTTGTGCATCTGGAGTCAGAAACCTTTCCGAAGTTGACGTTCAGCCAGACATCGTCCGGTAAGTACGGTTTTCCAGCAGCAACTACCTGGTTTGTTAAGTTAGTCGCCAAATCGGCATAGACATTGCTATAGTGAGGCCGCGTAGTATTCCATGAAGTCTGGGAGCCAGTAGCGCCGGAAAAGGCGATAGCGGGGATTCCAGCGTGTGCAGCATAGGTGGCGGCGCCCACTGTGCCAGAAACGTAAACTGTGAGCCCAATGTTTTTACCGACATTTGGGCCTGCGACCGCCAAGTCCGGAGGGCCGTTGAAGAATTGCGGGGCGCGCGAATCGATACCGTATTTCATAGATGTCACTGGGTAGCTATTAACATATCCAAGTCGGGGCTTTTTGTGTCGTCAGTATACCACTCAGTAACTGCGGACACATTACTCACCTCTGAGGAATTGAATCCCACGGCCGGGCTGCCAGAAGGGCAACTATTGAACTCGCACGGTCCAGTCAAGACAGTCGGGGTTTTTTGCTTTGATCCTATAGCGACGAGTCAATAGAGGAGAGGCATGTAGGGGGGGCTGGCACAACACACCCGTGCCACTCTCGTTCTCAGCGGGTGCAGATACAACAACTGAATTCCCAGCCGCTCCTAGGGACTCAAATAGAGCGCGGATATTCACTTCCGCCCAGCCATCATCATTGGATGAGATGATGTTTACTGCACTCGCAGCCAGGGGGAAGATTGCAAGAATGGGAAAGTGCATATTCAAGGCGACCAGGAACGTTGATACAATGTAGAATCAGGGGTTGTTCGGATAGTTTTGTATCCTCAGATGCTAGTCTTTCTGCACACGCATGCGTGTCGATCTTCCCGTGATCAAGCTTAGCTGCCGGGATGTCACCGGCTCGGCTCGAATACATAATGCACGAGCAGAAATTTAATTAGGAGATCGTCTTCTGTCTTACCTTGAACTTTTACGTGTCCAATATTCGGATGAGTTTTAAGGGCCGTTGCAGTAAGAGTGTATCTATGCAAAATATATATTGTGCTGCTTCAGACATCTCGTCTCAAACGATCATATTTGCAACATAGCAAGTCAAAATTGAATCAGCTACACAAATATGAAACACAAAAATGTATGGTATCTCTTGAACAATGCGGTAAAGTGGATTTTGTGGCCCTTAGGGCAGCTTGCAATGGGCTTTGGATCAGTACATTGTCAACAACTTTATAAATCAAAGTACCAGTCCTGTGAATGCTCTGCTGTAACGTTTCGATATAGCGTAAGTAGTATCTAAGTAAAAAAAACAACAAAAAAACATCAAATTATCAAAAAGGGAAAGTAACAATAAAAGAGACAACTATGTAATGAGGTCCGGGGAACACATCATCATATAATCGCCAACACAAGAGAAATGAATGTGATCTAGAAAACAAAAGAAGAAAAATGTACCAAATCTTAATTGTACCCCAAGGTGAGGAAAATATATTTGCATGATGACACGCGAACGCAAGCACAGCTCAAGCTTGGCTTGGTAGCCATCATTCATTCAGAACGGGCACTTTTCGTCTTCTTGCTCCGGAGTTTCATCATAAAGAAGACCAAGGCGTATGACGAGATGCAGAAAAGGGCAGTAATACCCGTCTAAAAACAGCTTGTCAGCATCGCAGACTAGGCCAAATCAGCTAGGGTATACTCACATCTCTCCACGAATAGTATTTCTCTTGAAGATTGAATGTTTTCGCGTAATCAGAACCTTCAGAGTACGGACAGAATAGACATGTCCCAGTCGAGTTTCCATCAGCTAGGTAACCCGTCTGCGCGGCGAGGAAATCGGTCATGTACTGGCCGCAGGTCTGGCCAGACGGCGCAGAGAACTGTACAAATTCCGATGGTTCACATTCGACCTTGATATCCCAGACCACTTCGCCAAACAACCCTCCAACCAAGTAGTTGAAAGGGTCGAGGTAATAGATCCAGTATCGCCAAAATGGTTGCATGAGGGAATATGGAACCACCACACCACAGAAACTGATCAGGCCGGCACCGATCAAAACGGGGTTCATCACAGCTGCAAAATACTCGTTCGGTGCGTACGCCGCAATTGCCTGTCCAATGGAAGTGTATAGTAGCTCATAGACTGTCTTGATGTTAGGTTTCCCCATTAATCGTTGAAGTTTTGGTATGACTTACAAATCATCTGAAGATACACGTGCCCAGAAACACTGGCCTCCAATGGAAGACCTGCTGTGAAGTACCAGCATGCAAAGTAAAGCGTGGCGCAAATGATGAGATATGGGATTTCAGTCAGAGTCTGCGCTCCAATGAAGGCGCTCCAATGATAGGTTTTGGACTGCATCATTGTTAGTGATACTGCTATGCCAGTGTGTCTCCTCTAGCGCGCTAACCTTCTTCTCTCGAGTCTCAAAAATATCACGGCTGTGCAGGAAAAATGGCTGCATCTGGTTGATGCAGCCCGGAGCGACGAAGATGAAATTGAAAATCGCAAATAGTCTCAATTGAAGGTCGAAAGTGCCATTTCCAATCTTCCAGAAGGTGAAACCACTGAAAAGGGCCGCGAAAATATGGAGAATGATCTTGTTCCACATATAGTCCTATCTGAAGGTAAGCATTTGTAATCGAATTTGGGATATGATTGCAGTGACGTACTGGTGAGCGCCAGATATGAATGCTGAGACGCTTAGAGACCATCTTGAATTGGAACCAGTGCGAGGTCGCATAGTCAGCAGTATCTTCAACATACTCTGAATCATTTTTGCTAGACTCGTTAAGTGCATCAAGCTGGGAGAGTGCTTGCTTGCGCTCTTCTGACTGGTTCCAGATTTCGACCCAATCCTTTTTGTCTGTAGTACCGCCTCCTTGAACAACATCAATAATATGCTCTGCTGGGTTTGCATCGGGGGGCATGGCGCTCCGTTCCGATTGAAGTAGTCCAAAATTTTGGTCGAGTCTTTGCCAGCTGTCGGCACAAATCAGTCATGATTAGTGGCTTGTCTTGACAAATTTGCTCGAAAGGAAACTCACTTTCTCCGAAATATGTCATTTTGCCGCCCTTCGCTAGTAACAGGAGACCATCAAATGCATCAAATAGCACAGCAGATGGTTGATGGATTGTACACTAACTGATTAGTACGATGGAAATATATTATAGTATATTGAGAACTAACCAACACGGCTTGGCCGCCATCAACGAGTTTTCGAAGGAAGCGCACAATGTTGAACGCACTTTGTCCATCAAGACCGGAGGTAGGTTCATCCAAAAACAGCAATGTGGGCTTAGCAACAAGCTCAACGCCGAGGGTCACGCGTTTGCGCTGTTCAATGCTGAGTCCAGCTCCAGGCACTGTGAGTTATTAGCATCGCTGTCCAGTGGCATCAAGGCTTCAACCAAACTTACCTCCAATGAGTGCTTCGCTGATATCACCCAACTCCAAAAGGTCGATTATATGCTCAACATAAGCGATTTTTTCTTCATGTGAAACCGTTGAGGGTTGGCGAAGAACGGCCGAAAATTCTAATGCCTCCTTGACGGTGGCTGTCTCGAGATGCACGTCCATCTGTTCACAGTAGCCCGTAGTGCGCTGGAAGCTAATTCCAACGGGGTGACCGTCAATTAAAACTGATCCATAGATCTCTCCGCTATCCTTGCGCTGGGCAAGCACATCCAATAATGTCGTTTTTCCAGCTCCAGAAGCTCCCATAAGAGCAACCAAGTTTCCAGGTTGAACAAATCCAAACACCTTGTTCAAAAGCTGTTTCTTCTCGCCGTGGAATGGGACATGATAGTCGAGATCTTTCCATGTAAAAGTTGATTGCTTGACCGAGCCCAAAAGTGCGCCAGAATCTGCCTGTTTTGGAGATTCCGACTTCTGTCCTCCTTCCTTTCCGTGGGATTTCTCGCTGCCACGCCTGTAAAGCAGAACAGATGAACCACTTTGGCTGTTCCTGAATTCAAGCCCGATAGAAGTCACAAAGATAAAGAAAATCCAAAATCCAACGAGGATACCAAAACTCCTCCAGATGTGGTGGACTGAATAATTGAATTGCTCTCGGATGTATTTTTCTCCATCAATGATGCCTTCATCGTCGCTTCCAAGGACAGAACATCCACGGTGGGCAGACGCTGAGTCGGAGTATCCACTGCCGTACGGAAGATAGTCTGGCTCTATGCATGTAAATTTGCGTCCAACAAATTCATTGGCCATAAGTGCTTCGAAGGCATATGCTCCGGGGTTGAGGTAAAAGATCCATCGAAACCACACATGCATCTTTTCGAATGGTATAATATATCCTGCGACTTGTCAGTTTCGGAAGTTTTACACCAATGACTATGTTCAAATACTCACCTCCATAGACAAAGAAGACGGTGGAAAGCAAACCGGATATTTTGGACGCATTTCCAAACTGTTTGCACACGGCACCGATAGCTCGGAATATTTGTACAAAACACAACGTCTGCACAATAACGACGATCCAAAATGTGAAGAACTTTCCTGCGTCCATTTGAAGAGCAGACATGAAGTAAAGAATGAGCGAGAAGCAGGTCACCTGGAACATCACAACTGGTATATCGGTCATAGCGTTGGCAATGGCGAAGGCCGTAGGGCGGTAGAATCCGAATCGCTTCTGACGAGAAAGAATTGGCCGGCCCATGAAAGATGCAGTTGTCTCAGACAGACTTTCAAGAAGGAAATATAACACAGGGAAAAAGCAAACACCAGGGCGCAAGAAGATTGAGCTCGAATCCTTGTAATCTCAACAGTCAGCTTGGTCTTCTTGAATTGTCTCAGACGGGGGTGTTTCTTAATTACCTCCGGCAGGTCATAGAACAAGCTTCCACAGACCAGGGCCTGGATTATAGCGGACCCAACCTTCACAAATAGCGAGAGCTTATCGCCCCAGATAACCTGAAACTGGCGCAGGGCACAAGCGGCAATCTGATCCCACAGATTCGCCGTATAAACACTGCTATTTCGAGGAAGATGCTGCTTCCGCTTTTCACTGGATACTGCAAGCTTAAGGTCTTCAGCTTCGTAGCTCAACTTCTCAGGGTCCACAATGGAGGCCATTTGATCTTTGCAGATAGAACTGTTTTGATAGCAGCTTTCGAAGTCCTCGGGTGTATTGGGCACCTTCTCTTCCCAGCCGGGTCGGATTGTGCGTTCAGTAACAACAGTGACTGAGGTGAGGAAGTCCGCGACATTGGCACCCTTAGGACAGATGAACCCAAGGTCTTCAAAGTATTTCCTTGCCATACGACGAGGACCATAGTAAGTGACATGACCTTCAGCCAGAACAAGGACCTTATCGAACTGGTCGTAAATACCATTGCCGGCTTGGTATGTAGTGGTAATAATCGTCTTGTCATTTCGATCCGCTTCCCGTCGGAGCATGCGAGCAAATTCCACCGCCGATTTTGAGTCCAACCCCCGGGTCGGATTGTCCCACATTTGGACTGGACTTTGCCCAGCCAGAACCTCGGCAAGAGAGACGCGTTTACGCTCTCCTCCGGATACACCTCGGATGTACTCGTTTCCTACCAGGTTTTTCTTTGTGTGTCCAATTCCAAGTGACTCTAGGATATCGTCACGCTGGTTTTGCACAAAGTCTTTGCGGTTTCTCAAATGCTCTGGGCGCTCGTTGGGAATTTTATTTCGAAGGGCAAATTTCATTGTACGATTGACGGTCAGAGTTGGGAAGTGAAGGTCGTCTGTTATGGGTGCAATCAGCATCGAACTACACAGACCACAAGTCAGGGCTGCATACCTTCGTTGTTGAACATAATCTGCTGGCGGAAGCTCTTCGCAGCTATATGATCCATGCTTCCATAATTAGTTTCACCGGTGACTTCGTCGAAGCTATCCCGATCATTGGAGAGCACTCGAAGGAGGGAAGTGCATCCGGAGCCTGGGCGTCCCAGCACAAGAAGCTATATTGTTAGTTAGGACACCCATTTTCTCGAGCTATGAGAGCATACCATTTCCCCAGGCTTGACTTGACCTGCAACATCCTTCAGAATTGTCTAAAAGCTGTCAGTTTATGATAACTGTATATTATGGTTTGATATGCCCACTCTCTTTGGGCGGTCGCCGCGCTTAAGCAGTACCCCAACCTGTCGTGGGTCCACCTCTGACCATAAAGTGCTTCCTAAAGCGGCATCTGGTGCAGTGACTCGAACGTTCAGATCGCGGAAGGTGACTGTGAGTCGTTTGCGAATATGGCTGTCGCCGTGTTCCAGGTCGACGGGTGTCGCTGTGCCGGAGGATGGAGTATCCATAGCGGAGGCGTATATGCCTGGAAGTAAAAAGAGTGACTACTAGCGATGGTATCGGTTAGAATGAGATTGAAGGAAAATACCATGATCTCGAGACGCAGAAGAATTCTTATACTATCGCGGATTTATCATCAAATCTACGCTTCTAAATCCATATTGCCGGGAGTGGGTCGAGTTCATAGATCGCATCGCGTATGTATTGTTGGGGCGGAATTTACAGATAGGGGATATGACTCTGAGCAAGTAACACAACTGCAATGTTGTGTTAGCGAGCATATCACTGGGGCGAGCTATTCGGAAATATACTCACGGATATATTAGCGACCCACTTGGTCCAAATCGGCTCTTGATTCGCTATGACTCTTTTTTTGCAGCTTCCTCAGCTTCGATTAGATCCACCCTTCGGATATAGATCCACTTAAATGAATTAAGTCCACGGTCAACCCCTGGGTCAGGACAAAATGGATGCAGGATTACGGAGTTGTGGGTAAGGTGTGAAGTTGTTTGGTGCAAGGCGCTGATCAAAGGACCGGAGCATCATTCGACTGATAAACCGAAAAGAAGGCCTCCAAGTCCATGGTAGAGAAATCGAAATCCCAGCCCATGTCAGACTGAGTGAAATCAAGCAAGTCTTCCCCAGAGCCCGCAGAACCGCCGGTTTCAGGTTTTTCCGGTTTTTCCACCTGAGGAAAGTTCCAAGGAGACGTCGACATGTCAGGTCGCATTCCCAGCGACGGATTCTGAGGGATTGCAGGAATGTTGAGCAGCGATCGATGCCCGCGGTCTGTGTTGAGGCCTTGGTGTATGACTGTCCCTCCTGGGCGCGCCATGTTATCTGAGCTTGTTGCGAGTAGAGGCAACCATTCGTATGACGGATTGATATTGCGAAGCACAGTCTGTACTGCTGAAATTGTGCTTGCGACCGGGTCCCCAGCCCGCATGGTTGACAATGTTTGCAACGAAGCATAAACCCATGGCAGATAGACAGGTGCGACACTCGGATTGTGGAGGAATTCGTAAATCAGAGTAAATACAGAACTGCCGAAGAAGTACCCGTGATATCTCAATTCCTATGATATAGTCAGCGGAAGTTTCTATAATAACATACGGTCTATTTACTAGAACAAGATCATTCACTCTTGAAGCTTCACATAGATGATGGAGGGTCTTTTGAGCGGCAGTTATGGCAAAATTGCAGGCTTCGTTGAGCCAGGAAGGCGTTTCTCGTGGGCGATTATTGACATTGGTACCAGATTGGTCAAGTGAGAGATTCCTCTCGCGTTGCCAATGGCCGCGAAATATCAGGAACGGGCGAAATGTGAGAAGGAGGGTATGATTATATACTAGCACTGATCAGTGCGGGTCGGAGGATATCTGAATTGTTGACTCACAGGTAATGAAGATTATTTGTCGAACACCAAGGGATCCCGCCTGGATGCTATCATCAAGCCCATGGCCCAAAACTTGTTTTAAAGGCGTTTCAAGACCACGGATATCATCCGCAATGGATCGAGCAACTCTCCACATGTGCAGAAGAGACTCATGCCGCTGCCCGTATATCTCATTAACAGACCGAGTGATGCTTTTGCAAAGCTGCACCAATAATCGAATAAATGGATCCTGTGGGTACTCGATTGCGACATCCTTAAGGGAGATGGAGCTCGGACGACCCGCATGATAGCAAAACCAGCTATATATGAGATTAGCGACTTGATCAATAATCGGACTGAAAATGGTTGATTACGTTTCGTAGATGTAGATGGACCAGAATGTTACCCGTCGTTCTTCAATGTTTTCTGGAGTTTGAGCGATACCGTGAGGAACGTCTTTATGCAGACCTGCTGATAAGGCTTTGCGACAAGCAGAGCCCAGATGCAAGAACGTTGAGTTGGGCCGACCTTGTTCGTTCTGGTAATTGGCGTAAAGCCCACATCCGTTAGTTAGTCTACAGACAGAGAAACAAGAGGATGATGACTTATCATAAGCGCTGAGATTTGAATAGTTTGAAGGTTTACCGCGTCATCGAATGCGGTCAACGAAGCCTTAACACGCTCAAACAATACATCACCCCAAGCAAAATGATCCGTGCCAAGTGCCGCGCTTGCCATAACAAGGAGCATAATCGCATGGGTGAAAGCATCTAGGTGGTCTGTGGGTGACGAATTGTACATTCGGTCCAGGCATTGCTCATAATATACTTTGGGGCGAAGTGGCATCAGATGATAGAGGCTAGAGAGATACCGCGATAGGAAAAGCTTAGCCAAATCATACGGCAAGAACATCATGGACAAGTCCCCTGTCCCAAGTGACTTGTTAGTCTCATGAAAATCTGGGGTTCCGAAGAAAATGCGACGGAAACTAAACAAGTCCAAGCCAGCTCCAGCTTCCTCGACCCCGCCAGAGGGTTCAGGTTGAGAGGTAGGGTTGGAGACGAGATCTCGGTAGATATGCTGCATGAGAGAGAAATGAGACGTAGGGCCATAGTATAGCTGCATCTGACATGATGGCGATGCCATATGTGTTGCAGACACGCTATTCGGGAAGTCATTCATGACGGAAGTTGTGCGCCGGCCCGATGGTGGCACTCCACTTGGGGAGCCATGATGAATTGAATTCTTCTCGCTGGCTTCCTCGTACTCATGTTTCTTCCGCCGATGGCGAATATAGTCTCTGTATATACAGGTTGTATTGCGCAATTGGCAAGTTTTGCACCTGATGTTATATTAGCCCAATGTGTTCACTATGCGAACAATGGATAAGCTGAAGGATCTCACGGGGTCAGGCCATTGCATTTGATTTTACGCTTGCGGCATTCCTGGCATGCGCGAGGGATTCTCCAGCCCGTTGAGGTTTTATCCGATGCCTCAGACATCGGTAAATACGCGTATGAAATTAAATCTCACAGAACTCCTTTGCGGTTCATCCGTTTAATCCGAGAGATTATCCGTCTATATCCGACCTCCGGGGTCACGTGGTGATGTGTCATCCGTCACCGGGTCCACTGCTCAGAGCCCGCACACATTCTGTTCGATATGTTATTCCACAGCTGCAGCCATCGAGATTGAATCTGTTTTTTTTTACTCGTCATTGAGTAACTACTCCCTATACATCACAGAATCGATCATTTTAGAATTTACACTACCATAACATCACATGATTTGGCATTTATAAACAAGGCAGCTGCGTCTCAGTCTAGCTCGTTTTCAAAAGAATCATCGCAAACACTCTTGATAATAACCTGAAACCTTCCAATGGGCGAATCTTTGGAGCAGCTTCGGGATAGCTTCCGATCGCTTCATTTGACCTCACTCGTGCTCTAGGCTGTGTTTCTTGGAAGACTTGGCGTTATAGAGAATCACAACGCCTGACAGATTCAGGAGGTATGGTTGGTCGCCATGACACCCAAGAGATAGTCGGATGAAGAGGTCGGCATTTCCTATAAGCTGTACATGTCTAATCCCCACAAAATCAAACTGCCAGTCTGGGGTGGGATCCACAAGTCTGGGGAAACATCTCAATGCCCTAAACCGGACAATTGGTGGAAGTTCCAAGCGTGTGCTTCGATATAGACTTTAAAGTCTGACTCCTTCGCGCCGTTGGAAATTATTATCATTGGACTTCCTACGCAGCCACCTTCAACGAGACCCGGTACTCCCACTGTTACTTCCGACTGCCAAGGAATTCCTGACTACTCTCAGTATCAGACTAAATATCGTCCCTTGGCAGCGGCAGATTGAGATTGCAGCTGATGAAAAAGCCGAATCATAGTTCGGGATTGAGTCCGTGATCCCCCACACCCCAGATTTACCATTCAGCTGTTTCTATTGGGCTTCTGATTGAGCTATTACAGCTATAAAGTACCCGGTCGCCCCTCGGTCTATGCTCCTGAGCCTGGATCTCTGTCTCAGAACATCTGACCGCCCCCTTGCCTACGCCGAGCTCAACCCACGGTCCATAATTCCAAAATGGCCGATGCCGAAAGAGGCACTACGGCCATCGGTGATGAAAAAGTCATGTCAGATCATAAAGAGCATATGATAGGGGAAGTCGCCCATGACGCAGCAGAAAGGGGCCACCTCGCGACGGATGAATATGGCCAACCCCTGGTGGAATTTGACAAAGCCGCCGAGTCAAGATTGCGACTCAAGATTGATTTATATATTGTACCAACTGTCGCAGTCTTGTATCTTTTTTGCTTCATCGATCGAGCCAACGTTGGTGTGTGACCAGCCCATCTTATTGTTCCTAGATTTTTTATGTCCAGTTCAAGCACTAATTCGTTTTTTCTCCTCGAATAGGCAACGCTAAATTAGCCGGTTTTGACAAGGATCTCAAACTCGAGGGCTATGATTACAACGCTGTACTCTCGATATTCTTCATCGCATACATTATCTTTGAGATCCCTAGTAATGTCATGTGCAAATGGGTCGGACCTGGATGGTGGCTTCCAGCGATCACATTGGGATTCGGGATCTGTTCGGTCGCGACGGCTTTTGTCACTGATATGAACAGCGCAGCCGGTGTCCGCTTCCTTTTGGGGTATGTCTCCTAGATTTAGCAAACTCGACAATGCTAACAATTCTCCTCTAGCGTGTTCGAGGCAGGACTCATGCCTGGAATTGCGTACTATCTCTCACGTTGGTATCGACGAAGTGAACTCGCTTTCCGCCTGTCGTTGTATATTGTCATGGCCCCCCTTGCTGGAGCTTTTGGTGGCCTTTTAGCCTCGGGTATTCTCCTGCTCGATAATTTTGGTTCTCTTCATAGCTGGCGTATGATCTTCGCGATTGAAGGCATTGTGACAATTGGAATTGCTGTTGTCGCGTTCTTCACGTTGACTGACCGACCCGAGACAGCCAGGTGGCTCTCCCAGGAAGAGAAGGATCTGGCCATTGCCCGTGTCAAATCTGAGCGTGTTGGCACGACGGAGGTCCTCGACAAGCTTGATTTAACCAAGACACTGCGTGGTATCTTCAGCCCAGTGACCTTCGTAACTGCGTTAATTTTCATGTTGAACAACATTACTGTTCAGGGTCTTGGATTCTTTGCGCCTACCATTGTCAAAACCATCTACCCCGATGCCACCGTGGTGTCTCAACAGCTGCATACTGTGCCTCCTTATGTCGTCGGTGCATTTTTCACTTTACTATTCCCATTCCTCAGCTGGCGATTTGATCATCGCCTTATCTTCTTCATCATCAGTCCACCGCTGATGATGATCGGTGAGTCTCAATTTCTCGAGCAGCAATATACGGATTGCAGAGTACACATGCTAATCATTGTGGGATTATAGGTTATATCATGTTCCTGGCTAGCGAAGACAGTATGGTCCGATATGGAGCTACCTTTATTATTGCCTGTGGAGCCTTTGCCTTTGGCGCTCTATGCACTGCACACGCATCGGCAAATGTGATCTCCGACACCGCGAGATCTTCGGCAATTGGAACCACGGTGATGTTTGGAAATATCGGCGGGCTGATCAGCACTTGGTCATTCTTGCCTTTTGATGGACCGGATTATCCAATTGGTAATGGACTCAACTTGGCAACTTCGACTACCACCCTACTTCTTGGGGCCGGCTTATGGGCCTATATCTTATGGGACAATCGGCGCCGTGCTCGTGTCGATGTCCATAGCGCCTTGGCAGGACTATCGCAGAAACAGATTCAGGATCTGGACTGGCGCAATCCTGGGTTCCGCTGGCGGCCATAGCCTCTTTAGCTTGGCCAATCACTTCTGTCCTGTATCTTATTTTCCGATGTTATGGCTTGACTCCGCATCCTTTCATACTATCCCTGGCCTCGAACATTCAATTGATTCAGATTGCCTATTCGGAACTCCGATTCTCGGGCAAAGACACGAGGCATCTTAGAGCTTTTTTGGCTTTAGCGCACGTAGAACATTTTTAGATAACCGGTGCTTTTGTTCTTTTGATATCACTCTCTACACCCACTATTAGCAAGCTCAATTGCGATACTATACATAGCCTGTAAAAGAAGTGTTGCCACGAAATATGCTCGTGATATCAAGTCATGTACCCTGCAAACATGTGCCCTGCAAGGACCAATATCTTAGTGGGACAATGAACGCCGAAGAACGGCCCAAATGGCCTAGAGCTGTACGCGCCATTTCCTAACATCGGTCGTTGGAAGATATTAATAATAAACAATGTCGCCAGGAAATTAAAGAACCTAGATATATGTCTCACCGAGACTTAAATTTGCCGAACATCTCGGCGCGGTCCTCTCTGGGCTACGATTCGTCAAAGCACGCGAGAAACAGAGAGGTGATCGGCTTGTCAAAGCGCACCCCACGCCAAGCAGCGGTTGATCTCAGACCAACAACGGGACAGTGTTGGTTTTTGAACCAATCAGTAACTTTCTATCAGTCAAGGATGGAGCTCTCCAGTTTTTGCCCCCGCGATAAAAAGGCTGGCATGTCCCCTGTGGGCCTCATGATCCTTGCAAGCCACATGCGGCACACATACACACACACGTATTTCTCGTCGGACGTTGTCCGAAACTCACTGTCAAAGTTTTAGGGAGGCAATAACCTTGGCGGTTGAGGTATTCTAGTACTCCGTATTTTGTACGGAGTATCGAATAGAGAGGGAAGAACGTCTGAGAATGAAGATACAGTGAGACACGAAAGGAAGGGAGCTGCAGAGACCTTGCAGTGAAACTGCAGATATTCCAAATTGTGTACGACCATGTGCTGATTCGGTTACTCGGTCATGTCCCGTTGAAAAAAAAAAGCCCCGAGAAGTGAAAGACGGCGACTCCGTCAAATGGGAAGATCCAAGCTCTCTTGGCAACCTTTCCCCAGGGCTTAGCCTATCCCGGTGTATCATGTGTATAGCGGCTCATCTTCGACTGCAAGTGGCTCTTGAGTCTTGACAGGATTCAGGATTATTCAGATTTGCTCGGATTGGAATTTCCGCTCCCCCCAGTATTTCCCCGCATAACCAGGATCTCATGGCTATAAAGTCCGCTCTGCCTCACATTCCCTTTTTGTTCACTTTTCTCTTACTAACCCGGCTTTGTCTTTGATATCCTTCCATTCAACTACATATTTGAGTGTTGCCCACCATGGCCGGCGGAGCAAAGAAACCAGTCAATATCTTTCGCCTTAAAGACCTCGGCGACCCTAAAGAGGTCTTTAACTGGCGATTATGGTTCGCAGTTATCTCATTTGGCCTGATGGGCGCTGCCCGAGGTGTCGATGAGGGTTTGATCTCAGGCGCATTCAACTCTAAGGACTTTCAACATTACATCAACTATGACTCGTACAGCGAAGTGGAACAGACCAATATCAAAGGAAATGTTACCGCAATGGTTCAGATTGGATCTGTTGGAGGTGCTCTGTTGTACGTTTTCCGTGCTCGCTTTTCTGTCTGATCGCATATCGCTAACGTAGTCTGTTCTTGTACAGTGCCTTTTTAGTTTGTGATCGCATCGGTCGTATCTGGGCAACTCGCCAACTTTGTGTTATTTGGATCGTGGGAATCGCAATTTTCATGGGTAACGGTGGCAACCTGAGTGCCGTCTATGCTGGTCGCTTTATTGCTGGACTCGGTGTGGGCCAAACAGTTGTCGTTGCTCCTGTATATCTTGCTGAAATTGTGAGTTGCTCATTATTCAAGTCATAACCTTATATCAACTAACAAAAAGGCAAGGCTCCCGCCTCTATCCGTGGCCTCTGTACCTGTGTCTTTACAGGCTTTGTCTATCTGGGTATTGTACTTGCATATTTCGCCAATTACGGCTGCGAGCTCAATCTCGGCGACGCAACTCACAACCGATGGGTATGTCCGATCCTCCTTGAACCATTTCTATCATTGAGACTGACTTGGACATAGCTCGTCCCCACAAGTTTGCACATTATGTTTGCCGGCATTATCTTCCTCCTCTCCTTCCTCCAATACGAATCACCCCGATATCTGATCAAACGTGGTAACCTCGAGAAGGCCATCTCTAACCTCTCAAAAATCCGCGGCCTATCAACCGATGACGAATATGTCATGCGTGAGATATCCGGCATCCAAACAACACATGAAGCCGAGATGGAAGCCACACTTGGGGCTGGCCCGATCGGCGTGATCAAGGAAACCTTCCTGGTCCCATCGAACCTTTACCGAGTCTACCTTACCTTCATGGCTCAACTTCTTTCACAGTGGTCCGGCGCCGGCAGTATCACTGTCTATGCCCCGGATCTGTTCAAGTTGCTGGGAGTTACAGGCAAGAACGAGTCACTGCTGGTCACCGCTGTGTTTGGAATCGTCAAATTGGTGGCCGCAATTCTCTGTGCTCTTTTCTTGGTTGACGTGATTGGACGCAAGCGAGCCCTTCTTCTTGGTATCACCCTGCAAGCAATTTCCATGATCTATATCGCAGGCTTCTTGACTTCCGTTCCTGACATGGGAGTCGTCGATGGCTATAAGGTACCAGAGGATAAGAAAGGCGCTAGTGAGGGAGCTATCGCAATGATCTACGTCTCTGGATTTGGATGGGCCTTGGGCTGGAATTCGATGCAGTATCTTCTAACTGCAGAGCTGTTCCCTCTGCGCATCCGTGCTCTTTGCACTTCTATGGCCATGACCCTCCACTTTGCCAATCAATACGGCAATGCGCGAGCCGTTCCCAACATGCTTCTCCCCGTGTCAAAAGGTGGAATTGATCCTAAGGGTACATTCTGGTGCTTTGCTGCCATTACCATTATCGGTGGCGCCTGGGTCTGGTTCAGTATTCCGGAAACGGCAGGCCGTTCCCTGGAGAGTATGGATCGTCTCTTTGCTTTGCCGTGGTACAAAATTGGTCGTTATGGTAATCGGGATGCCGATGAGCGTGATCAGGTTGTGGATGAGAAGATGGAAGTCGCGGTGCAATCGCACGGGATGGCTCAACATATTGAGAGGCAGGATAAAGAGGGCCGAGTTTAGATACTACTTGGACTCTTACTTTTTTTGACTTCTTTTAGATTTCTCTAGTGTCCCTTTGCCGGTCATAATAGAAGGCCAATCTCCTTTTTTTTTGAATAATGACATTATCATGATGAATGAATCGTTTCGAATCATCCTAACCCGTTCTTTGCCTTTTACCAACCCGCTGAAATACATGAATAGAGGTGCCGCTTCGTTCCCAAAATCTTCTGTTCGGTCCTTCAACCCCGGTTGTCCTAGCCCGGGAAATGCTTCGTTGACGTCGGCTCATCCAGGGGGATGATCACAATTCTCGCCTTACTCGCGGCCTTATCCTGAATCTCCCTAAGAGACCTTTCAGAGCCACGATTCGTTCGAATATCCATATCTTTCATGTCATTCAAGTATTCATCTGGCAAATCGACCCGGATCAAAACACCTCTAGGCTGAAAGACAGTCTCGTTCCATTGCGAGATATGTCGAGCAAGGCGTTCACCACGGGCTCCAGCCAGTGCCGAGATCAGATTTTGTTGTTCTCTTCGATTCCTAGTGAGACGGGCAACGAATATCGCGGGGATAGCACCCAGAAGGCCGACCATCAGCCCGCCCACTGCCATGACACCCAGGCCTTTCCCAACCACGGTGGTCCATTGCAGACGGGAAAGCTTGGCTTCGTCGCAAACCACTTTTGTAAATTGTGTCCAGTCTTCTTTGGAAATGTCGTAATGAGACAGTTCATCTGGATACTCGAATCCCGATGTGCAGGCTCTGGATCTGGATGGCACTTGCAAGCCTCGGCTGAGAGCAGATGCAACAGCAAACCCGGGCTCGTTTTGTTGGGGTCGGAGGATCAGGGGAGTGTTGGCCTTTTCATCGATGAAGTAGTTGAATTCCTCAGATGGGGAATACATCGGTGGATTCTCATACTGGCTAGGTGTGTTCATGATTGGTGGAGATGCAGCTAGCATTGCTTCTGATGAAGTATGAAAGTCGCCGGTGCTTTTTTTTCACTGGAGGGCTCTTTGATATGCAATACTTGTGTGACTTCTGAACCTCAAAGACAAGGTTGCCATCGCAGATATTTATATGTCTGCTCATCCTAGGCATCATATTTCCAATCAACCACCTACTATTCCGATATGAGTTGGTCAGTCATTGTGGCAGCGTTGAGGGGTTTTTTCGGCCCTCGGAACTCATCCCATAGAGCCTTGAAATTGCTGATGCCTTGATCATGCAAAATTTTCTGTTCGAGGCACTTTTGGGAGACCAATAGTGATTGCAGGCGTTACGAGTCGGGGTCCAGGTCTAGCTATTTAGGGCGATAAAAAGCTTGAATTGGGGTCATCATGATCCGCTATACGGTGAGATCCAATTTGAGACCCGAATTGACCAATCGAGTGAAATAGTTCAGGTCCGAGACTGGCACTCCGTGTTGATCTACTCCGAGCTCCGCGTGAGTCACCCAGAGGGACGTGCACCAGCTCATCTTGGAACCCGACATCTCCCCAGGCACCACCTTCCTGCAATCATGACAACACGTTACAGAGTAGAATGTATGTGTGTCATAATTGCATTGCATTCATTACTAACTCCCCATAGATGCCCTCAAGGTACGATCATCCGCTGCCAGAAATGTGCCCCTCACTAACCCCACGTAGACCCATCGCCGGGATCAACTGGTAAGTCATCATTACCTCTCTCAGGGGTCTAACTAACAGTCTGTAGATTGAATGGATCAAAGTATGTCGCTCAGTCATGTCATATGGTTCAGTTCTAATTCCTCTAGGGTCTATTGGCTGTCCCCTTCGTCCTGCATTCCCAGCCCACCGCAATCTACAAGGAAAATGGTGAGGTGCTGAAGACGGTCGCGGCCGACACCCACCATCGCTATGCAGAGATTATGCGTGATGTAGAGAATCTGATGTACGATCATAGTAAGTGGGATTTGTAAAAAGTCAAGAAATACAGGATGTCTAATCTTTGAAGTCCAACACCACGAACGCAATGCCCCTGGCAAATCCAAATTGAATCTCCTCGTCCCAACCATCGGCACTTTTTTCACCAAGCTGTATCTAGAAGATGCATTCAATTATCAAGATCAGCAGCGATTTATCAGCCGACGCCGCTTCGTGGCCCCCTCATTCAACGATATCCGACTTATTCTGAACTCCGCCCAGCTGTTGGGTCTGGTTCGTTCGAGCGATGTGAAGCTAATCACATTCGATGGAGATGTAACACTCTACGATGATGGAGCCTGTCTCACATCCGACAACCCCGTCATCCCCCGCATCGTACGCCTCCTCGAACAAGATCGCAAGGTCGGCATTGTGACAGCGGCTGGCTACACCGAGGCGCCGAAGTATTACGAACGACTTCACGGTCTACTTGATGCGATTCACGAATCCACTACTCTTACCGCAGATCAGAAACAAGGACTGATTGTCATGGGCGGCGAGAGCAATTATCTATTCCGCTTCGACCCGACCTCGGACGCCCGACTCGTCTACGTGCGGCGGAGCGAATGGTTGTTGGATGAGATGCAAGCCTGGAGTGATAGTGATATTACCGAGCTTCTTGACATTGCCGAGTCTGCTCTACGTGCGTGTGCCGAAAACATGAATCTGCCTGCTGCGATTCTGCGGAAGGATCGCGCGGTCGGCGTCTACCCGGTAAACGGAGTGCGAATCAGCCGTGAGCAGTTGGAAGAGACTGTATTGGTGGTCCAGCACACGGTTCAACATTCGGCTGTCGCAGAACGATTGCCATTCTGTGCTTTCAACGGTGGAAATGATGTTTTTGTCGATATTGGTGACAAGTCGTGGGGTGTGCGCGCCTGTCAGCGCTACTTTGGTGGTATTGACCCAGCCAAAACACTGCATGTTGGCGACCAGTTCTTGTCGGCTGGGGCTAATGATTTCAAGGTGGGAAAATTATACATCTCTCCTAGGCTACTGATCAGACTAACATCCTCTTTCTTATTAGGCACGCCTTGCATCCACGACTGCCTGGATCGCAAGCCCCACTGAGACTGTGGAACTACTTGACGAGTTGGAGAAGGCGGTACACCCGTAATCATTGAATTTCACATTGAATTCTGGAATATTGCGTCTGTCCGGGTTCATTTTTTTCTGTTTTCGGGGTCAGTGCTGCGATTGATACACCCTCGGAGATTCTAGTGCTGCCTTTTGACTACCTCTTCGATCCTCACAATAGCACTCGCCTATAGCGTTATTGTTTTGTTTGAAATAATTGCGAGATGGAAATTGATAGTTCTATCTACAACGCACTTTATGCCGTAGACCAAGAATGTTCAAGAAGGGTAAAAAATCATCAAGCGAAAAGCACAATCACCCAAACTCCCAGGCATAAACGTCACGTAAGGCATCCTTGGTTCTGGAGGACTTGTTGCATAGCATCGTACAAAGCGTAACGGACGTCTAGTACGATCGCCCTCAACATCACAAGTTAGCGGATGGCTCGCCGGCCGTATTTGGAAGAAACATTCAAGGAGATCCCGGGTGCGTCATTGGCGTGGAGTCAATGGTTGGTTGGAAAGAAGTTGAAGTCCTGTGGGTGGAAATCCTTTCAAGGGGAGTTGGGAACCGAGGTCATGGGTTCGGCTTTCGAAGAATCTGCAGAGTAGAAGGAGGATAACTGTTAACATCCGTGTTGAAGGGGCACCAGTAGTAAACACTGTACGGGGGGACCGATCCTCAGAGGCCAATGGAGCAAAATGAGCAGCGCGAAAATGAATCGAATAGGGGTGTACAAGCAAATCACCGGGATCCTAGTCGGTTTACGTACTCTCATAGCAGGACCATGTTTCGTTCTTGCTAGCGTGGGTACGTCCGGACAGAACATTGACAACATCCTGTAGTTCAAGCCAGAACTCGGACTTGGGGCGACGGCGCACCCAATCAGTTTCGGTAGCCTCCAGTCCATTTTCGCCGCCCATGGGGGAGAATAGCACCTGCGATCCTTTAACACCCATCACAGCAGTAGAGAGAGGGTCCGCGGCGATTTCATCAGGGCTCTTGTTGGCGTATCCTTCGATGTGCTGCATGCATCTGATGGACATACGCATAGCACGGACACGATCCATTGGCGAAGGCTTTCCACCTTGTTGGAAGTGACCGGGAACAGCGGCACGAGACTCAAAGCGGCCCTTGGCCTCTTCCTTGATCATGTCGGCGATCACCTGGGTAGTGTATGTACCGGAAGCACATTCGTTGCGTAGAATGATCTTGCCGGCACGGTTAGCTCCTTTGTCACGGATGAAATTGTCGCGGAGGAAGTCGATGTCGCGTGAAAGCATCTTGATGTCAACACCCTCCTCGGGAATGTACACTGCCACAGCACCCACAGCAAGGCCAGCTGTGGTCGCAATATATCCAGATTTACCGCCTTGGGTCTCAATCACAAACACTCGTCGGCGAGAAGAGGAGGCGGACTGCCGAATTGCATCACAGAAGTCGATCAGGGTGTTGAGGCAGGTGTCACTACCCAAGGAGTATTCAGTGCCCGGAACATTGTTAGAAATGGTGGCTGGGAGCACGATCAGCGGGATCTTGAACGCATCATACTTCTCACGAGCCTGGCGTAGCTCGCTGACGGCTGTGAAAGCCTCAAAGCCACCAACAACAAATAAGGCATCGAACTTGTACTGCTCAAAGCATTTGGCAGTGGTCTCCATGTCAGTAGATGGCAGGTTACGGTTCGTTCCAATGTCTGAGCCACCCTCGTTGACCCAGTTATCAGCTTCCAGCCAAGTAACCTCGCGGACTGAGCTAACTGGCTTATCGTCGTGGTGACGGCACAGTCCAGGGAAACCGTTATGAATGGCCAGTGGGGTGTGGCCACGGGTCAGGCAGTATGCAACAGCGCCACGGGTTGCTTGGTTCATACCACCGGCCGGAGCACCGACATGAATGATAGCGATCCGCATTCTCTGTAGAAGAGTAAGTATCAGGGAATATTGGGGAGCCCGAGCACAACGGGGGGGCTGGGGAATTTAGTGCAGACCTTGGCCTCTGGAAGTTTCATCTTCGGGTCGTCTAGCTTCGCAGTGTTCATATATGCATTGTAGTACTCCTTGAATTCTGGATCACGGAGCTTCATGGCTCCCTCAAAGTCCATGTCTTCGATCTTCGCCGTCACATCTTTGGTCGCTTGCACTGCCTCCATCAAAGGTGTGCGCAAGATCTTGTTCTCGCGGATGGTGATAACTGGTGAAGGAGACTCGGGTGACATTTCCAGCACGGCACGAACGGCCTCAACACCCTGGAGTGTCGACAACCAGCGATCATAAGCGCACGCCGCACCACCTCGCTGGGTGTGGCCTAGAATGGTGACTCGAGTGTCCAATCCCAGCCGATCTGTAAGAATATCCTTGATTTTCGAGCTCGAGATTTTCTTCAACTGACGATCCTGGGCTCCTTCGGCGACAATAACGATCGTACGACGCTTGCCGCGTTCGCTTCGATTCTGTTAAAACATCTCAGTCAGCAAAAAAAAAAAAGATAAAAGAAGGAACGTCGAGCAACGCTGGAATAGTTCCCACCTTGGTGATTGCGGAGCACATCGCATCTTCCCAACCATCCTTCGGGGGCATCTCAGGGAGGAACATCCAGTCTGCGCCGGTACTGATGGCGGACATCAATGCAAGCCATCCACAGTGTCGGCCCATCACCTCAATGACGAAACCACGCTGATGGGAGAATGCAGTATCAAAGACGTCGTCGACGGCATCACAGATACGGGTCAAGGACGAATAGCAGCCGATAGTGGCATCTGTCCCAGACATGTCATTGTCAATCGAACCTACCAGGCCTACAATGTTCAACACTGTGTAAGGTGCCACCTGCTCAGTGGATAACTCCCCCGCGGAAACAAGGTCTGCCAACAAGCTAGGCCACTCGGCACGGAAGACATCGGCACCCGTCAAACTGCCGTCACCACCGCAGACGACCAGTGCATCGATACCTCTCAAAACCATGTTCTTAGCTGCCTGCATACGGCCAGCACGCTCACGGAATCCCTTGCTGCGGGCAGAGCCGATCAAGGTACCACCGCGGGATAACCAGCCGCGAACATCCTCCCAGTGTAGCTGGCGGATCATGTTGCCGCCATTGACCAGACCTTCGTATCCTTCGAAAATGGCGTAGGCTTCGCAGTCGCAGTGAATTGCCATACGGACAACGGCCCGCACGGCACCGTTCATACCGGGAGCATCTCCACCGGAGGTGAGAACGCCGATACGGCGTCTCTTAGCCGGCTGAGTGGCGATCTTAATGGGTTCCATATCGAATCAATTGAAGATGACCTGAAATACAGGTCGATCAAAAGAATGAAATGAAAAGTGAGGAGAAAACAAGCAAAGAAGAAAAGAAAGCTCGATAGTTGTAAAGCTCCAATTGTGGATGGGGTGGGATGTGGAGGGGTCGAACCCAATCCGGTGAGAGAAATCGGGCAGAAGTGGGTGCTTTGCGTCACAGACAAAACAACTTGAAGCTCAAGTACAATAGGTTGTCAAGAGGTACAGAGAATTCTTGGAAAAAGATGAACAGGTCTGGACTCTTTTTGAATATATCTCTATATAATTTCCACCGAAGATAAGAGTGGCCTGATCTTTCTCATTGAGCGAATACCTTTCTAGTACCTGCGTTCCTTTACAATTTGGCTGCAAGACACATGTCACCGTTGGGTCAATTTGGGTTTAGTGTGGGCGGTGAGTGATTTTGCTTGACGTCACTCCATCCTGTTTGTTTTGTTTGTTTCTCGAATTCCCCCGGAGTCTGGCCCCGATGACATCTTCTCTCTATCCTCGAGGTCCGCTAATTCTTGTTACTCTACCCAATTACAGGTCATCGACCTCATCATATCTATGATCTTCTTGCTTTATTATGGGTTAATCCTGGAAATTATCATTGGATCTCAACCAGCCTTGGCAAGCGTGGTCTGACGGGTGACACGAACTTGGTACACAATAATTGTAACGAACTATTGTTAAGTAGTTGCTCACCTGGGTAGTACTTGCGAAACAAGGCTACCTCGCTTGGAAGCCTCCGGGGGGTAGAGAAGTGTTGCATCAGTCGCAGGACTTTTGTCAAGTGCCACCTCCATGTGTCCATTCAACATGGGGCCTCGGACCACGTTCTCACCCCCGACCCCGATGCATTGTGCCCGCAGTTTTTTTGCTAATTCCTTGTGTAAATTGCTTACGAACCCTCCCCGGCCCCGCATAGGAGGTATCAATCGGTGAAAACTTCAAGGGAACGCAATCACGATACTACAGCTCTTACTATTGTCGGATTCATAAGCAGCAGCAGAAATGAGGGCGAAAAGAGCATCCTCAGATTTAAGCTGATATGATTGTACATATCCGGTGACCATCTCACGCCCGTGCGGATGAATGGGCTCATGTCTTCGCGAACATTGCGTCTTTTTGCTCCTCCAAGATCCCAGTGACGGGCTTCGGCGCTTCCGGTATTGACCACTTGCCATATCGAATGCGTGAATTAGCTTGGGTACACATTTGAAAAATTGGTCGACGGTAGTAGCTGGAGTCAAGCGACCCTGATAGAGGGCTTCGGCCGAAGTGGTTCGATGCTTAGCGTTATTTACCAAGCTAAACCGGCCTTCGCGTACTATATCTGTCCTAGGTAACAAGGATATACAATGAATTTCGTCTAGTGATACACATATTCATACCCCCTTTTGTAACCTTACCACTATGAGTTGCTTCACTGTTAGCCTGCCATCTCATCACTCCACCCTTGTGTTGGAGTGGCGATTTCTATGAGGAAATTCGTATAATCTGCTAAATTGAATCATTTTCTGATTGCGACTGCCCTCAGTGCATTAATACTCAAAGTTTTACTACCAGATATAATTGTGCATCTAATGTCCTCTCCAACCAGTATGATGGGTCTCACTGCTGCGTTATCAGCTGCCAATTTGGAGTTGACAGCAGAACTTTGACTCATGCTGAGCACGAGTGGCTACCCTCTGTTGCTGGGTCTTTGCATCCACTCTTGCAAAGCTTGGGGTGTCCAACATCGCCGGGATTCTTGCAATGGAATAGAACATTCTTAATATCCTCCTTCTCTAGATCTGATCCCTTTAAAACATCCTTCAGATTCGCCTCGGTGAACCCTAAAGTTTCTTTCAATTAGCTCGTGGCAGCAATGCTTGACATTCAAACAACTTACCTTTGTCTTTAATCAGGACGTCAGAGCAATAATCAAAGCTAGGGGTACACGTCTTCGTTGTCAGGCCCGTTGTAGCCAGTGCAAACACGGTAAGTACAGTGGTAGAGAGCTTCATTGTATGGTAAAGATAATTTTCAAGATATAGCCAAAGGATGAGGCATAATAAAGTGAAAATGATGGAATTATTATAGTGAGGTCGTCCCTCGAAATTGAAGACATGCTCTCGTAAAACAGGTCGCTCACATTTTTTAGTTCCGGGGTCCTACGTAGTCGGTATGGAATGCTATATGGAATGCCGTTACGCCATTTGCATGTCTCAAACGTGGAGGAGTTTCATATCAGGCCCGTCAACATTCTTAGGTTTCTCATACAAAATCACTCCAGACTTTCAGGTTGGTGATATGTGCTATAGTATGAATACAGTTATAGAGATTGCGTATCATTCTAAAGCTAGAAGGTGTCTCCATACTGATCAAGCTTCTCCAATTCGTGTGGTAGGCAGGAATGCGAATGTCAAAGAGGATTCGCTCTATTCCCGCTTGCCCACTTGGGCAATTTGACCCTAGATAAGATAAACCCCGCACGAGGCCTCGAGGGTTCATTCCATGAAAGTCCCAGCTCTTATTTTCTCAAAGGACTTGATTACTTCAACAAATGTCAACTGCAAGTTCTCAATTCGTTGTTAGCTAGAACGAGTTCCGAGCCTTTTTACATCTTTTGCCATGGCGCCGAATGATCCAGGTAACCCCAATTGGCCCCCAAGCACGAAGTTGACTATCACGCTTGACTCTACCGCTGTATCATTCGGAAGTTAACACAGTCCAGTCTTGAATCTCGTTACGGCTGACCCAGGCCTGCCGCGAGCCAATCCCACCCAGTCCTACTGGCAGCATATTCCACATGCTCTCGCTAACGTCCAATCCTTAAAATTGCCGAACGATCGAGATTTTGCGATCATTGGGTCCGGTATCACAGGTCTATCCGTAGCCAGATCTCTCTTGGAACGCCACCCTACTGCCACAGTAACTGTTTTGGAAGCCCGTGCGCTCTGTTCAGGTGCAACTGGGCGCAATGGTGGACAGATGGCTGCGAATGCCGGAGAACAGTATATGCACCTTGCAGAGACTCATGGGGTTGAAACGGCGGGCAAGATTGTGGATTTCACATTCCGCAATTTGGAAAAGATGCAGGAATTGATTGAAGAGTATGATGCTGTGGAGTTAAGTGAGATGCAGCGCCTGCAGAAGCTGCGAGTCTTTTTGACCCAAGAGAAGTTTGACGACTTCAAGAAAAGTATCGCGCGCCTGGAAATGGATCATCCTTCTAAAAAGGGGCTGTATACAATTTTGGATGCAGCTGCCGTGCTCAAGGCGAGTCTTGTCTTCCATGTGGTTATAGGCGTTGTTCTCATCTTTTTCTTTTTAGGAGTATGGTATTCACGGGTCATCTGGAGGAGCATTGCTTCCTGCTGGAACGGTCTGGCCATATCATCTTGTCACCAAAGTATTCGCGGCACTATTGGAAAAATACCCAGGTCGCCTGACAATCGAGACGCATACACCGGTTAAGTCCGTTGAACACATCTCAACACTTGCCTCAGGTATGACGAGTGCGTATCCATACACACTTCAGACTCCTCGCGGTCCGCTACGAGCACGGACTGTGGTTTATTGCACCAATGGGTACAGCGGACATCTCCTTCCCGGCCTCAGGGGGCTTGTCCACCCTTTCAAAGGTACAATGACAGTTCAAGATCCGCAGAATGCTGTATCAAATCAGGGCGCAGCTATCTCATGGGGCTTCCACTACCCTCCATCCTATGATCCTAAAACCAAGCGTCTTGGGTATGGACTATACTATCTAGGACAAAGTGCAAAGACCGGCTATTTCTACTTCGGCGGCGAGAATGCACGTCTTGAGGAGTCAGTGTCCTCAGATGACACCTTTGTGGCCGAACACTCCGTGAAACACTTGGAAGTCGTCCTCCCACGATTCTTTGGCAAGAGCGACAGATCCGATTGGCGCCTAGTCAGTTCATGGAGTGGGATTATGGGTTATTCGTCTGACGGTCTGCCAATAGTCGCACAACTACCACCGACCCTGACGGGTCGGGAAGGCGGCGGCGAATGGATTGCTGCTGCATTCAACGGATATGGGATGGCGAACAGCCTGATGAGTGGCGAGGCGTTGGCTTCGATGATTTTGGGTGAGGATGTCAGTAATTGGCTCCCAGCTGCATACGGATTGGGAGAACAGAGACTCCAAGAGACGCTCACAGTCCCAGGGGCCGTCAATGCACTACGGTCGAAGCTATGAGAGATTGACCACACCGATTCTCGGTATGTTGTCAGTTCAAACGGAAGTGTGTTTCGATTGAGCTTTTGTGGGATGATTTGTACAGGGTATTCAAGTCTTCATCTACACATTATTGATGTTTGCCAGAGTAGACGCACATGAAAAATTTTGCATAGGCCCACTTCATCTCGCGAACTAATGACTTTTCGCTTCAGGCAAAATATTCAGAAACAAAAAAGACATGGACTTGCAGGGAATCGAACCCTGGACCACTCCCATGCTAAGGGAGTATTATACCACTAAACCACAAGCCCAATTGGATGAAAGGGACGAGGAGATATCGGCTCAAGGCGGCCCAGGGTGGAGTGGTTCGGCCCGATACCAATCTACGGTCTCTGTGGGTCATGCACGTGACGCTTCAGTGGAAACAAAGTCCATCAAAGAGGGCTGGCTGGGTGACGCCGCAAAAAGGGATGGTTTCCAAGTGTGCAGCGCTGAATGGTAAGAGGGATGTTCACATGTTCCGCGCCCGGTTCCGTCGATACAGCGTACGGTGTATATCTCGAGAGACAGTTCATGACGGGACAGGGCAATCTTCATCTTTTTTCTTTTGTCTGATCTGGAAGGAGAGAGCAAAAGCTCACCATGTTGAGGGTAAATTGCTTCCCAGGCACTTTTCGCTTCGTGCTTATCATTCCCAGATTTTGATGAATCGTTGGATGAGATGGTGAAAACAACATCAAGTAACAAGAGATGGGTGATGGCGGCTTCCACTTCTTCCCTATGAGAAAGTTTTCCAGGAGACCCAAGATCCGGGTACTTGGGCATATTGAATGACAAATCAAATGTGGTGCCGAAGGGTGGTGAGGAAAGGTTGGTGTGAATCGAGATTGAGAACGAACCCCGCGGTGTCAAAATTTCCCCATTAAATGTAGACAGCAATGGGGTGAGGAACTGTCCAAGGAGGGTTTCCGGTGTTGGAGCAGGAGAGGTTTGTCTCGGTTTCCCTGCCGAAAAGACTCTTGTTGTGTATGCTGGAGGTTTCAAATTTGCCGACTGCAACACACCGAAAAGGTCTTTCAGTAATGATTGAAGCCAGCATACATGGGACATGTGCTTAATGTAAGCTAAAGCTGGCCGAATGAGCTGATGCTCAGGAATAGCACGCGTTTTTGGGGTCAGGGGCGGCGGGAGTTGAGTCCGACGTCGCAGGTTTTGACGGTGAGCATATGCTAATAAGATCCGGATCGTATGGGCCAAGCCCTCTGCAAGAGAAGTTCCTTGTTGTGAAATATCATGTTGTGGTTGCAACGCATTTTCAGTGGTATCAACCAAGTCCAGTAAAATTTCAAGGTCATCAGAAGCAGGGATTCGAACGAGATTCTGGCGTGTCGTCACGCCAAAGCTCGCTATTGCCCGGGCTTCTCGGACTAGCTCGTGGAAGAGTTCTTCTTCATAAACAGTGTCACGCGCTTGCAGGATGCGGTCCTCAATATTTTTTTTCGCCGTCGAGAGTGGAACGCGTCGGTTTAGAGCTTCCTGACAGCCGACCATCCTGTATCACGCGCACCCGGACATAGCGGGCTTTAGATGGGATTAAACCTTCATCCAACAGCAAAACCCCATCCTCGGCTCGGCGTAAGGAAGCAAGGCCGCGGTCGCGGAAGACCGGCGTTGCTGTATTCGGTATTGGTCAGCAGATGCTTCCTGCGGTATCAATGTCCCGTCGGACTGTGCTCACCTTCGAGGAAGCCATATTGCACGCCCAACGCTTGCCTTTCGCGTGGGAGACGAGAAACCTTCCATCCTTTGTCCTTAACAGCCAGGACTTCATTCCAGTATCGAGTTTCCGACGCGACTTCAGTTTCAAGTCTGGAGGCGGCCTGCAGAAGCTTATTTGCCGCGGCGTTGAAATTTTGGATCCGCCATCCTCTTGACACTGTCGAAATATCTTTGCTTGTAGATTCTGATTTCGGGGGAGGGTTCACTACCTCTGCGTTGAGCGAACCGAGGGGAGCGACTTGCTTGAGAAAGGCCGACATGGAGGTTTCGGCCTGGCGCGGGGCCTGCTTGGAGAGCAAAAGGGAAACGAAGTCGAGGGCGAACATGGTCTCCATATGGGCTTGCCTGGGATATTGTCAGATCTTGCGCACGGGGGCATAACTTCAAACCCATCATCAGACTCACATAGCGAACTGAGTGATCTCGGCACGCCGCTTGTACAGTTGCTCCAAGCTCTCCGTCGAGTCAACATCGGTCGCATCTTGATCACTCTCATCTATCTCATCCAGGCTATCCTTTTCTTCCTCCTCGGCAATCCTGTTTCGAAGAACATCTTCATTCACTTCGCGAAAAGAGCCCCACTGATTGTTGATTTGCGCGATCTCCACAGGCAGGGTATCTGGGCGATCACGCTGCTCAAGGATGGGGCGCAAAGGCAGGGTGAAGGAGTCGGCCATGGCGTCAATTCACCCAAAGGTCCACCCCTCTGCGACCACGAGCTTGGAGCTTAGTGAAACAATAGATAAGAAAGAGAAGAAAGAACGAGTGGACGACCTCTGGACCTCAATTCGGTGACGTAAGTCGCACGTGATCGACATATCGAGATAGGATTTTACTCGGAGTTGACTTTTCCCCCATTATTATTATGAGCGTTAGATCTTCTTTATATGTCCCAACTCTATCAGTGGCATGTAGTGCATTAGGCGGCTCTGGATGTGGCTACAAAATAGTAGGTCTGAAGATCCAGATGCCATAAAGTACAATATATATAGGGGATTGATATAGGGACACTCCCTTGGCTAATGGAACACCCTCTACTCCGTATTGAGAGTTCAGTACGCCGCGCTACATGATCACTGCCCCAAAAGAAAATTGCTGCTTGAAATTTACATTAGTCGGCCCAGTGATGCAGCCCACCTACCCCCCTTGGGCTTTTGGGCCGCACTGGACTAATCATAATTTCATACTAATCATAATTTGTCTTTTGTATGGGACTCCTATACAAGAGCTATATTGAGTAAAACCCGTAAATCATAACAACCATATGGTCTAGGAATAAAAAACACCATTTCATAGTACTTGGTGCTTGATTCTTTCAATATGAGACAGATAGACTTTAGGCAATCAACATTTAGAATAAGGATTCAGGAGGAAGTTTCTACACCAAAATCTTTTACTAGGGGCTTCTAATTCCTATCTGTAACAAAGAACCAACACTTAATACTAATACTCAAGAAGCCTAGATTGATAATGAACTAGAATAATTTTTTTACCTCATATTCAACACTGTGGGTGTGATATATAGGTTTTACTCATATAGATTTTATATGGGACGCCCATAATAAAGACAAAATTATGATTAGTATGAAATGATGGTTAGTCCAATGCGGCCCAAAACCATCAAAGGGGTTAGGGGCGGAAGCGAAGGGCCGAGTAGTCCTTTAATCATGTGCTATATCAGCTATATCAAGTAAACAAGATTGAAATAACTGGAATCCTTTTGGCTGGCAGAATGCTAAGTAATACGGTGCAGTTAAGTATGTCCACTGACTGTACGTGGATATATAGGTATAGGTACTTCTATTGATATATAGATCTATCAGTACTCTCCATACGGAGGAATCTACACTTGGTATACTAGTAAGCAAGGGTGAAGTTGGAATGTAAGCATTATATACGGAGTAGTGATATCTACTTATTATATACAAAGCCAAACCGCAGTATTCAATAATATTGAGTGTACCACTAAGCACGGTCCTACGCATCCTACTCTACTCTCAGTAGGACCTGGGATTTAAGGCAGGGGATGTCCCTATCAATCCCCTATCTCCGTGGAGGATCCATACCTATACATAGCCGTCTATGATACTTGTCCTTTTTGCAGTTGATAAACACTGTTGATACAAATGCGATATCATTGGAAACATCACAAAACGACGTTATTTTTCATCAATCAAATGCGGATATAATGGATTATCTCCGATAGCTTTCTGCATGTGAGGTCCTGATGACGAGTATGACAAATCCTTATATGCAGGGCTGCCTACATGGGTAGATACCTCAACAAGTAACCTATGTCCGTACATATCCGACCGGAAATTAATGGAAATAAGACGGCTTTGTAAATATCTGCAGATGTTTATATATATATCTTGAAGGAAGTTCAAGCCAGAATGTGTAGCTGAGAGCCTTTCTTAGTTGCGACTTTCCCACATTCTATGATCTACAGTACCATCACACTTGGATGACTCCTTACTCTATCCTATCTTACCAATCGAAACCTTCCCATTCAACTTTCTCTGAATATTACCTCCATCTACCATGGCGTCATATTTAGTGACTGGCTCTTCTCGAGGCCTCGGATTGGCCTTGGTTGCCCGTCTAGCAGCATTACCTAAAACCGAGGTGGGAACAATCATCGCCACTGCACGACAGGACAAATCTCCTCAACTGAGGGAGATTGCAACTACCTCATCAGGCCGAGTGCAGATCGTCAAGCTAGATGTCACTGATGAGTCCAGTGTGAAAGAGGCTGTGGCGGCAGTAGAGCGCCAACTGGAAGGGAAGGGCCTTGATTACTTGGTCAACAACGCTGGAGTGAGCGACTGGTCCCCAACTGGACTGGACGGAATGTAAGTTAAATTGCCCCTCGGAATACTTTTTATGATACTGATCATATAGGGACAACCTAAACGAGACGTTCAATATCAATGTTACTGGGACACATCTTGTGTCGCGCGCCTTCCTGCCACTTCTGCGCAAAGGCGACAAGAAAACAATAATCAACATGTGAGAACAGCGAGAGGAAACCAAATAAACTTTATTATGCTGCCATAAGAAGCTGACCTAGGTTCAAGATCGAGCACTGTAGGCTCCATAGCTATGACTGAATCCTATGGATACCTGACAACACCGGCATACAAGATCTCAAAGGCCGCATTGAACATGCTCACTGCGCAATATGCCCAGCAATATGCGCGTGATGGCTTCACCGTCCTTGCGATAAGTCCTGGTGTGAGTTAAGCCTTTCCTTTATTTGGTGACCGCAAATTTCTCAAACTTTACTAACATCAAAAGTGGCTTCGCACCGACCTTGGTACCGATAAAGCAGACCTTTCAGTGGAAACAGGTGCAGAGAAGGTCCTGGACATCATACAAAAGGTAACACCGGATCAGAATGGAAAGTTTTTGAACATATATGTTCCTAAATCGGAGACACAAAATGGTGCAAGTCATTATGACGGCAAAGAGATCCCTTGGTGATAAGGGGTCATCTTTCATCTCCTTGCAATTTCATGCCAGGAATCAGGGTCCTAACGGAGAATTGGAGGTAAAGAATGGATTACTTTATACCTCACAGAGGAGATGCCATGTGCCAATTTATTTTGTACTAATGGAAATGGTTATTGCAACAAACGTGTTTCAATCTGCTAGTTCAACAAATTCATTCTAGAATTGTCAGTCTAGCTACATGACATTCACTGTGGATTACCTCGGTCTTTGTTCGACTGTCGGGTTTTCACGAAGTCAACCAGGTCAAAGAAGCTCTTCTTGTAGTAGCGCTGCTGGGTCGTGCGATTGACCGCTTGAATGCCAAATTGCTGCGCGTAGTCTCCAAATTCCCAATTGTCAACAAAACTCCAAGCAAGGGCCCCCATAACATGCACACCGTCTATGTATATTGACTTGAGAATTTCAGACATGAAGGAAAGATAATAGAGGCTGCGTGGAGAGTCAAAAAGCTGGTCGGAGAGCTCTCGCTCCGCTTCTGCGTATATCGGAAATCCAAACTCTCCCACCAGAATTGGATGTCGGAAAGTGTTCCATAGGTAGGAGAGATACTCTCTGAAATGTGTCGGGGTGGTGTAAACGTAGGATTCAGAGCGGTACCCAATGTTCCATCCGTAAATATTCTTTGTTTCTTGTTTAACACAATATGGGAAAAGCTCATTCGAGCTTGACGGGTTGATAGCGCAGGCCTTGATTCCCTCGTTGGCTGGGGATACTACCGTAGCGGTATACGGATCAATCCCAAAAAAGTCAGATGTGTTGTGGATATGCTTCAGCTCAAATTTGCTCAAGGGCTTAGCTCCAGGTAGTGTTTCTAACACGGAATTTGGGTATTGCTTCCCCAAAAATATTGGATTTGCGAATATTCCTAGTTGCATTTCTTGGAAGCGATTAGCTGCTAAGACATGGCTAGAATTTTTCGGATCTTTAGGCACTCCAAAATTGTCGTTGAACTTGATACCAACTTTTCCTGTAGCCTTCAACGTATCATGATAGAAGTGATAGACCTGGGCGTGGGCCTTGACCACATGGTCTACTCCTTTGAAATTGAATGCGTAGAGAAGGGGCTCATTGAAGGTCACCCATATTGGGACTCGGTCTGCATAATGAGCAAGCAGAACCTGGGAAGTGAGCCACATCAGACTTGCGTGAGTATTTATAATTTTTGGGCTATAGAACATACCTTTCCATAATTGACAAATGCGTCGACAAAGGTTTCATTTTGATAGCCGGCATTGTTGTAGCCAATATCTGGGCGTTTTGTGATATTGTCGCTGGCGACAAACATTAATGGGCTGTCGAAATGGAGCATTGTAACAATTGGCTGCGATGATACTTAGAATATTGGAATTCAACAGGCGCCGAGGGATTTGATGTTCTTTACCGTCATCCCTGCATCGAGGACCGTATTGATCAAGTCATCATAGTGATCAATGGCTTGTTGGTTAATGGGTGTTCCTGGCAGCGCAAAAGGCAGGATCCGTGTCCAGGGTATTGTAAAGCTATAATACTCCACACCCATAGCAGCTAGCCGCTGTATATCCTGCTTATACAAAAAATAGTTCTCGTTGGTGACATAGTCCTTTGGCTTGCTGTCGGGTACTAATTTCTCCAACAACGAAGGTGATCGACCATCCAGGCCGATTGCACCTTCGATTTGGGCTGCACTCCCTGCAACTCCAAACACAAAGTCTTTTGGGAAATCATAGCAATCAGTGGGACCAAAGTAGTCGCGCGGTGGTAAGACCAGCTCACTGCTGGGCACAGGTGTGGGACTGACAGTTGTCGAAAATAACCCAGTGGTGGTCTGACGGAGTAAGCTTCGTTTCTGTTTCAAAAAATAAAATTCCAGCGCAGATGACATACGTAGTTGTGAAGATCCGCCTGTAACCACATTGAGGACCATGCAGCTTGTCCATATGGGTCCTTCATGTCAGTCGCACTGATGATGGTTTGCTCTGGGACCCAACTACCCCAGGTTGAGGTTGACCAGCTAGTGGCTAGATGCTTGACTGCGTCAGCATAGGGCAGGGCATACTTCCGCGTTGTCGTCGGGGAAGGAACTGAGGTTGCATATCTCATACTTTTGTTAGCAAGCGATCGTGTAAACTAGAGCGATGTATCTCGTACCGAGCTGTCTCACTCAACGTATAAGAAAATGGTTTAAATTGGTAATTTGGGGCCACATTTGATTGTGTACATTGGGGTCGAGCAGCATGACCGGTTGTTGTCAAGTATAGTTCCTGTGCCTGTGTAGCCACAGCAAGAGCTGCAATGGAGATAAGTGGTACTCGCATTTTCGAATAAACTACTAGGTCGTCTTTTCGTCTTCTATGTACGCACTGGTCCCTTTAAATAGGGGTTTCACTCTCAGACGTCCATGGGTGTGCCGGCTAATTGTCACTCTATGGGAACAGCACTACGTCTATGGCGTCAAACTCAAATTGGTAATGCCTTCAATTGCAATGCGTCCAGCGCCACTTCCTCGTGTGATTAGCTTTTGATGGTGTGGATCGGCAACCCGGAAGACATAGCTGGTAAGGAGTTGCAACGTCTGGTTGCATCTGCTGAGAGAAGTCCCCCAACTTCTCCGCATTGTGTACCTCTGCAGATCACCTGGAAAATTCGGGGAAGGGAGGTCCCGAGGTTGAGCCGAAAATTTCTTCGGTGAGCCAGGGGGTCGTCAAAAATTGACGCCATTTTTGTTAATCCTGTACGTCACGTCATGACCACGCGTTTATATATATCGGAGTACCCTACCTGTGTTCCCTCTTGAGGATGATCGAAGACCACAGTCATCTTGCTCATATAGGTGGTGCAGACATGGTCAAATTTGTGAATTTTTAAATTATAATGATACATGCTTTTGGAAAATTGAGGAATGTTAACGAATTTCAGGTAGAGAACACTGAGGTGATGAAAACATAGCCCAACAAACGTAGGCTTATATAGCATTAGATGGATGCCTCTTCCATCAAATTGGGCTTGTGGTTTAGTGGTATAATACTCCCTTAGCATGGGAGTGGTCCAGGGTTCGATTCCCTGCAAGTCCATTTCTTTTTGGATTTTTGTTTTCTGGCCCTCGATATTGGGAAAATGGATATGATACACTTAATCTCTATAGAATCCACTAATCAGCTCGCATGGCTTAGCGGTAAAGCGCATCACTAGTAATGATGAGATCCTCGGTTCGATTCCGAGTGTGAGCATTTTCGTTTCATTTCTTTTTGTCAAACCAATTAATTTCGAATTGGACTAAGCGTTTGATTGAGAAAGTGGTGATCAAATCACCCTTTTACTCCTCCCAGTTGAAATTGACCACAATCCGTCCGGCCACTCCCCCTTTCCGCAGTCTCTCCACTGCGTCAGGCATGCGATTGATCGGATACACTTCACAAATTTGCCGCAGCGCTCCTCGCCTTGCGAAATCCAACGCCATGGCAGTATCACTACGGCTGCCCACAAGGGTACCCTTGATGGTAAGATTCTTGAAGACATATTGACCGGGATCGGCTCCTATCGTCGTCGTTCCTGGAGCAGGAAGACCGATGCACATAACAATCCCTCCGATACGGTCTCCAATAAATGAAAGTGCATTCCCATAAGCAGCAGGGGCCGTCACAATCACTCCATGAGCCCCGACCCCGTCGGCAACCTCAATCACAGCTCTGGTGGGATCAGCAATTTCCTTGTAATCCAGAAAGGCCTCTGCTCCCATCTCGAGCGACAATTTTTGTTTGGATTGTCCCGAGTCCACCACGATCGGGCGCATTCCCATTGCCTTGGCCAGCTGTACACCTTGGATCCCTACACCGCCACCACCGCCAGTGAAAACAACCCAAGCCCCAGGTCGAAGGTTAGACTCAACCAGAGATCGATAAACAGTGCTGGCACTGCACATAATTGGGCCAGCAACTTCGTCGGGGACTCCGTCCGGAATTGGCGATGTAAATCTTGCCGGTGATACCAAGTATTGCTGGTAAGTACCTGATATAATGAGCTGCAATCCAGACCATTAAGAATGATCGTAGTCAGTCTTACCGGCAATCATCACACCAGTGAAAATCGCGCCCTTGCAATATGGTTCCTTGCCCTCCCAGCAAAGTGAGCAGGACCCGCATGTATCCATGATCGGTTTGATCCCGACTCTATCGCCTAGCTTGAAAGTTCTCACGTTTGCTCCAACCTGAACAACTACGCCCGCACCTTCATGCCCCGGAGATCGCACCCCGAAATCTGACATAAGTGGGAGACCAACATCTCCTTGCATCATATGGATGTCGGATGAGCAAATTCCAGTGTAGTTTAGCTTGATCAGAACATCGTCAGGACCTACCCAGGATTGTAAATGACCGTGAACGTGTGTAAAGTGGAATGCTTGTCACTCCAATAACGATTGGAATCCTACCTGGCTGTGGCACAGGCACCATCTGTACCTCGACATGGAAACCAGGGCCTTCATTGACCACCACCCCTGCTTTACAGAATAGGGGAATCTCGACTTGAGAATAGTCTATGACTGAATCCATGCTTTGAGGAGCCGTGCGAAAATTCAGAGATGCAAAGCAAGGTTTTGTCTGGATAGTCATTTGTAGTCATTTGGTGAAGGAATAACACAACTTATAGAAAAAAGCAAAATCCACTTGCGGAAATATACTGTGCAACGTATGCAGTCCCTCTTTCTGTTAGGCCTATTGTCAAAATTGAATAGGTTGGTTTCACCAAAAAGCATATATAGTATGGGGGCATGCACCTTAAGCCGCATATGTCCGAGGATACAGAGCGGTTTCAAGAGAGAATGATATGTTAGATTCCAAAAAATATCCACAAAACACCACTGATCACGTCCCGAAATTAATATCAGAGAAAGCGCACATTTTTAAAATACATGTTGAACCAAAGTAAGCGGCGAAGAATGAAGAAAAACAAAAGCCAGAAGGAACATGAAAGAAAACCGTCAGAAGGAATATATGTGATTCAATCCCAAATTAGCCATCCAGTGGAACCGCCAATGCCAATCAAAAAAAGGACAGTCAAAATGCCTGCACCAGCCTTGTCACCTGCAGTTATGTCGTAGTCGAGTTCGGGCGGAATCGCTTTTTTGGGCTTAGAGCCTGCATTCGGGTCCCCTTTACTCGTTCCACCATCATCATTGGTGACCGGGGCTGCCACACGAGTGATCAGATTCGCTTGAATGACTTCAAGGGCAGCCATCTGCTGACCGAAGTCTATTGTTTTGTCCCATTTTTGCTCTGTCCACTTGAGACCACACACATTCTCATTGATACCACCGGTACAAGTCATAGCAGCTGCCTTTGCAGATGCCCTCAGCCGCTTTATGACTTTGTCGTATGCAAAAGGGGCCATTTGGGTAGTTTGAGCCATCCAGCGAGAAAAATATCCCTTGAAAGACCGTTGATCGACCATGCAAGTATTGACGGTTTCACAAGCTCGCTCGTACATCACGTCCGGTGGGTTGTGAGAGAAGAAGACGCCGGAAGCGTCAATGATCTTCTCAGTACGCTCCTTCCATTTCGGATCTTCTGTCTGTTTAATGTGTTAGATATCGTTTTAAAGCAGCTGAAGGCAGAGAATACAAAGTTCACTTACCAAATTATACATGTTAGCTGCGCCAAGCAAGTATATCCCAGCGTTGTAAGTCCATTCAATATGGTTTATTGGCTTGCACTCAGTGAGGTCACTAGCACCGTCATAGAAGCGGTAGTCGGGGGACATGAATCCAACTTCGGCAGTCCAGTCCCACGCCTTTTCAGCCCAATCCTGGTACGTTTGATTGTTGGTGTATTTTGCCAGACGAGCAGCAAGATTGAAGAATCCGCCAGTGGAGATGGTATTCTTATAATTGTAGCCGTTGTTCCACGTGAAAATCTGCCAGCGTAAACCACCGCCACACGAAGAAGTGTCCCATCGGGGAGCCTGAGTGTTGAAGACAGCCTGTGCCATTTCAAGCCATTGGGGTTGATCTGCTGGTGGGTTTGGGAAGTTTCGTTCCGCTGCAGTCATAGCAGCAAAGGCCCAGAAAACTTGGTCGTCGTTTCCTTCGGTCTTGCTCTGATTGGCCGGCATAAACGCTTTATTCTCTCCAGCCTGCCAGAGCATAGCTTGTGTCGTGATTTCGTTCCAAGTATCATCGCCCGTGTAGAACCAGTAATCGATAAGAGCGTTGAACATTGCACCGGCCTCCCACCAGTAATAAGGATCCGGCAGATTACCTGGGGTATCGCCAGGATTCATACCAGTGTAGTAGCTCATCATGTTGGTGGCGACATTTTTGGCTGCTTTTCGGATGGAATCTTTGGCCATGAATTAGTCGTTCCGTATGTAAGACAGAAAAAAAAAAGTAGAACACCTACCTTCATCATCAAGATCCAGCTCTATAGCTTGGACAGTTGAAGTGCCCAACAGGGCTGCAGCTAGCAGAGTCATCCATGAAGGTCGCGATGCACGATTGAACACACGCATGGCAACTGATATGTGGATTGGCCTGACAGCGAAGTAAAACAGCAACCTTCTTTGAGTTCAACTTTGCAGAAACGCTACTGAAGGTCGATAACAATTCGTCTCTGAGAATCAGTGTAGTTGTTGAAAGAATATATGTCAATCGGTTATCCCCACAGCCATTTATCTCAAGACGTCGTAGAGATGGACAGTGCAGATGATTCCCAATTGTTGGCGTGATGAAGGTACAGAAAGCTGGAGAAGAAGCCAACGGCAGACTCCTCAAGACCAAGAAGTAAGAGGGGGTACGTGTGTGTGGATTGGAAGGCCACATTCCAACCGTCTAGGAGCACTGGCATGGTAACAAGGCGTTGTTTCCAATACCATTTGCACCTCCTGTAGGGGAAATCGTACAGGCGACCCTTCGACAGTTGACTGCATTAAGTAACAAACCCACAATTCCATTGTTGCTTCAATCGAAAAGTGGATGATAACAAGACACGAGTGCAACGCGGAGCCTCTTATTTCCATGGTTTGCTGGTTGGCGCTCCACAATAAGGGATCGTCCTGGCATTCCAGAGCAGCTGTCAAACAGCTCAACTTGATCAGCCGAAGGAACTGGCGAATCACCGAGAGGCATGGTTGATTAGAGGAGACAGTAGATAAGGGGCGTAGACAGGGCAGTCTAGGGCCGCAAACGAACGCGATGCAACAATTGACGCATTCCGGTGTTGTAATCTGTATCCCTGTCCGGTAGGGGGCCACGCCTTGTCGCTTGTCCTTGCACGCGTGAATTAGAGAACAATCGCATTGTCAATCTCCCTCTGATCCGGGGGACGAAATATTTGCCATAAAAGAAGCGCCACTCGTGTCAAAGCAGTTCTCGTACAGCGTAGGGGTTAGAGCCTACAATTTCTCGGCATACCGCAGGGTGACCCTAGGAGAGGCTATGTGTGTTGCGAGAATGATTATTCTGGGCCAGCCCCGAGGTACTCATTTTTCCAAAAAACAAGAGCCATACGATTCTCTCGATGATTCCAATGGACTGTGTTGTATGTGCTGAAAGATGAAAGCCGACTGGAGTCTGATGCCTTGATGCCTTAGTGCCCGAACAATCCTAAGGCCAAAGATTGATGACTGAGACATCAGGCACACATGGATCATCACAAAATCCATAATCGTGGACAGCTTGCCTTCTCCACACTGCAACGGAGTACTCCGTGCGGATACTTCAGTAATACCCCTGGAACATTCGATCTTTATTGGCCTTGGATTTGATATTTGCAAAAGATCTGCACGGCAGGATGCAACCCCCACAAATCTCAAGAGGACTAATAAAAGATCCTGATAAGGCCAGAATAGGAATATGCCCAGTCCATAATCTTTCATCGGAACAGAAATGGAACCCGACCATCATCACAGCTAGGCTGCTCAAACTCCGTTGGGAAATTCCCCCTGGAGATCCTACACCGAACCGGGAAATATTGCAGGTTTGCCGGAATCCCCGTGTGAACTAGTCCTAGCCCAGAAAGTCGTCGGAGGAGATAATCCTAACATAACAACCATTTATCCCACGGTCGTATGAACCTACCGCATGACACGGTGTTACTTCGCCCTGAACGCCACATTGTGATCTTTATGTTTTAAATGAACAAACTGTCACATACATCTTGCGATACAAGCTCAGCATCACTGTTGGTGTCTGAAGAACCAGAGCAAACAAAATGATTATCTTTAAGAACATGAGTAAGCTTTGCATGGCACTCGCTTTCAGTGCCAGTGCTTGTGCAGCGATCACTGAATCCAAACCTCTTGTCGCCTCTGCTGGTGATATTGCTGCTATCCCAGGATGGAACCTCCAATCATCGACCAAAGTATCAGACAAGCTGGATGTACTCTCCACACCGGGAGAAGACGTCTCATCGTGGTATCGGGTTGGTTCTCGTGGCACTGTCATGGCTGGTCTTATTGAGAACGGGGTATACAAGGAGACGGACTTGTTCTATTCAGACAACATGGAAGCTATCGCTGATCCCTTGACCTTCGACGTACCCTGGCTTTACCGAGAAGAGTTTACACTAAATCCATCTATCGGCCAACATTTCACTCTAAAAACACACGGTATTACATCCAAGGCAGACATCTATCTGAACGGAGTGCTCATTGCATCGAGCGACCAGCAGCAAGGCTCATATGGCGGCCATCAATACAATTTGACCGAACACGTCAAGGAAGGAGCCAATTGTCTCCTCATTCGTGCGTTCCCAACCAACTATCTTCGCGATCTTGCCATGGGATTTGTGGACTGGAACCCATACCCAGCCGACAATGGCACCGGCGTTTGGCGAAATGTGGAGGTTTCTCAGACTGGAGCGGTCTCAATGTCGCCGTTCCGTGTCATCACCGATTTTACTCAGCCCAACTCCAAGCCGGTGAAGGTCACCTTCCGAACTGATTTGACCAACCACGAATCGGCTGATCAGCAGGTAATGGTCAAGGGCACTGTTAAAGGGCCAGATGGCTCCGCAGCTGTCCCAATTAGCGAGACCTTTGACCTGAAGTCAAACGAGAAAAAAACGGTGTCACTAACTGCGTCAATTGAAAACCCCGCTATTTGGTGGCCTGCCCTCTGGGGCGAGCAGCCTTTATACACAGTACAGGCTGACACCATCATCCAGAAACCTAAGGAGGTGGTGTCAGATAGTTCAATTAGCCAACAATTTGGAATTCGTCATGTATCGTCGAATTTGAACAAGTTCAAGGATACCGAATTCTCTGTCAATGGCGAGCCCTTCCAGGTCATTGGAGCTGGTTATGGGCCGGATATCTTTTTGCGATTCGATATTGACAGGGTGCGGAAGATTTTCGCCTACATGTTGGATATGGGACTCAATACTGTGCGCTTAGAGGGAAAGCAGGAGCACCCAGAACTATATCAACTCGCAGACAAAATGGGGATGATGGTCCTGGCGGGATGGGAATGTTGTGATAAATGGGAAGGGTGGGAGGTAAGGCTTTTCAAGACACTACCGGAGAGGACAGACACATTGACAAAGAAATTCTAGTACAATGACGAGGCCGACGGTGTCAAATGGGAACAGGCAGACTATCCGGTCGCAAAGGCATCAATGCTACACGAGGCCGAGATGATGCAAAGCCATGCTTCGATGCTTGGATTTTTGGTTGGCTCAGACTTCTGGCCAAACGATGAGGCCACCAAGATCTATCTCGATGCACTCAAAGCTATGGATTGGCCCAACCCGATTATTGCATCAGCCAGCAAGCGTGGCTATCCCGACGCTCTTGGACCGTCCGGAATGAAGATGGATGGCCCGTACGATTGGGTGCCCCCGAATTACTGGTATAACGACAAAGAAGGAGCGGCATTTGGCTTTGGATCTGAATTGGGTGCCGGAGTTGGAACACCTGAGATGGGCAGCTTGAAGAAGTTCATGTCTGATGCCGATCTGGAAAAGCTTTGGAAAGAGCCAAATGCAAATCAATATCACATGTCTCGCTATGATTCGCAATTTTACGATCGCTCGCTCTACAACAAGGCGCTCTTTGCCCGATACGGAAAGCCATCTAACCTGGAAGACTACGTCATTAAAAGTCAAATGGCAGATTATGAGGCCACCAGATCCCAGTTTGAAGGATACGCCACGCAGCAGAATGCCACTCGACCTGCCACGGGCCTTATTTATTGGATGCTGAACAGTGCTTGGCCAAATCTGCACTGGCAGTTATTTGATTATTATCTTAATCCTATCGGAGCCTACTTCGGCACCAAGGTTGGAGCGCGTGAGGAACACGTGGCTTATGATTACCAGAACGAGAAAATCTGGTTGATTAACCACTCACTCAAGAAGACCGGAAATCGGAGGATCCAAGTTGACTTCATTGATTCCAATGGCAAAGAAATATCCGCAACTACAGTGGAGAGCAACACAGCGCCTCATTCCTCAAAGGTGGTGGCTTCGCTTGCGGGAGTCAAAAAGCTCAAAGATATTGGCTTCCTGCGTCTGACACTCACTGACACTACTTCCAAAGCCGTCCTTAGCCGCAATGTTTACTGGCTCTCTCCTACCACAGATGTCTTGGACTGGTCAAAGTCTGATTGGTTCACTACACCAGTTACGAAATTTGCCCAATACACCAAGCTGCAGACACTGACACCGGCCACTTTGAAGGCTTCACTACAAGACATGCCAATGCAGACCCTGGAGGTGAAGTCTCCAGCAGATGATGGGTTGACTCATGCTGAGGTGTTGCTCGAAAATGAATCTGCGGGACCGGCAGTCTTCATTCGTCTGAATGCTATCAATACACTGGATAACACTGAGATTGCACCGGTTTATTGGTCTGATAACTATGTGACTCTATGGCCGAAAGAACAGCTTCGGTTGACTGTCTCATTCAAAGGAGATATCAAGAATACTCTGATCGAAGTCACAGGAAGGAATGTGGAGAAAGTGACCCTCAAGGCCCAGGATGTGTAAGAAGGTAGAGGGTTTCTTGTAGCCCAGGGGATGATGTGAACATATATTGAGTGACATCTGCTTGTAGATGAAGGGCATTAGCTTACTTGCTAGATAAAGAAAGAATTTTGAGTCCCCGGAAACAATGTCCATTGAATGTAGTGGTAATTACAGTTTGAGATGTAATATCTGCCGATTTCTTATTGCCGCCTGTTTTGCACCGTTGCGCTCTTCATACAACCAAAATTTTTTTCGCGACATCAACAAGATTAAGAGCAATTACTCAGCAAAGTGTTTTCAGCTTTCATGATTTCTTTGGACCGCGTCTGTAGATAAATAGAGGGAACTTCATACGACAAACCAGAATAGAGTAGATATTGCACACCACAAAGTAAATATGCACCCCCCCAAAAAAAACAAAGAGGGAAAAAGGTTCAAACATGCCGGGAATGTAAATCGTACAAAAATTACATAGGAGTAAGCCGCTCCGTCCGTGAGCAAGGTCTTTCCGTCTTCTGTAATAAACTCAACACTTGTGACATCTTCGACCCTGAATACTCGACCCCGAGGACAGTGGGGGTTTCGATATCTTCAGAATAGAACATAGTCAAATGTTGGCCCTTCGAAGTGCACAGTGAAGGTGTCTGTGGAATGTCTGGAAAGATGAAGACACCTTTAGCAGGCGTACTGGCCCACAGACAGTGAAGGGAGATGCTTTGTAAGGCCAGAAATCCCTGACTCAGCTCCTTTAAAAATGGCGCCCAATCGCTTCCCGGTGTTAGTGAAACATGGTATAATGTGAGTGAAGTCAAGTTTGGGCGGATATTCCCGAGTAATTTGTGGAGATCGGGACCCCGCATGGATGTCCGGAACAATGCGAGTTCACGCAGTTGGGAAAAGCTGGCGCTCTCTGCCAGCTCATGCATGAACTCCGCTGCCAAGTCGTGTGAGCCGACGTTCAGCAAGAGGGTTTGGAGGTTTGGAGCGCTAAGAACCAGCTCAAGCAGGAAGCCGAAGTTATCCAACGTGAGATATTGTTCTAAGGAGAGTTTTTGTAGATTGCCCCACACAAATTTGAACTCGGGTTGACGATAGAGGAGCTTGGGAAGACGACGCATGTCCATGATCAAGGCGCGGGAGTATTTATCGGCATATATGAGATGGAACGACGAAACCGGTAGACGAGCATCGATGACCAGGGCAAAGAACACAGCGACAGCGTCGGTGATAGTGACATGATCCATATCTGGATGACCCTCAGGGTGTCGACAAAAGACAAAGAATGATCGACAATTAGTCAAGTGCTGGATCAAATTATCCCGTAAAGACCGAATCGCCTCAACCTCTAGCGGCGCGGAGATCGGACCCCATGGATGACGGTCCCAAACCAAGCCGCGACCGACACCATTTTGGAGCATGAAGGCTAACCCATTCACATAAGGGCGTAGCGCAATATTCTGCGAGAGAGCATCAATGCGACGTAGACTGTCCCTAGATAGGTCGGTCTTGATAGATGAAAAGAACCGCTGCGCAAAATGATGGAATGTTTTCTTCTGGAGTTCACGACAAACCAATCGTAATGCTACCAAGTCAATATCGAGAAAGCTTGAAATCAACTCGACCAGCTCAACAGGGAGGGAAGGGAAGCAGACTCCCTTCATTTTGTAGGATGAAGAGAGAATAGCTACCCCGGGTTTTCCGAAGCCTCCAGAAATATTTTCTGCTGGCTTGTATATGTCGGGTAAAATACAGCCTACTTTACCACTAGACCATGACAAAAACTCAGCTTCCTGTTTATAGCCTAGGGAGCCCGGGGGCTGATACTGCTTGGTCAGTATATTTGCCCCTCACTTAGACCTTCAGCTGGCACTGGAGTCACCTGTCTGGGGAGGTCTGATATGTACATGCTATGAATTTCCTGGTGTAAGGAGTCCGATTTCCCTGGTGTTGGCATCGAGCTGACTTCGTTTAGATGAGGGAGTTTCATGAATTAGTGACGATAGACCCAAGTTCATATTTTATCTACATTGACTAGAAGGACGTATCTTTAGTACTGGAGGGTAGTGGTGAAGCTTACTTAATTAGCATATTAGTTTACCTTTACTTCTATAACTTGGCTATTATTTTCTCTACCTGTTTCCTCTAGCTTTAATAGTAGACCTGGCAGTGGCCTCTGGAAAGTCTAACGCCCAAAGCCCAGCCCCGCCCAGCCCACTAATCGGTTGGGCTTTGGGCCTATGCTTCGGGCCCATCGATGGGTTATAGGTTTATACTACCTTGAGCCTATAGGGCCCATTTAGGCCCATACTGGGCCCGCATTGTTTATCAAACAATACAAATATGCCAATCCATCGCACCTGCATAATTAATACATTTTTTGCTAGTTTTCTTAGGCATTGAGATTATTATCCAGGCTTTATATTAAGTTTTCCGTGAATCATCATATTCATCCTCTTCTTCGTCTTCTTCTTCCTTTACAAGTAAAGTCATGGAGAGAAATGATTTAAATAATGGTCAAATTAGACTTCTCAGGATATATTTTTAGTATAATTCCTATTTCTTACCATAATAATTAAACGTTACTCAGTATATAGGTTGGAATATACGTAAGATATAATCATTCATCAGCTCTTTTATGTATACTAACATGATAGTTATGCGTTAAAATGGGCCGTGGGCTGGGCCCTCGAAGCCCAGCCCATTTATGGGCTTTGCAGAGACCTACTGCTACGGCAGCGAATAATCTATTCCGCTGTCTTATGGGCGGGGGAGCCACGGCTATTGCATCACCTCTCATCAATCTATTGGCATTGGATGGACAGCTACATTCATCGCTGGCCTTTGGGTACTAGGTAGTCCTGCTCTATGGGTCGTTTTCAACCGGGGTCACCGCTGAAACAGAAAATCTTCTCACAAGAAAGAGAAAGCATTTCGAAAATCAGTCTCACAATTTCTGAATTTCGACAAGGAGCGACTGGAGCGAACTGGACTCAAGTAGCTTTTATCTCGAACGAACCGACCAAAATGGCAAAAAATTGACTAGAAGCCAAGAACAGTTGATCTAATCTAACATATTAGATTACAGGTATATAATATATGTTATTAGATCAATATGGTGATTAGAATATTGTCCTAAAGGTTTTTGAACAACCAGGACGGTACTAGCAGGTCTCCCTGTGCATGAATAATGAGTCCTTGTTTAACCTCAGGTAGTGTCGGGAGGGTTGAATGATTTAGTGGAAACACGACATGAAGAGATCTGAGACAGATGATCAAGTCTAAACGCTTCAGATCTGATCTGATATCTCCCGATTCCAGGAAGCTTGTAAAAGCTTGGCATTTTTTTCCAATGGCTTTATACTCCACAATGAAACTGTTGACGACGCTAGCGCCGAGGCTTACGCATGCTCTTCTATAATTAAACATGGCATTATAGCGGAAACAGTTCATGATTTCTGATTTGGAAGAAAATTTCTTTTTACGTTCATTGATGCCTTTCGAGAACATCTGGCTACGTCTCTGTCCGAGATCTCTCATTGGTAAAATTTGTGCGATTTCCCGTACATCGCCTTGAAAAGATGCACTTACTCGGGAGTTGCCCCTTGAGAGGAGCTATCGCTATAATACTATTTTCCAGCGCAGTGCACGCAATCGAATTGGATATTACCAATGAACGTGAGTAGTGAATTTTGGATTTTCCTTCCGTGCCAATTACCAGCAATAGTAAGAAGCTAACGTGTGATCCTTTCACAGAGTCGATCAAAGATGCTGCGAGTACCTCGACTTACGCTATGATGAAATACTATTACGGCAACGAGACCGGTCAAATTCCTGGAGCCTTTCCGGACAAATGGTGGGAGGGAGCTCCATTATTCCTTGCACTCTTAGAGTATTGGCACTTTACTGGCGACACGACATACAATGAGGAACTAAGTGTTGGATTGCAATGGCAATCAGGCACGGACGGGGACTATATGCCAAGCAATTACAGTTCTTATCTGGTGGGCGCCATCATACGTACTCTCAAAAGACAACAGAAATCTAATACCTGTTATCCACTAGGGAAACGACGACCAAATGTTCTGGGGTCTAGCAGCTATGACGGCCGCTGAATTTTCATTGCCGGACCGCCCGACTGGATTCTCTTGGCTCTCTTTAGCCCAGGGTGTCTTCAATACTCAGATCAAAAGATGGGATACATCCTCGTGTGGTGGTGGCCTGAGGTGGCAAATCTGGCCCTACCAGTCTGGCTATGCAATGAAAAATGCCATTTCTAATGGGGGCTTATTTCAGTTATCTGCACGTCTAGCCCGCTACACGGGAGATGCAATTTACCTTCAGTGGGCTAACAAGATCTGGGATTGGTCTCTCTCGTCGCCGCTGCTTAGTAACTCAACGTGGAATGTTGCCGATTCCACCGATGTTGATAATGATTGTGCGACTCAAGGAAATGCCCAATGGACGTACAACTACGGCACGTACCTGATGGGGGCAGCGTATATGTACAACTATGTGAGAGATGCCCATGTCGAATTCCAAATTCCACGTTCTTTTTGTTCCGTCGAAGTATTTGGACTAACTTATTCCTACAGACAAATGGGACTACCCAAACTCAATGGCTGACGGCCGTAAATGGCTTGTTAAACGCGACATTTGACAACTTTTTCATCACCGGTGGAATTATTGAAGACTATTACTGCGAGCCCGCAGAGAACTGCAATAATAACGAGATACTCTTCAAAGGACTGACTTCCTCTTGGTTGGCATTGACTGCTCTACTTGTTCCATCAACATTTGACAGCATCCTCGCAAAGCTCCAAACATCGGGTCAAGCAGCCGCTGCATCTTGTACTGGCCATAGCAATGGAACTTGTGGTGTCCAATGGTATAAGTCTACATGGGACGGTTGGATGGGAATGGAAGAACAGATCAGCGCGACAAAAGTCTTCACATCCAATTTGATCAATTTCAAAAAGAGTGCCCCGGTAACCTCGACCACTGGCGGGAACAGCACCAGCAATCCAACAGCAGGTGAAGATGACACTACTGCGTCCAGTCAAGAGACGACTGCAATCACAACTGCTGATAGAGCGGGAGCTGGAATCGTGACCGCAGTTTTCGTGGCTGGCTGGATTGGACTAATGAGCTTCATGATGGTTGGTGGTTGATCCCAAGAGCGTGTTTATGGCCGTCGTTCACTTGATGATTCGTCATTTGTCTCGTTGGAATTTGCGTTACCTGATACTGAGCGACTGGTTGTATTGTATCATGATGGATTTGACAAATAACAGGCGAAAAGCTGAATTTGTTATAGTGACCGTTTGAATATATTCTGTGCAGCCGATGAGGCAAGGCTGTTATTTGGATATTTGCTATGGCTTTTAATGGATACAAGTTCTAAGATACTCGTCGGTCAGGGCAAGACTCGGGATGTCAATAGAAGAGATTGACCATTGCACCGAACGGACTTGTAAACTCACGCTCTCAGAACCATCCATACTCGTTTTATATAAAGGTCATCATTATCTCAAGCTAGCAAGGGAAAGAAAAAAAAGATGTGGATAGTTACAGAAAATTAGTATATCTACATTATTTAGTCCTACCCGGGGGTGGGGGAGGCTTCGTTAGGCCCTCCGTTTCAAATTACGAGCCTAAACTGAAAGCCCGAAGCCTGCTGCGAGCTTTAGGAATAGGCCCGAAACCTAACCCTTTTGAGGGTTGAGTCGGGTCGGGTTTCGGGCTTTTCGAGCTTCGCGGAAGTATAAACATAAGGGGTAATCTTAAAAGTCATGTTTTCCGGAATATTTGAATTATTTGGTGCTTTGGGGGCCTAACGGGCCCCCATTTAAAGCCCCGAGGTTCCACACCGGATCCACAGCCCATTATGTAGTGGGCTGGAGTGGGCTGGGCTTTGGGCTTTGTGGGCTTTGTGGGCTTTGCGGAGGTCAGGGCCTGATCCCTTTGTCGAGTTTGATTTGCTTATGATGCAGCATATCGCCCTGTTCAAGGGAGATGTCGCCGCCTGCTGACCCGAGACTGGCGACTATAGAGTGAAAGGGCTGAGAGTTCTGGATTATAAGATATTGTGTACTTCGTATTGAACGCATGGACCCATGTGGATAGACAGTAAGCGTGGGAATTACCTAGGTAACATGTGCAATAACAGGGAGGATAAAACTTTGGAATCGCTACAGAGTGAAGAGGGAAATGAATGTGTGGGCAGGTATTGGGCCAATATTATCCCATCCCATTTACCGTGGATCAGCGGGCTTATCGTATCGCAGGGATGTCTGAGATCTGAGCCTTGTCAATGTTGTCTTTTTCTGTATCAAATTCCGAGAGTAAGTGGGGATCACGGGAATCGCGGGGAAAACAAGGCCACGTTCGATTGAGCTCTCGGAACTGTCACTTTTCAAATATCTGACCCAACAGATTGTGGACGTAACAACATGTCGCCTCCTTGTGAATATGAGCCAACACCATTTGGACATGAGATGCGCCGGCATTTTTCCTTTAAGCCCGGCTATCGAAACCTGAATCATGGTAAGACAAATGGGGTTCTCCACCTGTTTTATCACCAGCTCACTGCATATATTAGGATCATTTGGAGCGTCACCTGTCGCTATTCGCAACAAAGCAAATGAGTTACGCGATGAATGTGAGGCAACTCCGTGTCCCTTCATCAAATATCGTTTTCCCGAACTGTTGGACGAGTCACGGGCTGCCATGAGTGACTTCCTTGGTGTACCGGAGTCAACCATTGTCTTTGTCCAGAATGCAACCACTGGCGTCAATACAGTTATGCGAAATATGGTATGGAGTAGTGACGGAAAAGATGAGATTCTTCAGTTGGATGTCATATATGGAGCATGTGGCAAGACAACGAGTTATGTTTGTGAAGCCAGTGGAGATAGGGTTCGCACTAGAGAGATTGGTTTCATACATCCAGTTAGCGACTCTGAGATGGTTGCTGCATTTCGAAAGGCGATCGAGACGTCACGCACAGAAGGTTACCGCCCGCGCATTGCTATATTTGACACAATTTCGTCCAACCCAGGTCTACGGCTTCCATTCGAGGAACTCACAGCTCTCTGCCGCTCAGAAGGTGTACTGAGTTTGATTGATGCCGCCCATGGAATCGGGCAAATCGATCTCAATCTATCCTCACTGGACCCGGACTTTTTGGTAAGCAACTGCCATAAATGGTTGTTTACTCCTCGCTCATGTGCTGTATTTTACGTCCCGGAGCGCAATCAAGCCATGATGCGAAGCACTATACCAACAAGCCATGGGTTCGTTCCCCGGTCCACTGGGAAAGAATCGTGTGTCAGTCCAGTGCAAAAAAAGACAGACTTCGTGTTCAATTTCGAGTATGTTGGAACAGCCGACAACCTTTCGTTCTTAACAGTGCCCGAAGCCATCCGGTGGAGACAGAGGGTATGTGGCGGCGAGACCAAGATTCGGGATTACTGCATTCAACTTTCCCGTCAAGGTGGACAGAGGGTTGCAGACATTCTAGGGACCGTGATCCTGGACAATGCTACCCATACTTCAACAGACTGCTGCATGGTTAACATCCTTCTTCCTATCGGGAAACCCACCTCGGGAGATGGTAGTCTGGTCAAACAGAAAGGCAAGCCCGATACTACGGTGACTGAATGGATGCAGCAGACTTTGATCAAGTCATGCAACACCTACATGCCAGTCTTCCCTTTTCAGGGTTCCTGGTGGGTTCGACTGAGTGGACAGGTCTATCTTGAGATCAGCGACTTCGATTGGGCTGGCTGGACGCTGAAAGACCTCTGTAAGCAGTTACAAGAGGAAGAATCTGATCATCGTATGTAATTGGTATGGCCAAGCAAGGAACCGGACTTGCTGCAAATCACTGCCAGTGTTCTTTCAACTAGAACGGAATAAAGGAAGTTCCATATTCACGCCCGACAATATTGCCATCTTAAACATCTTAAATCAGCGAAGGAAAAGAAAGACAGCAAGGAATTCATCTATTACGGAAATAATTAATTAACATATACTTGGGTAGTACATAAGCGGCTTTCTGAGTTGCATCCCGAATATAGTGGAACTAACTGGGTCCCGCCCGACGGCTTCGGCACGGGGAACACGCCAAACCGGTTTTACAAGGTAAGTCGGAATCGGTCTGGAGGGAGTCTACAATATAAAATGGTGTCATTGTTGATTCATTTCGGCCTGAAAGCAAAGCCAAATTGAAGAGTTTTCTTTCGCCTGAAACAAAATGATAACGGCTAGGCTCGGCTGCCCACGGCGAACCACTTTCCAGCGGATGTCAGCCACACCTCCGATTCTAGCCGAGATTGACCTGATTTTTAACTGGTCATAGACTTACACTACTGGGGCAACATGACTGGATAGTGGATATTTCAAGCATTTAAAGCCACAGCGGAAAAGTATGGATCTACTAAAACTATTTTTTAGGCCTAGTTGAGGTCGCTTTGCGACTATCAGGGCCCATTTTACGATGGATTGCGGATTAGGCCGACGACCCAGAAGACTAGGAAGGAAAAAAAATTGTAATCAATGGGCTGACCGAAACAGGGACATATACTGTGTTGCCTTCCTCGACTAGAACTTTGTATATTCCCACACAACCTCTCAATCTAATCCCCAAACCCTGACATGACAGCATACAATGGAGCATATCAACCAACACCCAGACAAATATGAGCCGGAAACCGATTACACCATGGACTCTCGCAGCCATGAATCCGACAACACAATTGAGGAAATCGACACCCTTGAGCTTACCCGTATCAACACTTATCGACTCCAACAGAAAACAACCGTAGGCTCTACAAGAGGCCCTACTCCCCGTGACAAATGGCTTCCTATGGGGGCCAATAAAGAGTATCCACCTCTTCTTCCAGATTCTGAAGGCTATGTCGTGGAGTTTGATGGAGCCAATGATCCCTTACATCCATACAATTGGTCCACAACTAGACGGTATGTCTACTATTCTTCCTCCTCGTTGGCATCTGGATACAATTGCTAATATCTCAATAGAGTAATTCTAGTTTGCATCTTATGCTATGGCACATTCGCCGGATCGTTTACTAGCGCTGTATTCTCGGCTGCTATCTCTGGATTCAGCAAAGAGTTCAACACAAGCGCCGAAGTTGGCGCACTTGGAGTGACACTATATGTCCTTGGCTTCGCAGCCGGGCCAACAATTTGGGCACCAGGATCAGAACTGATCGGTAGACGTTGGCCACTATCTATTGGACTGTTTGGATGTGCCATCTTCACCATCGCATGTGCAGTTGCCAAAGATATACAGACCGTCATGATCTGTCGTTTCTTTGCTGGCATGTGCTCAGCTAGCCCCATCTCAGTCGTTCCCGCCGTTTTTGCAGACTTGTTCAACAACACTCAACGGGGTGCCGTCATGTCAATTTTCTGCATGGCCGTCTTTATCGGGCCTTTTTCGGCACCATTTGTGGGGGGCTTCATTGCAACGAGCTCTCTGGGTTGGCGATGGACGATGTATATCTCTGCTATCATGGTCTTCCTAGGCTTTGTCCTAGTCTTTGCCTTCCTAGACGAGACTTATGCTCCAGTTATTCTTGTCCGCAAGGCCGCCACCCTGCGCCGACAGACTCGCAATTGGGGCATTCATGCAAAGCAAGATGAAGTGGAAGTGGATATGAGGGAGCTTCTGCGAAACAACTTTGCACGACCCATTGTGATGTTGTTTACGGAGCCCATACTGCTCCTTATCTCATTGTACATCTCCTTCATCTATGGCCTCATCTATGCCCTGTTAGGCGCGTACCCTGTTGTCTTTCAAGGTGTTTACGGGATGAGTATGGGTGTCGGTGGACTTGCATTTATGGGAATTATCATCGGCGAACTCCTTGGCGGTGTTTATATCCTCCTGATACAGGGGTCATATAGGATAAAGCTGGCGGCAAACGGTGATAAGCCCATCCCTGAATGGCGCCTTCCACCTGCGATCATAGGCGCTGTGTTGTTTGCCGGAGGAATGTTTTGGTGAGTTGCCTTCTTGGAATCGTCCACAGTGTGTGATGTACGGGGCTAATACATAATAGGTTCGGCTGGACCGGTTACACTTCATCCATTCACTGGATGGCTTCTGTAGCTTCAGGGCTCTTCACCGGAGCGGGGATCTTTTTGATCTTCTTGCAATGTTTCAATTATATTGTTGACTGCTACCCTACATTGTATGTTTGCTTATCCAGTGAAAAACGATTGACTAACTCAACTGACAGGGCTGCATCCACTATTGCCGCGAACACGATCTTACGTTCAGCTATTGGCTGCTCGTTCCCACTTTTCTCCAAGCAAATGATGGAGAACTTAGGGGTTCAATGGGCGGGGACAATGCTTGGATGTATCGCAGTTGCGATGATCCCTATTCCTGTTCTGTTCAAGGTCTACGGTCCATGGCTGCGAACAAGAAGTAAATTGGCATGCAGGCCCATTTATGATGTTGAAAAGAAACCTTATGATGTCTAATAGATATGAATTCACGTTATAGAGTCAATATACCCCAATGTTATTTTGAAGATCAGGTCGAGCACTTGGATACAGATGTTTGTAGTGAACTGGTATACATTAGCCAAGCTTGTCAGGCGAGATTCTCTTTATCGCTTAACAAATGACGTCACCTGCGAATCTACCGGCCGATCTGTGGATCGATCGGATTGCAATTCCCAGCTCGCGATACATAATAATCCCACAATTTATCTGTCACTGATCTCGACCACGTTCCTCACAACATCTTTTGCGCCCACGATGGAATATCCTACGAATAAACAAATACTTTTTGGTCCGGATTGGGACATCAATCGCTGGACTGCCTCCGACGACCGCGTCCGTGGTGGATCATCTGTGTCGAAACTCGAGCCGACCCAGGAAGGGGTGATCTTTCACGGCAACCTCGACATTGAGACACTTGGCGGCGCAGGGTTTGCCTCACAACGCACGGTCGGAAACGAACAAATATGGGACCTCACCGGATACGACGGCCTTGAGCTACGTGTCGTTCCATTGGATGGAAAACGATACACTTTCTCTTTGACAGACGAAATCCCACAACGGAGGCCCGATAATCGCGAACAAAGTGCCCTTGTCTGGGAATATGATTTTTGCCCGAGTGAGATAGGCCGCACGGTGCGCATGTCATGGAAGAACCTGAGACCGACATATCGGGGGAAGCCGGTGGAGGATGCCAGGCCTTTGGACTTGTCGCATATAAGAAGGTTCCGGATCATGATGCGAAGGTGAGCTCTTTATCAGTGAAATACATCAATGGGTGCTGATTATATAGTTTCTTCGGGGACCAACATGGTGATTTCAGCCTGAAAATTCAATCGATCGGATTGTTCCGCGAGAATTATGTTGATACTCCTAGTCTCGCAAAGGAGTCGCCTATGGACTACAATAACGAGAAAATAGATGCAGTGGAACATAAGGAAGATAAAGGGTGGTTTCTGAGTTGCTGCCCATCGTTCTAAGACGGCTCAATATGATATGAATGACCCTGAACCAATCATATCGTCCAACTAACCAGGTAGATATAAAAATGAACAGGATCAGAGAGAGAATACGCAGAACAAATGAGTCCTGACCATGATTGACCATATCTTCAACCCAAATATTATGCATTAATATTCGGCCTCGGACAAAAAAAGCCTTGGAAGTCATGCAAAATCTTCAATGTGATTGATGAAATTATAATTGTACTGTCACTACTCCACAGTTGTCGCAGCTGTCTCTGTATCATCCGCCATCCTTCTCACCTTCTTGCAGACGTTTAAGCGACATAACATCCACGCGGTTGTGGTGACCTGAAGCACCTGTAAAATTTCAGCCGCCACAATTTGATTTTTTATCAAGGTCCGCATAAATTATTTCCTCAGTAATGCCATCCATAGGTTTAATCAACCTCCTCCCGGAGAAGATATGGAAATCCCGTCACTTGTGTTCATTGCCTTGACTTCCCTTTTCTGTGATTATAGCCCTGCAATGGGCAGCAATGCTATGGGACTCGACTGCGTATGTCTGTGATAAACACTGGCAGCCTTGAAAGTACGTCAGACTATATACTGAACTGTAGGCATAGGATGTGTTGATTTACCTTAGGCAGACATAGACCAGAACTCAGTCTTTCCGGTATGAGGAGTCAAGCTAGGCCATGCAGAGATGTGAATTCCCTCTCGTTGAGATATCATGAAATACTTCAGTAGCGGCTGAATGTGTTCCCAGCAAGAAATAGCTCCACAACACTAGAGAAACATTCTCCGGAGGCATCTCCAGAATTAGTGCGCTCCATTTAAGTGGGTTTATCTTTCGCCGGTGTGACTTGATCTCCTCGTCGCTGTCAATCTCCTTGGGCGATATTGACTGAGTTGGCATTCCCCGAAAATCCAAATCATACCGCAATTGAGTGACTCTTAGCACAAGCTTCAATTTGATTCATCTCTGGGAAATCGAGAGCAATCAAGTCTTTGATGTATGCCTCATGTAGCTCGACGTCGAGAGGATAGCCCCTAGGACAATTATCCGTTACTGGTGTCCACGGTAAGAGTTTCGAATATACCTACCAGATCCAACATGGGTATCCAGGAATCCAGCACTCTGGAAATGCAATTAGCTGTGCAGCATTCTGAGCAGCCTCTGCAATGAGCTTACAGGTTTTGGCTACACTAGTGGCTAGATCTAACCACTCTGGCTCGGCCTGGGTGACTGCTACAAGAGTAGTTTTCGAGGACATCGAAAAGAACAATGTGTAAATCGAGTAGGAAATAAAGAATAGTTGAACAGACCGGGTCACAGCAATTTATACCATTTCTTCCTCTTTCGTCCCCTCATTCTCGAGGCCAGCTGAGTCAAAAGCCCATTTAAATTGGATTTCCACACCAGTTATACATTAATAGATTGCATGAGGTCAGATTTCAGGCCACCCGTAAGGTATTTGCCTTTTCATTATGGTGATTTTGATCACTGCGCTGAACATGTCCTGAGCAGCTTGATCCAACTCGCTAGACGAGGTTTAAGTAGAGCGGGAGAACAGAGCAGTTCAATAGTACGGGATTACAACACATTCATATCTATAGGAATGGAATGATTTCAGACAGCGGCCATCATCCTTGAGAATAAAGCAGATATGTTCTCAAAAAAGTCTGCGAATGTCCTCTGGGCCCTGCCATTCACTGTGAATGTCCACAATCCGTATGACGTAATATATTTCTTATGTAGTTCCAATCCCCATTGAAGATAAATGTCTCCTAGGTCTTCAATCGAATTTATCCTCTTAGCTTCATAATCCTCGATTTCCTAAGAGAAAAAAACATGTTCCCTCGTAGCTCTATCGCCGATCTTCCCCTGTCGTCCTCCGAAATAATATACCCGGATTCTCCGCTTTACGGACCAGAGAGTTGCACTTGGGCTGCCCAGAAAGATTTGAAGCCTAAGATCATTGCTCGGCCCTCTACGACTTCGTCTCTCGCATCTCTACTTTCTTGCTTATCGAATTCTAATATAGATTGGGCGGTTCGAAGTACTGGGGTAGGGTCTTCATCTGCCAGCGATGTGCTCATCTCGCTATCTGCTTTCGACAAATTCGAATATAACGCAGAAGAACAGACCGTGCTCATTGGTGCAGGGCAAACATGGGGAGAAGTTGATCAAAAAATTGAGGACAACGTTCCTGGCCATGCTGGTATGTCTTAACTTCATGCTATACACAGTGCAAAAGTTTAGATAAAACTATAGTGGTTGGCGCTCGTTGCACATACGTCGGTGTTGACGGGTCCATCCTTGCAGGCGGAATATCTTGGCTGTCATCCGAAAGAGGCCTTGGTGCTGATCCGCACAATATGCTGGACGCGAAAGTTGTCTTGACAGACGGCAGGATTTTGTGGGCATCCGCTGAGCCAGAATTGCTTTGGGCACTGAGAGGCGGTGGCGGCAGTTTTGGAGGCCAGGCGAAGTCCACTTATTGGTATAAATGAACTATCTAATGATTTTTCGTATACAGTTTTGGTAGAGGTTAAACTGCGAATTTACCCCTACCCGGACAAAATCTACTCAGGCCAAATATCCTATCCGAGGTCGGCATTCTCCGTCGTCGCAAAAGCCATTTCAAGATTCACCACCGAATGCAAAGATCCAAAGATGGCAATGCATATTTTCCCTCTAGACCTTAGCCAAGGTCATTATACGGGCGACGCTCCAAAACCAGGTATTGGTCTTCAAGTCTTTGACGCACATGGAGAAGCCCATGGAAGAGGCGCAGAGGGATTTGGCTGGGCTTTGGATATTGAAGGCGCGATGGATTCGACCAGCTCCATGACAATTCGACAGTGCAACCAGATCTGGGGTAAATACACGAAAATAAGAACGCCGTGTGATATGAATGAGCTGACATTACAATCAAGATGGTCTCGAAGCGGCCAAAGGAAAGACCACAAATTTCCAGTCTTGCCTCATCATTTCCCAGCTCGATGAACAACTCATTTCGAGGGCATGGGATTGGATTGAGAATTTGACCCTGAAGAACCCATCTCTTTCTCTCGGTGGGACTTATGTCTTGATTGAGTTCATGTAGAAGGTATGCAATCACAAAGTACCTTCTTGAACGGAACCTCCTTTTGTTGATCTAATATTGTTTGATGGATTTAGCCGGCTTTTCATTCAGTAGATCCGGCGCTGCGAGCCTGGCCGGGTACGCGCGGTCAATCTGTTCTGCAACTTGGGACTGGTGCCCCATGCAAGTCAGAAAAGAGCAGAGAATTAGCCTATAGGGAAATCAAAGAGGCACCGTTTATTATATGCGGATATGATGAACGATGTGAATTGGAGTACTTCACTCATTCACTTGAGGACTTCAATGATCCAAGAAAGGTAATAAACATTGTTTGCTTCTACAATTCGTGAGAAAACTGACAAGGGGATTCAGATATATGCCAATAACTTTGAGAAGCTACGGGAGCTCAAGCAGCAATATGATCCCCATGGTGGCCTAAAAGGACCGTTTTGGAATTGATTGAAGTGAGGTGCTCATTTGAGGGCGGACGGCTGGCATTAGGACGGTATTGACTGAGTAGTAGCAAGTAAATACGGAAATGAAGTATGATTCCCACTAAGCACTCACTGACTTCTGGTATATGCCAAGGGTTATTTGTAATGCACATAACTCCACCGAGGGTCTGACTTATATCAACTACAACAAATGAGTTCAGCTGTTCTGATTCAAGGATTTGGGCTATATGAAGAGCACTAGCCAACATCGCAAGGAAATGTCGACCCGAGAAAGCGCTTCCTTTATGCTTATGGACCGGGAGGAGAAATGAACGACGCGAAGATCTCCCTATCGACCGGGAAAGTAAGCCGGAGAGCGGTTGAGGTGGAGTGCCAATTTATTAGTTGTATGGGGGGTAAAGGATTTGTGCTACCGACGCCCAAATCTTGACTTTGGACGTGAATAGCATAATGAATACTTCATTTTCCACATGAAGGCCTATTTGAAGGCCCCCAGGAGGGAGTCAATTGAGGGAAATGCGAGTTTCCCTCATTTTCCTGTCGAGGCTCTTGAGACACGCGAACCTCTGTCGTCTTGTGTATTCCGGTATTTCCCAATATATTCTCCTGACTGGAATGACGGCTGTCTCCTCGGTCGACTTTTGTCTCGGTTTGAGTGGCGAATAACGAAGCATCTGGGGCACGGCGGAAAAGGGGGATTGGTTTCTGTCGAGGGGTCGATTCTGAGCGCATGTACGCCGAACTCTTGCGGGAGCGTTGCAGCACCACTGAGTAGGATTGTCGGAGGGTAGGCAGTGATGCGCAGATAATAATCACGTACATCTAATTGTGTCAATGAGCTGGGGTTGCGTGGATAGTGCAGGGATAGTCACCTCGATCCTAGATTTTATCAAGTTTTATTGAAAGTCCCACAAAGAAGCTCGAAAAGCATAGATCACTCACGTATACCAGATAGTGATGTCGGCCCAAGACCCTGTATGCGCTTAGTTGGTGAGGTCACTGAAATGGAACTCGAGGAATACGCACAGGTGATGTCGGCATGGGCGGGAAGGTTCTTGAGCAGAATGCACTTGACCACCGTGGCCGCCGCGGCACTATTAAGTCAGCTCAACGCTCCCGATGTGTGATGAAAAGAGTGAGATACAAGATACCGGCTCCCATGACGGAGATTATTGCGAACTTCATCTTGAAGGCGAGCTGGACGCGCCAAAAGATATACGCTGGGAAAAGGGCGAGGGCCAGATCGTTGAACGCGTTAAAGGCTGCCTGGGATATCCCGGCAACCAATTGAAAGTTGAGACTGAAGCAGGAACCTTCTACCTTCTGATTCCAGATACGCTCTGAGGGTCGGCAGAATCCAATGATGGCCACGATAGCCAGCACATTCCACGCTATGGAAACTACCATGAGGATATATAGGAACCATCGGCGCGGCGCGGATGCAGATTGCCCCATGAGCCGGAGTAGGAAGATAGTCACACTTATCTTACCAGTTGTGGTGCTGATCACAGAGAAGTTGGGTGCTATGACTGTGTACTTGATCGCCTGAACTTGCTGATCCGGATTCGAAATGTCGTTCAGATGGCGTCCTAGTCCGTAAGAAACGGCGACTTGAACCAGGGCTGAACATATCAGGGCACTTGCCAGTGACAAAGTGATGAAGGTGTCATCCCAGCCAGCACGTCGCAGAGCCACCACGCGTGTGTATAACCGGACCGCCACGACCCCCAGGGCCACACCACCAAAACACCACGACACTGCTGTGATGCTGGCGCCGCTCATTGTGTGTTGATTTTGATGCTAGGATCATTTCCACTCGAACTTAAAAGGCGACGACAACATACAGCATTCACAACTCCCCTGATCCATCGCATTCGCAAAATGCTCGACAGGGCATTGAAACGTCCTAGAAAATGCATCCTTGTAAGGTTTCACTCCACACTCGATTCAAGAAAGTCTCATTGGCCTGAAAGAATAACGGCGGATCTTGGCGGGGTCTGAGACGGGACGTCAACTGTACAAATGTCTCCACTTCATCCTTCCCTCCATTGTCCCTCGGCCCGGAGTCCGTCAATCTGATGAACAATGCGCTCTCTTTCAAGGTGAGATGTTCCTGGTATTGTCCCAATCCATATACACGCAAGTGAATTGTTGGCTGGGCGTAACGTTGATCCTTGACACCGTCACATGGGTCTTCTATGACCGTCGTCTGCCTGCTCTCGGCTTGAATCTTGAAAATGAACCAAAACATCCCCATGCGGGTTATCCACTTCCTTAATCTTAGGCGATCACTAGCGATCACTAGCGAAGACATCCAAAAGGGGGGTTGGACAAAAGAACCTGAACGGCTTAGCAACCGTCGAATTCCCCTACCCCCAACTCTGCTCTCGGCTGTTATTCTACACGTTTGAAGTCACAACAGCCTTACCTATACATTCATACTTATATCCCTATTTAAAACACACAATATGGCAACATCCGTTTCCAAGGAATCAATTGACCAGCTACAAGACCAAGTAACGGAGTCACTGGAGGTTTTCCAAAGGCAGCATGAAGAGGCAGATCGCGTCGCCGCCCTGAAGGCAGCACAAAAACTCGTGAATGCACTACAGAAGCCGCAAGATTCGGTCTATCACTTGGCTTACTCTGTAAATATCAGGCAATTCAGGGTGATGATCTTGTTGCTAACCCGGACTAGCCTACTCACGCCATGTGTGTGCGCATTGCCATCGACATGGATATATTCACAACGTTAACGGAGCGCAATGGGCCGGTGTCACTCGAAGAGCTGGCAGCTGTGAAAAACGCCAGTCCGATCTTGGTTGGTATGTTATTTTCTATTGCTCCTTCTCTATTGCATGGGTGATGGGTAACTGACAAGGAACTGTCGGGGTAGAACGAGTTTTGCGTATCTTAGTTGGAATCGACTATGTTGGCGAATGCGACACGCGCGTCTATACCGCGACTACAATGACCCGCCAGCTGACTGACCGACTCAGCATTTCGGTGATCAAGTTTATATTTGATATTGGCATGCCCACCCTCGCCAAGATCCCCGAGTTCCTCCGTTCCCACGAGTACCAGAACCCCGAGGGTGCGACTACAGGACCATTCCAATTTGCCGAAAAGATCGACGAGTCGATTTGGACCTGGTTCCAAAAGAATCCCGAGAAACTTGATCTATGCAATACTTTCATGGAGGGTGACCGCGGTGCGCGACCCAGTTGGTTGGAATGGTTCCCGGTAGAAGAGCGTCTTCTATCTGGTGCTAATCCTGAGGCGGAAACACTCATGGTCGATGTTGCCGGGGGTCGAGGCCATGACCTTGTAGCATTTTTGGAACGGCATCCGGATGCGAAAGGACGCTTGGTGCTTGAAGATCTGCCACATGTGTTGGAAGAGAGTACTATAGACACCGAGCGTATTGAAAAATTACCATTTGACTTGTTCAAACCACAGCCAATTCATGGTAAGTTTCACAATTCAACTTGATTTGGATAATGGTTGACATTGGCCCCAGGTGCTCGCATTTATTATCTGAAGTTCATTCTTCATGACTGGTCCGACGAGGAGAATCAAGCCATTCTTACCCAATTGGCCGGTGCAATGAAGCAGGGTTACTCGAAACTGATCATCGAAGAGTTTGTACTAGCAGATCGCGATGGTGCCATGTTACCGGCGATGTGGGACTGGGAAATGATGATTTTTTGTAACAGCATGGAGCGCTCGCAGTCCCATTGGACTCGCCTGCTAGAAAGTGCAGGATTCCAGGTCATCAAGTTCTGGGCACCACCCGGTGATGGACAAGGCATCATCGAAGCCGAACTTAAATAATGACTAGTACACAGATTATTCAAACTAGCACGACAAAGTGGGATTGAGCCTTGCTGGTTCTTTCAATGACATATAACCTTTTACAGATTTTTCTTATGATCTGTCATTTGGTCTTCCTACCCGCAGATACAAGATAGAAGAGGACAAGATAGAAGAAACCTGTTTAGAGGAAAAGGCCTTTGGAAACCGAGCCTGAAATATTCGCTACTTTGTGGAATACTAAGAACATGGCTTGTGTTAAGTCTGGTGGTCAACCTGTATCAAGCCCGGAACTTTCATCCTATGACCATACACGCGCTTCCACGCAAGATACATTCTCAAGACTCTTCTAACGCAACGATTGGAGCTGGTATGATTCTTCATACACTCGCTATTGATATTACTCTGGTAATTTTGTTAGTGATTGCATGCGTTTTGGAACCAATGCAATCTGTATGTTATTTCATAACGCTAGGAATAATGATGATGCTTCTAACAGACCGGGCAAGAACACCAGAACAGTAGAAATAGTGTGAATTCTTGAATGTCCGAACAAACTCAACGCCTGTCGACGCCTGGAGTTGAATGTGTATTCTGCTCATTGATATGCTCGCGTTCCATGATCCCTAGGAAACGAATGATCTGCCGTGATCGGAGAGACCGCGGAGGGAGTATCGCTATAATTTGACACTGATGGTGCACTGACCGCAGGGAAATACTGGGACTGAGAGTTGTTGGTGTGCATCGTTGAGGAGCGATTAACCCCCAGATCAGTGGAAGGAGGTTCTTTTACGGCCACAAGGGGTATCTTCGAGTACGACTGACTAGAATCCAACATTTTGCTAGCCGCAATTCGCCGCGCCTTCGCTCGACCAAGCGCATAGTAAACAATGGCGACGCCGAGGAATACCGAGATAAAACAACAGCCAAATACAATCGCTGCGATGTTACCCCGGTGATTCCATTCTAGGTATTGTCAGTACGATGGGTATTTTGGGACATATCGATTTGATGACGCACCGGCTAGCTCCGCTTTGCTCATAAAGCCGCTCGATGATGCAGTCGGACTAGTACTGGTTGTGGTTGAGGCGCTGCTACTTGAAGTTGGGGTACTTGTTGTCTCTGAGGTGCTGGTGGGTGTCACCGAGGAGCTGCTAGCAGTCGAGCTAGTTGTCTCGGTGGTAGATGTGGGGGTTGTAGATGTTGAGGGCTCGGTAGTAGTTTCCGGTTCGGAGGTTGTGGTTGTAGCATCAGTCGCTGAAGCAGTTGTCTCTGATGTGGTCGTCTTTGATGACGTTGTCTCTGTTGTCTCTGTTGTTTCCGTTGTTTCCGCTGTCTCCGTGGTCTCCGATGCGGCTGTATCAGTTGTGGCATCGGCTGTGGATTTAGTCGACTCTTCTGTGGCGGTTGTGTCTCTGGCTTGGAGGATCTCGCCATATGCGCGTTTTCCGTACAGCTGTGCTACCTCAGTCGGCTCGGAGACTGGCCATAAATTTTCAACGGATGTTGTGGCTGGGATCCATGTGATCTGAGAGGCGTAGGGCTGACCGAGTACCCGGGAGCAGATCACTGTGCACAGTGCGAATATCGAAATCCGCATATTGTCACAATGAAGAACTGAGATATCAAGCGTTTAGACAGAAAAAGGAAAAAGGGAAGATCTAGAAAGAGGGTCAGAATGTTGATATTTGATAGACAAGAAAGAGAAAAGAAAAAGAAAAGAAACGCCATGCGGGGCGCTAGGCTGGGTAAACAGCGATCTACGGAATACTAATTATGCTGTGTCTGACCTATTTTTGTAGTGAAAACAGCCACTAGGGAACTAGAGGAGCTTTAGTTGAACTGCACACGCATCTGCCGCGCGGCACCTAATTTGATTCATATCTCGGACAGTAACATTCTATATCCAAATGCCTTTCAATATGAATCTTATATTGAGTCTCTGTATTGGAAGGACCTGGATATCCTTCACATCACATAACTCTCCCTTTCGAAATTGATAACTGCGCCCCTTCATTTTGGTTTTTTGGGGCCTTGCATGCCGACTATTTTTAGGTCGACCATCGCCAAGAGACACTAAGAATGGGGCCACCCAGAAGCTTGGAAATATATCTCGAGATGTTTAATAAATATATGAGCCTCTGATGATGGGTGTCTAGTTTGATATGTGGGACAGGATTCCTGAAAGGTCATATACTACTCCGTGTTCCGATGTCTAGTTGGGTTCAAAAAATATTAGACGGGAACTCATGATCGTTGCCTGAGATCTTAGGCGACTGTTCAAACTCGGGACAGGTCGGCTTTCCCTCATCAATCGCGGAACATCGGACTTTTCATTTCTCAACTCATATCAGGACAACATTAAGTCTTTTTGCCGACAATTCCGGTATTCAATGATAGCCGTTATTTAGAAGGCCTTCCTAAATCAAAAGCCCGTACTCCGTATACTCCTCCATTCGTAAATATTTGGTAGTGGCCATGAAGTCGATCACCTCGTAGAAACCCAATTACCCATCAGATGCTACCAAATCGAAAGTATCCAAATCCAAGCCAAAACAGGTAAAATCTATCCATGGCGGTCAGCAGTGTTTCGGGTGGTGACCTACAGATTCAGGCCAGTTGACAATATTATATTGCAATATGGGAATTGTGATGTATCACGCACACATAATGGGATATCATATGTAAGTAACCCCTGGATGTGGCCTTCCAGATACAGTAATGCCAAGCATGTCGGCAATTGTGGGGACCTCGGGACATACCTATCGACACGCTTTCTAGGGATGCCTTGCAGAAATTCCAAAAAGACCACAACGTAAAATGCTCTGGGGTAAATAACCTCCCGAGCGCCACCCAACTTCGGATAGACTTACTTCCGATTTGGGAAGTGGGAAATGAAGCAAGAGAACCACGAGCTTATACTACATCACGGAAGTATTTGTGTCTTCTGGCAGCAATGACGTTTTTGGACGTTTTACGCAGTTCCAGTAAGGAACGAGGCACTGTGACATTTGGATTTGGGGTTCAATTTCTTATTTGTATTGGCGCCTCGCAGAGTTTATAGTCTGGTGACAGTCTCTATATCAAGAGTGTTACTTTGACACCGATCAAGTTCCCCTTACTTCCCGAGCCATCAAACCCTAATATGAACAAACGTCTTGGTCGTACAATTTGGTCAGCTGCTGCATGAGTGTTCTATTACTAACAGTTATCTCCGGAAAGGATACTTTTTTGCATGTTTTCTTCCCATTTGAACTTCATCGTTGGGCTATTTCTGCAAACCGTGTGTCTCTAACTGGTGGGTTCTCGCTAACCTTTTCATGCGGACGTCGTACATGTCCTCCATAGTAGCAAGGCAAATTGGCACGCTCCACAGATACAATCAAAGAGACTGCACGCTTATTCCTGGAATCTCTACGATATATGCAAATATCCATCGAAGCAAATTATTTGTCCTGTGGGTTACATTCGGGAGGTTTGATATCATGCCGGTGAGTTAGGGCTCGGGAACCTTAAGTCTTCCGATATTTTACCACAAAGAGTTGCTTATTTTACGACTCTCCATGTTTATTCAAAATGAGAATCAATTACTTCAACCAGTATAGTGGAAAATGGAACTGGGTAGAAATGGATATCATGAGAGGATGCACATTCAACCTGTTCTTAATGGTACCGACGGGTCTGTTCCGCATCAGGAGGATTTTGCAATTTTGTCTCTATATAATCATCGGAAAGTATACGTACAATGGAACAATGGGTACTATTACTACACTAGGAAATATCCAGTGGCCACTCTGTGTCTAATTAGAAAGCATGCAAGCGTCAAAATTTTGGCCGTAAGGACATCAGAGCATCAAATCTACAATTCCCGGCCAAGAGCCTTCAAGTAACTGCATGGTTCCTTGAATGTAAGGTGCTGATTGGACTCGGAGAGATAGCTAGCAAACATCACACTCGTCATCCAGATGATTATACTTCGTAGGTCAGCTGCAACAAGTTCCCGAGAGTCATCTGGTGAGCCAAAGATATATTTAAAGACCTTATGCTAACACGAAATGTATACAGATACCACAGCCCAAAATAAAAACATTGGTACGGGCGAAAAGAGGCCTTACAGATCATGACGAAGATACGGTTCATTTTAGGGATCCTTGCTCTGCTGTCAATGACGGCACATGCGGTGTCTGCGGTAGGCCGGGACACACGTGCTGCCAAAAGACAGTCGTCGGGAGAGAGACTTGTCTTTGCGCACTTTATGGTAAAATGCCCTCGAATCCCTGCTTCGTGATGGAGATATACTGATCTTCCGAAAGATTGGAATTGTCAGCAACAGAAGGAGTGCGGCGGACTTTGATGATGACATGAAGCGTGCTAAGTCTCTGGGAATTGATGCCTTTGCTCTGAATATTGGGGTCGATCCCTATACTGATCAACAACTCCAATTGGCATACGAATCTGCTGCCAATAATGACATGAAAGTTTTCTTGTCATTCGATTTCAACTGGTGGCATATTGACCAGGCTACTGCAGTTGGCCAGAAAATTGCCCAGTACGCTAGCAAGCCTGCACAACTTATGGTTGACAACAAGGTATTCGTCTCATCATTTGCCGGTGATGGAATAAACGTTGCAGCATTGCGAGCCGCAGCAGGGAGATCTATCTTTTTCGCACCTAATTTCCATCCAGCTACTGGAACAGAGATCTCGACAGTTGACGGCCTCTTGAATTGGATGGCGTGGCCGAACAATGGAAACAACAAAGCCCCAACCCCAGGTCGCAGTGTTTCTGTGGCTGATGGGGATCGAGAATATGTCAATGCCCTTGGCGGAAAAGCTTATGTTGCTCGTGGGTGTCTCCTTTCTATTGAGGTTTCAATCAGATTTCTGACTCTAGTTCAGCTGTATCACCGTGGTTTTTCACTCATTTCGGACCTGAAGTCTCTTATAGCAAGAACTGGAACTTCCCATCTGATCTACTATGGTTTAATAGATGGAATGAGATACTTGCGCTGAAACCACGATTTATCGAAATTGTCACATGGAACGACTATGGAGAATGTCATTACATTGGTCCTTTGAAATCACCACATACTGATGATGGGGCCTCAAAATGGGTCAACGACATGTGAGAATATTGACACCACCCTTTCGCCTTCACAATCCCCACTTTAGCCAACTCAACTAACGGACCACTACAGGCCCCACGACGGATGGCTGGATATTTCAAAGCCATATATTGCTGCGTTCAAAGCAGGCGAGTCATCCCCCAACAGTCATATCTCATCTGATGAGCTAGTCTACTGGTATAGACCTGCACCACGTGGGGTGGACTGCGACCCTACAGATACTTGTATGGTACCAGCAAACAACGGCAGTGGAAATTATTTCATAGGTCGGCCGGATGGCTGGCAATCCATGGCAGATTCTGTGTTTGTTGTATCATTACTTACGTCCCCAGCTACAGTGCAAGTTAACAGTGGCGGGAGTGTCTATAATTACGAGGCACCAGCAGGGGCAAGTGCAAAGGAGGTTCCGATGGGAGTTGGCGCACAAAGCTTTGCGGTCATTCGCAATGGTCAAACTATTCTCTCGGGAACTAGTTTGAAGGAGATCATCAACGGGTGCGTGTGTGGTTTGTATAACTTCAACGCTTATGGTAAGTGACTAACTATATAACGATTGGTTGAGGTTACATCATTAACTCTGGTATCTAGTCGGAACTCTCCCAGCAGGATTCAGTGACCCTCTCCAGCAAGATGGTCTCTCTGCCTTTACACAGGGCTTGCGTGTTCACACATGTCAACCAACCCCCTCGCTGGGTACAGTTCCCCCAGCTCCTCCATCTACAAGTACAACCAGCAGATTGCCAAGTCCTCCCCCGACTACAACACCGCCGCCTGGATCACCTGGGCAATGCTCGACTGTTGTGAGCACAGTTACTGTTACTAAGACTTTAACTCCGCCAGCTTGTCCTCCAAATGGCGGCAGTGGTGGTGGCGGTGGAGGAGGAGGCGGAGGAGGTGGAGGTGAAACCTGCATTGCAGGAACAGGACCCAATAACTATATTGGATTGTGCGCCTTCTGCTGTAACTATGGTTATTGCCCACCGGGACCCTGCACTTGTACGCAATATGGAAATGCAGTCCCACCTCCACCCTCTACCGGAACTCATGGGGTGCCTCTGATCGGCGAGGATGATTCGTATCTAGGCCTTTGCAGTTTTGCGTGCGATCATGGCTATTGTCCCCCTACGGCCTGCAGAATAGTTTGAGCACGACTCGTTTCTGGGCGGAGATGTAGTTCTCTCAATATAGTATCAATATGTGGACATAACAACATGATAGTAGTTATCATAGGCCGGTCTCGATCTCGATGTTTGTCAGGGATATTGCTATGCGTTGAAATAGAGTGGTAAATGCGGTTTATTCGTTTTTGGAAATGGTCGTAAAGTTCAAATTGGAGCATCAAGCATTACTAAACTAGGGTTTTGTAGCAATCTCCTCATCGGAAAGATTGAGAGGCAAGGAATGCCGGGTAAATTCAAATCAACCTCAATAACTACAGCAATCCTGCCAGAGCTTGAACAGCACCGCAAGCTAGCACGAGGCCAGTAGGTCTTGATAGTGCTGCCACGCCCGCCACGGGGGTAGGACTGACGGTGGCAGCAACGGGTGATGCCTCGCTACCGGATACAACTTCGGTGGTTTTTGGAGTAGTCGTACTGCCGTTGTTTACTGTTGCAGCCACCGCATTAGCAGTGGAAGTTATGGTGACTGGCAACAGCGTAATCTGGTCCCAAGGGAGGGTTGAGGTGCTGGTGCCGGGTGTGTTGGCCCCTTTCCCGGTAACAGTGTCTGTACAAGTATATACCCCGGTCGGGAGATCGGTCATATCGCAAACAACGTGATTATATCTGTTGTATCAATGAGGACTTTACTCAGGTTGCAGCAAAGTGAAGGGCCGGGTAAACGTACACGTTGTCAGATTCAGCACTGATCAGATATTCAACACTTGTTGGGGCTGCGGTCAAGAACATGCCGGGGCCCATACCACACTCTGTGCTATTGGTGCGACCGTTTGGGCAATTGATACTGTATGTAGTCGTTGCTGATTTCTGCCTCTAGTTAGCCGGATATTCGTGGATCATCCCGATTGATACGAACCTCTGCCAAAACTTCGCCCAATAGGGACTGAGGGTCGGCGTTTGGAATGAACAAGGAGACGACAGGATACTCTGCAGCCAGTCCCAGGGTCGCAAATGCCAGAAGAGCTTTAAAAGACATTATGTGCTGGTGTCTCTCTTTATATGGCGAATGAATACAAAAGACAAAAGAACATGAGATATTTGGCGGCCGCTGAATTATTTCTGGAATTCAAAAATGGTACATCAGTAGATCAAGTTATATTCCAGATGAGGACATTATCATCATAATTCTCTAACACTGTCGTGTTACTACGGGAACTTCTTGCGAGTGTGTTATACTAGATCGAGATGATGAAAGTTACATGTCATACGGATCAAAGACCGGCCTTCATCATCTCACTATTCAGCATTTAGACCTGGGAACAAGGCTTAGAAGAAGACGAGTAAGAGTATTGGAGTAAAATCAAAATGTATATTACATAGTGATTTGAAGTTGATCTTGCTTCGTCTCCGCTCTGGTGAATGTGCCGGATACCCAACATCTGAGCCCCAATTTATAAAATCTGCGAGCATCGATATGAAATCGTCATTATTACCACTCACGAATAGAGCCATCCGGTCCATAGAACTCCTTGGGCTGCCAAGGCTCTGTCTCCTTGCTGATCTTCCGTACCAGGTCTTCGTCAATATCAATCCCCAAGCCGGGTTTAGAGGGCGCAGCCACATATCCCTCCTTGATATCGAAGACGGTTTTATCCACCAAGTAGCTGTTCAGGTCAATATCTCCAGCTTCAACATTGTAGTGCATGCCCAGCGACATCTCTTGGATGACAAAATTGGGTATCGAAACGGCCACTTGGAGAGAGGCTGCCAAGGCAATCGGACCCAAAGGACAATGCGGTGCGATAGCAACATCGTAGGCTTCAGCCATGTTTGCGATACGCATAGTTTCGGAGATACCTCCTGCGTGAGCAATATCAGGCTGTAGGACATCTACCGACGAATCCTCCAAAAACCTCTTAATATCCCATCTGGAGTATAAGCGCTCGCCGAATGCAATAGGAATTGTAGTCTGCTCGGAAAGTTGCTTGATCGCTTCCGGGTGTTCGCATAGTAGAGGCTCTTCGATGAACAAAGGGTGATAAGGTTCCAGTGCCTTAGCCAGCTGTTTAGCCATAGGCCTATGCAAGCGACCGTGGAAGTCCAGACCGGCGTCAAGACCTAGGGCCTTCACCTGCTTCAATCGTTCCACGCAGGACTGTAAAACAGCGGGCGAGTCGAGCCAGTTGACATCTTCGGTGGCGTTCATTTTAACGCACTTGAGGCCTTGGGCGATTCGCTCTTTCCTATTGGCAAAACCTGTTAGAGGCCGGGGTATGCTTAATGCCAGTATTCATTGTAACTCACGCTGCTGCCTCAACATCACTTGGTCGGTCACCTCCAATCCAGGCATAAACCTGCACCTTCTGACGCACCCTGCCCCCCAAGAGCTGGTGCACGGGGACACCCAGCTTTCGGCCCTTGAGATCCCACAAAGCGATGTCAATTCCCGATAGAGCGGACATGAACACCGGTCCACCACGATAAAATCCCAGCCGCCATACTATCTGCCAAATGTGTTGAATGTCACTATCAAAGGTGGTTAGACCTTTCTTTCTGAAGAAACACAGGTTCGAGCATACTCCGCTTCATATCCCACAATGCGAGTGATGATCTCATCGAGGGCCCCTTCGACTGCAAGAGAATGCCCTTCCAATGTACCCTCTCCCCAACCGAAGTTCCCCTCATCATCGGTGACTTTGACAAAAAGCCAGCGAGGCTTTACACGGAAGTGCTCGATGGACTTGATCTTGGCCATGGTGAGTTATAGAATAAAGATTCTCAGGTATGATGGAGCTGCAACCGAATCCGGGATGCGACGAAGATATACTTGCACGCCAACCCGACACGATACACCATCCCACGCGGGGCTGTCGGGAGAAGTCCGAGCTGATTGCCGTGTATCAAATCCCCCACGTTGAGGGGATCCAGTACAGACATTGTGTGCTTTGATTGGTGGAGAAACCAGTGACTAGTTCATGTGGGGACATAAATAGGATGAGTAGAACTATAGCCAGACGGGCTTCATATCAACATACATCATTTTTGGAAAGGCACTCTCATTCTATAGAGACATGCCAAAATACACATCGAGTATAAAAAGAAGATCAAAGTCCTAATTCTAACAGACCGTTTTTGTTCAGTCTGTCCGGGTATGGAGAGAAGGGGGTACGACGAATGGTCGAGATTCTGCGACAGGAAATCGAATGAAGATGGTTCTTCTGGGGGTCACTAGCCTTGAAGATTTAAAAGTGGGAATGGTGAATAACAGGCGGTTAGAGAAACATTTGATAGCCAAGTTATAGGCTAGAGGACTACGAGTCTCTGAATGGCAAATGCCAAGACCGTTACATCCTGAAGAACCCCCACGCGTACGACAGCCGGGGCCAAACTTGACAATGGTTATTAAAACTTATATAAGATTCACCGCTAGAGTTTTCGCCTTTTGTCACATACAACATAATACATTCCGCCTATTCTAAACCTATATTCGTTTCATTTTTATATTTATTTATCTATTTATGACATACAAGTGTAGACAGCCGCTTCTATGGCCTTATGATATCTTTCTTATAGGGCTTTTTAGTGGTGTTTCTAAAAGCCTTCTTAGTGAGCTTCCTATTTTTTCTTAGATATCTTTAAAATAGTTTTCCCCTTTCTAGTCTATTTAAGGCGATAGAAAAAGGCGGAAAGAGCATACTCTATATAAGCGACTTTTCTTTGTATAACTTCTGATTTATAGTATATTTATTCGTGACTTCGTAGTAGATCTATGGTATATTTATCTATAAGTTCATAATAATCCTCCCTAGTCGTACAGGGCCTATATACGACACCTAAGCAAAGCTTGTACCTTTACGTGGTGTTTAGGATAAGTAGCCTTTAGGTGAAACTAAGTGAGCCATATGATGTTGATATAAATGAATCTATAGTAAAACTGTACTATATAATTTTCTAGGTATCGTACTGGTTCCCTTAGCGCCGATCACTAGTTTCTTCATGGCAGAAACCCCATTGTCAAGTTTGGCCCATTCCGGCTGCCGTACCCACGCGGGCATTCTCCGATGCGGGGATCTCAAGTATCAAGAATCTTTCATTCCTCTTTTGATCCTCACAGAATGTCCGGTCAACTTGATGTCCTTGTCTATGGTTTGGGAGCGTGAGTCCAACGTATTCCAACAATGATGTGATACTGAACTTTGTAGGATTGGCTCCTTCTATGCCTTTATCCTCAGTCGCTCCGACCGTGTACGACTCTCAGTCGTAGCACGTTCGAACTATGAGGCTGTGAAAGCAAATGTGAGTACTTCACTAGACATGAGGCTGTTCCAGTATTAATAGCGCGGCTCCAAGGGAATCATCATCAATAGCGAGAATCACGGCGAACATATTGTCCATCCACATCGAGGTATGACGAATATGAACCATCCTAGTCGAAAATGTCTCACTGATAGTCTAATAAGTGGTAAAATCCGTCGCCGAAATTACACCAGTGGACTATATTGTGTGCGCCCACAAAGCAATCGATCAGGATGAAGTGATAGCTCAATTACAGCCAGCTATCAACAGCAGGACTACCATTGTCGTGATTCAGAATGGCGTTGGTAACGAGGAACCTTTCCGAAAGCAGTTCCCAGACAACACGATCATAACCTGTGTGGCAAGTTCCCTTCCCACCGTCAATTTCCCAGTCTCATCTAACATTCACAGACATGGGTTGGAGCCACACAGACCAGTCCCGGAATCGTCGCACATGGCAAATCCGAGGATATGCAGATCGGTCTATTCCCCAACCCCAAGCTGGAAAGGCAAGCTGAGCAAGAACGAGTTGAAACATTCGCCGACCTCCTTCGAAATGGCAAGACTCGGTTCCAGGTTCTTGAGAATATGCAAATCCAGCGATGGGAGAAGGTTGTTTGGAACGTCGCATGGAACTCGTTGACTACTCTCACGCTGGTGGATACAAAGACATGGTTGAACTCATCAGAAGATGCGACGCCTTTTACACGCCGGTTAATGCAGGAGGTTATTGACATCGCCCGTGCCTGTGGTGTACCGCTAAAAGATGACCTGATTGACCAGCTTATGAACAAGATCAATGCCATGCCCGGCATTGGAAGTAGCATGCAGACGGATTGTAAATGTGGACGGCCAATGGAGATCGATGTCATATTGGGCTTCCCAGTGCGGAAATCTCGTGAACTTGGTGTTCAGGCCCCCTTTTTAGAGACTCTCTACGTTCTTCTTCGCGCGGTTGATGGTCGACTCAGAGCCGCGCGGTATGAGAAAAAACTTGATGCTTGATTCGACTTCCGCTGGATGATGAATGCTCGCTATAGACGCTACATATATTGAGGGATGTATATATTTCACAGATCCCACCAAATTCGGATCAACGTTATTTCAATCGTCCGTGATAATTCAACGTACTCGAGATTAAGACCAGCTGTCCATTTCTCACGAGGTAGATGTCACCAGCACCACCATATACTGTACCCTTATCGTGTTACTCGGTCTCGCTCGGCTTCGATTATAGAGGAAGTAGGGGCGATGCAAGATAGATGACATGTCGTAATATGTCAATGTAATCCTTTCCCCTGTCAAATACCTCTCCCATGCATTTTACGAGATGCCGTCTCTCGACATCCTCAACTCCCAAACAAGGTCCCATCCAAACAAAGTCCCGCGATGGGGAGTATGCAAAAAATGCGCTGCGAAGAACCTAGACCAGGGTCCCTGATAATTTTTACAACATGGCAAAACAACGTCACCACTCAATAAGTCCAGAATGCAAATGAGCAAAGCAAGCCAACCTATTTCTCCAGCCATCTATCACAAGGGGGCTCACAAAAATGAAAAAATCCCATCTCCAAATCAATATATACCCTCGAAACATAATGTAAGGTTTTTAAATCATATAAAAGATCGTGACGCATAAATGAGGTATCAAGTCTGAAGAGAAGGAGGAGGAGGAGGAGGAGGAGGAGGAGGAGGAGGAGGAAGAAGAGGGGAGGGCGGACGTCGGATCTCCTGTAGCTGAATCGAGGTAGTTTTGTCGACTTCTACTTCTGTAGCGCCGTCTGGGGAATGGTGAGGGTTGTTATTCTCCGATTCCTGGTCGACAGCGAACCTCCAGCGGTTATCAGCGCCCATGAACATGCGGAAACCATAGCGTTTGTTTAGCGATGTGAGATGAGCATGTCTTTCGGCACTGCTCCAATTGTGCGTATCGGCAAAATCCGGGAGCATTTGGCTGTGTGAAATCCAGGGAATAATGGCTCCAATGGAGCGTGGCATCCGGGGTCCTCGAAACCGGCCGCGTCGTGTGCCGAACACCACAAGCACGACCAGCGTGTCAAATATGATGATGGCTAGAGCGATGGAAAGTGATGGCCCCGACGGAACCATGCGCCAAGTACTGCGGGTGATAGTTGCATTTGTGGCCAGGATCGGGTGAGTAAGAGGTTCAAGGTAAATGTCGCGCCAAATTGAGAAATAAGTGCTATAGACCCATTGATATACAGTTTGAGTCATGTTGGTCAGAATATCGGGGTTCAGGGCGTCAAAGTTGGGGTCTTCGCGTTCGTAGAGACGGGCAACAAGGAAACCTGCCCAATCGTAGGAAGAAATGTTGTATGTTCCATTCTGCATGGTAGTATTGCCTACAAAGCTGCTAGGAATAGCAGCAAAGACTTTGTTGAACTGCCCGAGACTCACGGTTGCATTGTCGTACATGGTTCCATGGGTGATAGATGTTTTGGGAATAGGTTCATGCCAGCAGATCTGTCCCTTCTGGTCGAAAGAGATTGAATAGTTTTGCAACCTTGGCTGGGGTTCACAGTGCAATGCAATGGTGTTGTCATCCGTTATTGGTGTGTCCGCCAAATAATCCCAGCGACCGACAACTACAACGGTGGACGTCTGGCAGATGTCCGATCCGTCGACATCATCTGGGGACAAAAAGTGAATAGATAGCGAGATTCCTTCTTCTTTGATCTTCAGCGGCGGCATGCGTGCCATGCATTCCATAGACGAATTTTCAAATAGTTTATATCGCCAATGCTGGTGACCATTGGCTGTTCCATGGACAAGAGCGTCGGACGAAAGGGGCTGACACTTCAGCTCAGTCCCAATACCAAGCGTTGAGGCACCATAAGTCACATCCGGGTTGCGATTGGCCACATGTATTGGGACGAAAGACTGATTGGGGCTAGTCCAAGACAGCATAGGGACTCCGCTGCTGATGCTAGTTTGAATTAAGTCATACTCTGTGAATTCTGCGGCGAAGTCGGTCTGCCAGAATACAGACTGGCTGTAGTTCATCGTCAAATCGCTGGTTCCCAACGTTGAAGTTGTCAATTGTTGCGTGAAAAGCCCACCCGCGACGACAGTCAGCGCCATGTTAACGACGCACGCAATTGATACGAGACACAACAAGAGATGCCGGTCGCGAACTGCCTTGAAGAAAATGGCGAAGGGACTTTGGGATGAATAGTTCAGTGACAACGACGTCTTTGCTGAGGCATGACCGCGTTGCAGGTGGACCCAAGGCTCCAAAACACTGAGGTTCCGGTGAATGGAGGTACATAAAGCCCCCACAGAAGAGGCAACGATGGAGGGTAGGAAGGAAAGGATGACTTGGAACGCGCTCGAGTCGGATTGGGTCATGTGGCGGAAGCGGCCGTTTCGAAGTAAAGATGAGACCACTAATCCAATGAGGATGATGACTCCGGCTAGAGCCAAGAATTCAATAAGAAAGAAGGGAATTACGAGAAAGTGAGGCATCGGATCAACACGGGTTCGAAGATTCTCTCCAAGCTGGACAGGTGAGCCTGATGATGCAGTCAGTTATAATAATCCGGTTATGAATGAAAATAGGGTGGTACAAACCATCTTCACCTAGAATCTCCAGCCGGTTGCCAGAAGGGCCTGGTCGCCAGTAACATCGAGCATTTCTGAAGATACGACGAAGTTGCCGGGTAGAGAATTGATGAAACTCCGCCACCGGCTCCGCAAGGATGTTGGATGGGTGAAAAATATCAGCGGCAATACTGCACATGGCACTAATGGACCCTGGGTCACTTTGGAGAAACAATTCACGGGAACTATACATGTAAAGGAGGTACACCGCAGTCAAAGTGGCCAAGGTAAGAATGAGCTCAGACCACAGGGCCGCAAAATTAACGACGGCGATAGCAACCTGGTTTGACATGCGCGAAGCGTCAAGGATGCTGGGTGCGCCATCGGGATCAAACAGGCGACCGAGCGTGAGCACAAAAGTCTGCTTGACGTCCCGCTCAATCTTGTTTTCAAATTCAGTCTCTGTCATCACAGTCGATGTGTCGAGTACCAGCACAGGCTGGATATCTCCTAGCTCCTGGCTGATTATTGGTAATTCAATCACGCTGCGAGCCCCAGAAGTGGCATTTTCCTGGATGAAGAGCATGTCGCTGGTAAACGGAGCGCGTTGAGACAGTAGAGCTTGGAAATGTTCAATGTTGAACTCCGCTTTTGTGAATTTACGTTTGGTGCCTTGATCAACATCAATAGATATGATTGAGCTGTTGGAGTGCATAGCCACGCGACCCTCCGCTCTGTGATAGATTATATCACAAGCAAAGGCCGTACCAGATGCTGAGTACTCACTCATGGTCGGATTCGAGTGTGAACTGGTCATATTTACTCCAATGAGCATACCATATAGATCATATGGATCGCAGCCGAATTCTGTGAAGGCCTGGGTTCGGTTCGGGAATGCTTCTTTGGCAGCAGCACTGATCATTGGCTCCCAATACCGTATTTGCAGGTAATCGGTGGCAGGGAAAAAGATACTCTCGTAATTAAAGTCAAGGGCGCATTTGGCGGCGCCTCCGTAGACATCATTCAGATCAATACCACTGGCATTCCATGAGATTGTTGGATATGCCGCCTCGGGATCATGGATAGCAACAGTGAGCTTGTTCCCAATAGGAACATTTTCACACATTAGTTCCGCCCAATACAGCGTCTGATCAAGAGTCCATATTATGCTCTCATCTTGGTGGCTGTCAGGGATTTCCACGGGCGCCACAGCGTACTTGGAGGATCGGGACCGGCGTAATCGCCGATTCGAGGAAAGCACATCGTCAAGAGTATTGTTGGCTTGCGTCGAGATCCAGTTTGCTTGGGTGTTCAAATCCACCAAGTTGGGCCAGCTTTTTACGGTATCGTAGTCCACTACCGTCACCTCGCGCAGCTCAAGTACCGTACTCTGCAGAGCGGGGAGAATCATTCGGATTGAGAGTGTGACAAAGGAAATCCAAAGCACCACCCAGTGGCGGCGCCGTGCAGCATTGATCGGAGTGAGGATAGTTTGGCCGAAGTTGTAGTTGATGAAGAGAACGGTCGCCGGCGCTCCCTCGGGTCGGGACAACTGGAAGTATGGTTCCAGACGGAGGACATCGAAGTCAGTGACAGTCCACACCACGACAAGCACGAGAGCCACGATGATAGGAACGTAATTGTAGGCGAACGATTGTGCAGAGTTGACGTCTTCTGTGTAGCCAAAAAGACCAATCCCCCTCTGCGCTCGCTATACTGCCGCAACCCTTCGAGGGTCAGCAGCATTGTTAACATCAGACATATGAGGGCGATCAGGTAGGGCGGGCGCAGAGCCACTGGGCGCCAACCTCGAGGTTGAGGGTGGGTGCGAAACAAACGAAACGGTGCAAAACGACCTAGTTCACATCTCGGTTAGCAGAGACTCGTATACTCCATGAGGCTCAACGGGGAATGCAAAAGAAGGTAGGATGTCAGACGAGAATCACTACTCACCGATCTGTCCTGCCCATCGCCCTCCCCCATCACTACCAGACATGCTATATAAGGTCCCAAAGGCGGACAATGTACTTGATACAATCGAAGAGCATTGCCAAATCAAGTTTCAACCATTCAACAACACTCTGATGCAAACACAACGGGCCATGATTCAACAAAGAGGGGGATGCTAAGGTCAAGACAAAGGAAAAAGAGATCAAAGCTCGAAAAACCGCTCGAAAACCGGAATGGAATTAAGGATCAGCCCGAAGCCAAGAAAATGAGATGGGTCTCCAGCATGACGAAACAAAAGAAGGGGAGAAACGATTTTGTTGTGGCTGTGAGGCTGTGCCGTGCCTGTGCCCACGTGGGGCCATTCCTCGACAGTTCCCCGACTACTCCGTACTCCGTATACACATGACCTATCAACTAATCCGAAGTTGTGGATGAGCACACAGTCAAACGGGATTTGAAGTGATCTCCTGAATACATTCTGGTTACAATCTAACAGTAACACCTAATACCAGGACAAACATTGATCTCTAATTCAAACGAGCGACAATTGGGAACAATCTGACAAAGACCCATATATCCATAAATGAACAGATTTCAAAGCTTACGATTCACAGAATGGGCAGTCATTGTGGAGGGAAAGAAATAAGCAACATTCAGATCAGAGGACGGCCAGATGACGAAGCAACACCGGACAAAGAAGCAGAGCCGGTAGGAGAAGCAACGGCATTACAGGAAGCAGACACAGCCGAGACAGTGAAAAGTGAGTCAGACGGCTTAGGCAGACCGATTCCAAGGGGGCAGTAGGCGTGGGAGTGCCAATGGAGGTCAAGAGAGGAAAGGTCTCGGCGGCGCGTTTCTGGACACCCGCGGAGGCGATAGCGCTGCCAATGGATTGGACATCAGCCAGAAGAGATGAAAGATTCACTGAAGGTGACGGAGACTCGCCACGCTTCTGGACTCTGGCGGAGGCCAGTGCGGCCGCGGCCGCCTGAGCATCAGAAAGTAGCGAGGGGAGATCGGTAGGGATCGAACGCAACTCGCCACTCTTTTGGGCGCTACCACCGACAGGAGCGAGGGCTGCAGCGGCCGACTGAGCATCAGAAGCCAGGGATGCAAGTTCTGTCGGGATGGAGATGGCCTCTCCACGCTTCACACCACTGCCGCTGGTGATATGATAGGGGCCGACGTGAAAGGCGTGGATCCAGAAGGATTTACGGAAGACGGCGGAGATACAGTGCTGAGAGCAGCGAAGCAGGAAAGAGGAGGTGCGTCAGTTGACCGATGAACAGGAGTCGACACAACAGAAGAGTTGGATGCGATGCGAGTTCCGTTAAAGAACGGGACACCCATAGCAGAGCCAGAGATTACGACAGTAAGGGCGACAAAGGAAATCTTCATTTTGAAGAAAGTTCGAAAGAACGAAGTGGAGAGATTGAAGAAATAAAAGATTGTCGGTCAACGGAAGCTCGTACAGCGAGGAACGATGTATGAAGCAGGAAGATAACGACGGGTATACAGAAAGATTTCAGATATCGCCGATAAAAAGAATTGAACCGACGGATTCCAGGGAACTTAAATCTTTCACAGGCCGTAGCACACCATCGATTCTCCACGACTGATGAAGACTGCTTGTGTTTGCACCTGGTGGGTCTGTTCCTCGATACTTCTGTTCCTTAAGTTGAGGACAGCCCTTGACTGGTTGATAATGGACGATCCCCAAGTCTTGTCATAGATTGTATCATGCACGAAGGGCTCACGATATCCAAGGCCTGGGTGATCAACTTCATTGATGGCTCATGTCGATCAAGTGCCTGAATTATGGCTTAGGTCGGGTTCTCCCCTGGAAGTATATCAGTGGGCATAGCCAAAGGTGAGAAGAGTCCCACAATATTTAAGATGTTCGAGATTGCCGATCAACAGCTCATTCCAAGGTTATATCTTGCATCTCCACGTGTTGGCGAATTAGAATACTCCGGACATCAAACTTTGGGTGTACAAATGGAACTTCCAAGGAGACAAGGTGGGACGCATTGGAAATAATCCCCGTGAATGGGAATTGGATTGTGGTAACAGGTACCTTGGCTGGTTCCAAGGAAGGTTAATTGTTATGATTACTAGTCCTATCGCCCATGCTTACTAAGTAGATCCGGCTACCTACCTAGGTACCTAGGTAGTTACCTAGGTAGTTACCTAGTTAGGTTACCTACGCTAGATAGGAATAATGAATCATTACCACCTCGTCAGATGAGCCCATAACACCTTTGGCATTCATGTATGCAGGAGTCAAGAGTGGAATAGACTTTCCCTGAGTTTCATGTCTGATTGGGTCGATAGCCATTGGACCAACTTGGCTTTGTCGGGCTTTGAAAGTCAGTCGAAGATGTTCAAATAAAGCGAGTGTCATCTTTGAAACTTCTTTGAATACAGAGAATAGAGACGACCTCTGGTCTGTCGAAGTATACAATGAGTTTTATATAGTTGGTGAAATCCAGTGGAATGGGCCAAGGCCCTGGTCTTGGCAGTCGGAGCTTCCCCCGAGGTACCCGAGAGCTCTCCCCTCCTACCTCTTTGCTCACCTATCCCCTCCTCTCCTCAGTCATGGGTATTTTCAGTAAATTGGCCAAGACGACCATCGCAGGCAGTATTGCCTCGGTCGGCGTCTTTTGGGGCGCCACGCGCAATGACATTTTCGAGACCATGGACGGCTCCGATCCCATCTTCCAATCGGCCTTTTTCAAAAGGTTCAATCCGAGTCGCAACCCAACTCTTCATGATGTCTGCGTTCGCAGAATTCCCCTAGACAAGATTCAGCCCTCGCTGATTGAGGAGAAGGGCAAGTTGGTAGAAGCCTTCTGTGCCGGTGTCTGGGGTGGCATGGGTAAGTCCCATACTGGGGAAACCAGCCTTGTCGCAATGCAACACACTCTAAAATGATCATTCCTTTTCCAGGATACATTCCCCAACGAGCTATCCTTGAACGAAAGTACCGTGGCCCCGAGACCGCTGACCACCTCTGGGACCGGTCGGACCTCCTCTCAAACAAATACGAAGTAGGAACCATCGTTACCGACCACTTTGAAGTCGTCGAGAAGACCGAAGATCGTATACTCATTCGCTGCGGTGATTCCCCACGTATCCGTGATGTCCGTGCCTCCGACGGCCTCTTCGAAATCGCCGCTGTGGTCAAGCAGGATCAAGGCGTGGCCGAATTCAGCCTGAAGAGCTGTTTCTACCAAGGTCTCGGAAAGGCGGAAGGTGCGCCTATGGATGAAAAGATGGCCTGGGCGCACCGTCAGTATACCAAGTTGCTGCTGGAAACTGCCGTCCTGAAGAAGTGCGTCCGGTAAGGTAGAATGGAGGGTCTCTCAACTGTCTGGAGACGGAATTTGTCGGCATACAAAATATCCTAAAATTTTAGTTGGGACATGCCGTGTACATATTCCTAATCATATATCCCTAATCGTGGTCTACGACCAACTGAATGTTGGCTCAATCGGAACAAGCTGATATGCAGTGTCAAACTTCCAAGCTCTCTTCTTTATCTACTTTACAATATGTATATCTATCCATGGTATATATTCCTTTCCCCTAACCACTGGTTGATATACGAAAAATTAGGACTTCACCACCTCCCGACCCTCCTCCACCTCCGGGTCTTGCTTCTCATCAATTGCTGGTGTTTCTGTATCACTGGTCATAGTGATAGCCAAGACGGTTGGGATAGCGATGACTAACGAACCCATGCAGAGTCCCCAGTTCATGGCGAATTGGGTCATCGCGGGCTTGTGCATGGCATTGATGCGCCACGCCATCGCACCACCAGTGCTCTGGAAGGTCTTGTATGCTCCGACCAGAACGGCTGCTGTGGCCGGGGAGTTGGACTGAGCACCCACGAGCCAGTAGCAGAATGATTGCCACAGCGCATCATAGGCACCATAAAAGATATAAAGGAACATCGGGCCCACTGAGATGTCAGAATCTGTGTAATCGATATCCTGCTTGAGGCCGTGAACCAGGCGCTCATCAGACCACACTTGGAACTTATAACCACCGCCCCAGATGACCATTCCAGTGACAAACAGGAAAACCCAAGCGATGCGAGCACGGTTGGGTCGGCTGACACCGGGAATGTCGAGAATGAGACCCATGACGAGACCACCCAGCATCTGGGCAATCCAGTAAAGCGAACCGTTGAGGGAACGCGTCCGGATGTTGAAATTCATACCGTTCACGGCATTCTGCTGGTAGGAGTAGAACACGTTGGCCGAGAAGAAGAGGGGCAACATGCACAACACCCGCCAGTTGCAGATAGTCTTCACAGAGTGTCGTATAATCTGGCGGATGTTCTTCTCGCTCTCGGGTGTGACTACCAACTGGGCAACTCTAACATACGAGGGCGGGCAAATGAGTGCTCCCAACAACCATCCGAAAGCCATGATGACAAGCAAAGCAATGTATGTTGAGTCACTGACAGTGCCGCTCTTCGACTTGAAGTTAAGGCCAAAACTGGCGAGAGATCCAACACCACCACCCAGATTGAAGATGATCCAGAAGGCGGCGATTGCACGACCCTTTTGCGACTCAGGGACGTAGGTCGTCATGATAGCACCCTGCGCCACCCACAAGAAGGAGGCACCCACACCGAGAATCGCGCCGGAGGCAATGACGAAGCCGCCGTTATTGGTTGCTGTTCGAGTTCTGTTAGCTGTGTAGCTGACACCCTAGAGTTCGATACTTCAGCATACCGTTGAAACACAGAAGACTGCCAGAATACAAGGCATAGGTCCATCCTCCAAGCAAGAGACAAACTCTGGGTCCTACACGATCGAAGATGGGGCCAACGATGAAAAGAGCAGTTCCTGCAGTACAAGACAGAAGAGCTACACTGGCATTTGCAGCAACGGTCTGATCAACTTGACCGGAACCTCCAAGACCGCTGAGGGCATTGTACATCTAATTTCATTGTTAGTTCACCGGTCATTGATAATATTCTTTGCAACACCTACTCCAGGACAGCAGAAGCAGATGAAACTGATCAAAATGATCTGAAACCAAGAACCGGTCCAGATCTTGTACAAGGTTGAGCGGTTTTCATTTTGCTCAGACCGGGCAACTTGCCCATCTTCGACTGATTGAGACATCTTGTGCATATGAGACTGAAACCACCAAAGTCCGGAGGGAATAACCGGGGTCTTATGTTCGAGACTTCAGCAATCCTTTCCCTTCCCCCTATATCGGACTACTGCACCCGTGTGGGCCAGCTTATCAAGTCTGGGGCCCCACGCGATAGGGGGGTTAGGTTGCATGGGAGAACAGGCAAGACAAGGATTGTGTTATCATCGGGGTATCTGTTGGGCAATTCACCTGGCGTAGTAGTGAAGGTGGAGTAAACCCATGTGTTTTAGATTGCACTGTATAGTGTAACGCCTTATCACACGACCCTAGTATTTTCTCGGCCGACCAATACCGTAGAATAACTCCACTATCCTCCCACATCAACCTCCTTGTTGGGAAAAGTCTGGAGAAGGAGTGAGATATCCACCCCGGTCGCTTGAGAACCGGACCAATCCCATGCAGGTAAGATCCTTCGTTGCTACTCTACTTTGCAACGGCCCCCATTTGGGGTCTTTCTAGAAAGCCAAGCACTGCCTTGACTTTACGTACAAAAATCCTGTCTGTATCCCGCATCGGCTTCAGGCTCGGGAAATGGGGCGATAATAGGCATTCGGCTTGTATAGCGCCAAATAGAAATGGGTCTTGCGTCGCCTCCCCAATCGTCTAAAAACCCCCTTCTTATCGCTCTTTTCTGTCACCGATTCGTGATTCGTGCGAAAAATAAATAAAACTTTGACAAGAAACGGCGTCAGGCTTGTTGTCTTCTAAGTTATCACCCAAGAACAACCTGCATGATGGATCTTGGAAGTCTATCTCAACTCCAAACGGAGGGGGTCAATCCCCGAACCGTGCATATTGACCGCATGTCAACACTTGACATGTGCACTGTGATAAATTCCGACGATCACAAAGTTCCCGAAAGTGTTGTTCCTTGTCTACCAATTATCGCAGGAGCAATTGACGCATTGACCCCGCGGGTTCGACAGGGTGGACGAGTTATTTATGTCGGCGCTGGCACCAGTGGAAGGTGAGTCACATGAATCAGCGTCCCCTATTTCGAACAAAATTAAAATATCAAAATTCGATAGACTTGGAATTTTGGATGCGTCAGAAATTCCACCCACATTCAACGCTCCTCGTGGGCAGTTTATCGGTTTGATTGCTGGTGGAGATGCCGCCATCCGATCGGCCCAGGAGGGAGCCGAGGATGATGAGAAAGCCGGAGAAGATGAGATGAAATCTCTCAATCTGAACCCAGAGCTTGATAGCATCATTGGAATTGC